CCTGTATGCAGTTGGTATCGATCTACAGCTACGGACCATGACAGTTAAAAGGTGAGGGGCAAGATCTTGCGAGCTAGGCTACTTTTCACCACTTTTTAGTACACTGATTCACGGAGCTAAATTCAGTAAAGATTTGAGGGTTTGGTCTGTTCGCTCGTATTGCACAGACTCGAGTAATTGCTTTGTCGTTTCGTACATCTTTGACGCAACGTTGTATGCTTGTCAGTTAGATGCTGTGTACAACCAGCTATGGATGTTCCGAGTGCTTAGAGGGTGCGGTTGCGCGCACTTTGACTAACCTGCTCTCCGTATTTTCGGAGTTTTGAGGAATGCAGGCAGGGAAAGGCGTACTTCTGCTCAAGACCAACCAAAGCCCTTCAAATCTGCATCGAATCTCGAGTAAGACGTTTTCATACCGAGACCTTAAATGAAGTGTTACTGTTCTACAGCTTGTGTGAAGACTTCAGCTGTAGTAATCCCTGAAAGCTGATGAGTGACTCATTAACATTAAAAACAACATTGAAGTTTTTCTCCTTTCTAGAAAGGGACCTCATAAAGTAGTTCTTTGGCGGTACGAGGGAGGTACAGAACGGGGTACCTGTTCAACAGGCCTATCCCATCTTCGAGTGCTTGTCCATCCTTATGGCCTCCATCTTTTTTGTTCGAGAGGACGTGATCGATATATTCTGTAAGCATTTGATCAACTGACATTTTATGCCTGTACAATAGCTATGCTACTGAGTTCACACCAGCTTGTAGGCAAGCCTTTGCTGCGCTAACGGCCTCTGTGCCACCATTCATTTCCATCGCCACAAGGTGCATTTTAACGATACTGGCTGGGCGATATCGAAACCGGTCAACTGTCGAAGAGAAAAGTGGAATTTTCTCCATCCTCCGCCCCTGCATGAGAGGAGAGGAGTTGCATAAAGCCATGCATTACTACGAGTTGTAACAGCCTATCCAAAGTTTCCTTGAGGTTTCGCTTGGTTCGCACTCAACACAAACCTTTGCGAAAGATTTTCAGTGGATTTAAAGAGAGGATTTGCCTTCCCTTGCCCGCTTCCTTCCCATTTCTGGACATCAGGGGAAAAAAACAGCTAGGGGCAGCGTCATCATACCCTCCAAGTACTCCAAACATTGAAAGCTGGTTTCGCATGGCATCTAGCACAAATACAAAATATTGAATATCCTGTGTCGAGCTAACAGTACATTGCAATCAATTAGCTACAGAAGAAGGCAAACCAATGGGCTGGTTTCTCACTAGCATTTAGTAGAGTATAACCGGTGTTCCTAAAAATTTCTGAAGTGCAAGTTAACCCGCTACTCTAGGTAGCATCACGCGTGCCTCTACTGTGAGGCCAGGAAGTCTGAGGGGAGCTGGCAGTGGAATAAGAAAGGTTTTGAAGAAGCATTCAAAAACGTGCAATTTTCGTGCAAAGCCTGGAGTCGTGCTTCCCTACAAGACCTTTGATGAAGCGGGAGAGCAGGGCTAACATAAAATAGTACGCTGCATGCTATGCATCTTTAGTAAAGTACATTACAGCTGACACTGACAATCAAAATATAAATGGATTACGATTTACATACATCAAATAAATCATTCATGCGTTTTCTTTCTAATAGGACGCTTAAGAGATTGGGCACTGCTATAAGCAATCCGTGGCGTCCAGTACTTTGCGAGTCAAGACTCTTCTCTTCATGTAAAGAGCGGACAGCGTTAGGCTGCATGTGTTGCTAGAAGGTAATGAACCAACACTGTAGTCACTGTCCTTTCGCTAGCTTTCCTCGCAGTTGGAGGCACGCTCTAGGCCGTAACCCCTTCATAATCACCACTGAGCATTTCTAAGAGCCCTGAAGATTAAGGACAAGGGCTGCGAGGTTTGACTGCAGCCCCAAAGGGCGTTAAAGCTTCAGGCACTACAGCTCTTGTGCAATCCTAACGCCACCCTCTACCGACCCAGGCTTCCAAAAAGTCTGCTCTTGGGATGGCGCCCATCGACGGTTTCGGGTGCTGCGCCGAGTCTCCCTCAGGCGATAGATTTGCAAGGATCTCCAATGCGGGCTGGTTGCACGGGTGTGGAAAAGCAACACTGGAACACCACTTTACTTATCCTTCCTTAACACCCCCGCAAATCCTACCTCGGAAAGGGATAAATATAGTTTCTGGTTTTGATAAAGAATTCATATGCACCTTAGACTTCAACCCTTGCGTCGAAGATTTTTGTAACAAGAAGCGATTGAGTGCTTAGTAAGGACAAATGATTACTGGGAAAGTCAACCCTTCAAGAACTGGTCGGTCGTTTGAGAATGGGGTCTGCGCCCCCTGTTGCAGGCAAGCCACCTTGAGAAACAGGAAAAAGAGTCTCCTTTTTCACCGAATGAGCGTTATGCTTGCCCTAGCTACAAGCATCTAGCTGAATGATGTACTTTTATAAATTGTTCATTGCACAACCTTGTCTTGTTCAGCCTAACTATGGACAATAGCATTTATTTGTAAAGTGGTATGGAAAACGTCCTTTCCACAATCAGCCTTGTCACGCAAAATCCTTATTCATCTATGCTAGAATTCATGATGCACCTGCACTAACACTCCTTAGGCGCTAAAGGCTCTGACAGGCTGTGGCTGTGCAGCGCACCTAGTTCCTTAGGTGTTCATGTGGAGAGCGAGACTTGAGTTGCGACAAAAGCAGCTGGAGGAGGGGTTGTAACTCGCTTTGCTATAGCTTGCCTTGCACGCAGCAGTGCGTGCAGATCCAATCTTTAATGACCGAACAGTCTTCAAAGGTTGATTTCTTATTAGTGAATGTTTGCTGGAGCATTCAAGCGCTTCAAGTGATGATGGTTTTCATGTGTGTGCTGGATTCTAACGTGCAAGCGTGCATCAGCCGGCCTAGTGAACGTGAAAACTTGATTCCCTACCAACAATGAATTCTTGATCTGTTGGAGCAGGGTTGAAAGGGGATGAAATATTGATTTTTTCTCGACGTAGACTTTACATTTGTGTTTAGCAAGTCGTAGAGCAGGCATATACATTGGGGTTTCCACAAGAGTGCACCAGCCTACAGTGGAAAACCCTGGTACTGCATCGCGTCGAAGAAGATTAACACGGCAACTGCATCCTTAAGTAAGCGCTGTTTCAAGAAATGATTGTCGCACGAGCCTGCGTCGTGGAGGGTGGCATTAGGATTGCAAGGGAGTTACCTGTCGTAGAGCTGTGGCGACTGTTGGGGCTGCGTTCAAGCATTGTAATACTTTTTGTTTTCAAAGGCCTACAACGCCATGCAAGATTGGGTATTAATTGGGGCTCCCAAGCTACTTCGCGGATACATGTGGCGTCTGGTAAGGGTGCAGCTGGGTACCATACGACCTTTGTGCGGTCCGCGTGGCGCACATCGGCGCATAATAGTGGATGTACGGCGGAGTGCCTACACGGACTACTGCAGCATCAAGGTGTCTACAGTCTTGAAGTCTTTGACTGCTAGCACATAGCATCACTTGCTGCAGATGTAAACACATATACCAGCATCTTCAGTAACTACTCTGCTAAGGCAACATCTCATCGTTCGCGATGTTACCATTTCAGCGAATTTCATCATCGTGACCGCAAGTAAGCCTCAGCAAAAGAATTGCTTCGAAGTCTAAAATAATAGTTTGCACAGAGGTTATAGAAATGCACCAGCAACGGCAATAGATGGTCAATTTAGCTGGACCACCGCCACCTGATGCTGCTGCTGCGTCTTTAAGGGGTCCCCAGCCCCATTTACTTACTTAAAAGATTTGCGATGCCATTACTTCTCTTCCGTTGTTGTGAGACTCTACTTCTGGGCTGATAGATACCGGGTGTGTTACCAATATCCCGGCGTCTCCGAGCAACCGTTTCGCTGGTATCTCTGGATTTAAGGGTCTGTAGCAACTGTCGCTGCTGACTCTGAAGGCGTTGCTGCGAGATGGAAGCCTTGGAGCGTGTCAGTGCTCCAGGCGCGCTTAATCTCCTATGCAGTATCCTACCTGTGGAGGCGCTACTAGTATCAGTTTGCGAGGCTGTTCGGTTATCAATAATTCCAACACCGGGGCTACTGGAGTCCCAAGCTTCAGCACTAGCTAGGCATCGCTCTTGTTGCTTTCGTTGCTGTCGCATGCAGAGGGCTTCCCCAGGCACACCTTCACCCCCCCGTATAGTGAAGGCGGCTTGGTACTTCTTCGGCTTCGCTGCTGGAGATGCTGCGGCGAAAGGCACGATTGCGGAGGCCCCAGTTCTTAAAGCAGTAGCAGACGCAACGGTAGCCTCGGTGGCTGTGGCTGCAGTCGAGAAAACAAAATCACTAGTGAAAGAAGCTGCCGCATGGCTTCTCTCCAGAAGAGTTGTGTGGCCGATATTAGAAGCGTCAGCAGGCTGGCTTTGAGAGCCGCCACCTTCTGTAGCAGCAGACGCGGTAACAGCAGTGAGGTCGCATGCTGCAGCAGAACGGGCCTTGGGATCTGCCAGTAACAGCTTCCGGATCACTTCATCAGACACGAACCCTCCACAGAAGAATACAACCCGCTCCCAGAGCCACGGAGAAGGCAATTCAGTCTCCAAGCCCTTCGACACAGACAAGTAAAAAGAGACAGAAAAGCATATGCAGACTAATGTATGATACCGAGAAAAACAGACAGAAAGACGATAAAATAACCGCAGTGATGGGGCAATGATGAGATTAGAAAAAGCACTGCGTATACTGTGGGAGGCTGGGGCAGAAACACGGCTGCATAAAGCGGCATTGAGCTACAGAAACCGATAGATGCAAGGTGCCAGGAAGGCAAGGCAGGGGCGCATCAAGGCATAAAATGAAGGCACAAAGCACAGCAGTCAGGAGCAAACAGAAGCTCTCTTTAGAGGCTGGCCAAAGCGATGAAAATAGCAGCAGATGGGTGGAAGGAGAGAAAGGCACAAGAGGTAAAGTTGGAGGGTGCATTCGAAGTACGGTGGTTTAGGGCGAGGTGTCCTTTGTCACCAATGAGCTATCGGGGTGTAATGTCCTATTATGAAAAGTTGAGACCGATTCATTGGCAACTAGCCAACACCACAGGAGTGCGAACGAGCTCGGTATGAGGAGTGCAGCCCGTGAGGGGTGTCCTTTGCTTCAGCAGAGCGTTTAGAGAGGCGTCCCACCTACCGGCTCGAATAGACCCCTCTCAGTCGCGAAGCGGAAGATACTCGCGAGGAGGCAGGCGAACCGGAGCCCATGATTCATGTATCTGGTCACCAGACGGAGCGCAACAGCGAAAGAGATGCTAGTGCCAAATAAAGAAGGCCTAGAAGAGCAGCCAAGAGTGATAAGAGAGAAGCAGGATAGAAGAATGGCAGAGGGGCCGCCAAAATTACCAAGAGCTCAGCACTAGAGAGCTACACACACTAGAGATACACAATAAGGGATGCAGAAGGAAGCTGGGCTCAGGAAAAGATCAGCACTTTGACCAACATGACGGAGACGGAGCCAGTCGTCGGGGAAGGTGAGTTGAAGAAATTGAGGTGTGAATCGTCGGGAAGATGTACCGGAGGTGTGCAAGCTCGTGAAAGAAGACTCCCAGCTGCGTCGACAGTTGCAGCAATTCTTGCGGCCTCTGCAGCTGTCTTACGCGAATTCTGATGCAATAAGACCACCTGAGGCTAGCGTTGCGGCTGCTGTTCTTGCTTTTCAGTGGACTGCTGCGCAGTGCTGCTGTGTCAGCTCTTACTTGGGCGTCGTTTTTGCTGTGTTTCCTTTCGGGTTCATGCTTGTGCAGCTCGTCGGGATCTTGATTCCTACGTATGCAGTACCAGACCTTGGAACATCACTGCTATAGGAGCGTACACATCACCTCCACCCAGTAACTTCGATCTATAAAGCAAAGAGAGACAGTTGGAAAGGCTCACTTGTTGCTCAAAGGTTTCCGTATGACGGAGCCGGCCTTGGGGTGTTGGGGGTTCTGCTCAGCGAGGACGAAATAACTGAAAAGAGAGGAAAAACGGCAGTAAAAATGGAGACAGAGAAAGTCATTGGGAATGGAATAGGCAAAGCCTTAGGGTGAAGCGGCGTAGGGGGGCGTGGCGAACAACCACGGGAGGAAGTACCACAAGAAGAGGGCAACCAATTCGGGTGCAGTGAGGGCTCTCGTCTTCGGCTCTATGGGCACTACAAATACTGAAATGTGCGTTATATCAACAATTTCTAAACCCTCACTCCAAATCCCGAAGCCGTAAAGCCACAAACTTACCGAAAACCAAATTTTCTGCAGACAGGGATTCCATATTCGCAATGAAGATGATGAATAGAGGCAGCGGCTTGCTCCCTGTTTTTAAATTCAACCGTGGCGCCGTTCACCTGTGCATTCACCGAAGCTCATAGGCCGCAAACGCTATTTGCCCTCCACAGATCGTAGGCCCTTAGCCCAAATCTCGGTGGCTGTAGCTTATACATCAAATTGTACTCTTTTAAAAAGCGCTACACCGTATTGGCGAAAAGAGATGCCTCACATATATGAGAGCCCTCACCTTAGCAGACTTGAAGGTGTAATAGGATCCCTCGTCCAGCCGACAACGCGTTACTGTCCCAGCTGCGCGCAGATGCCGACGTAACAGTTGAGATCCTCACCAAGCAGCAGACAGAGATAGCAGAGAGAGAGAAGCCCGTGACTCAGCATAAGGAGAGGAGCAGAAAGGAACGAACGTAACCGCAGCACAGGCAGGAAATGACATAATACACGGATACAGAAGTAAACTTGGGTTGGCCACGCCCCAGCAAATTCAACCGCGAGCAATCGGGGCCATATCCGCTTAGTGCAACTAGACGCAGCTTGTGCACGAGAAATCACATAAACTAGAGAAAAGGTTGCACTGAAACACCGCGTAGAATCTTACATGCATTCAAGTTGCCCCACACATGCAAGCAGAAGCTGGTACTAATCTTGCAGTTTTCTTCGCTTGCCTAGAGCACCCTGAGTATTATTTTTGATGGTTCCGCGTTGGTCTGGTATCTCTGTCTACATCTTTAAGATGTTGCCTCCATGTACATGTCTTCGCTGCTTACTGCGTTGCTCTAGCGCTGGGGAGAACTGAGTGTCTAGGAGCCTCCTTGACTGGTACCGTGGATGCTGCCCATGCTGTTTGTGTAACTCATATTCCTTCTCCTTCAGCTGATCGCGGGCTTTTCGCACCTCGTCAGGGGCAGCCAGCATCGCTGCTGCTGCCGCTGCAAGTGCATCAGTGGGCAGTTCCAAGTTGGGGTTCTTGCTGCCGTTGTTTCCCCATAGAGATGCTGCCGCAGCAACCGAACGGTGGTGTGTGACTGTCGCTGCACTGTGATGCGGTGTTTGAATACCAGAAGAAGGCTTCACGGGCTTGCCGTGGTGGTTAGGATTCTGTAATTGGTCGTGCTGTTGCTGCTTCGAAGGTTGGTGCTCCTCGTCGCATGGCCTCTGAGAAGCTCTGTGGCGTGACCCGCTGGTTCCTGACGGAGCGATGAATGCAGATGTTAGAGCGCACACGGCCACATATGACTGCCCTGGTTATCCCTGCTTAGTAGCTACCGCTTCTACGCATACGGCAGTTACCGCTGGTTCAATTTCTTTCGGAAGCATCCCCTACCAACAGGAGACTCTCACCTAAAGTCTTACTTGATGATAAGTATTTGGTGCTCATTTTCCTTTTATCGGTGCTGTTTGATTCAACGCAGGCCCTTTTGTGGATGTGAGACCCAGAAATTTCAAGGCCAAGCATGCTGCTGCTCTTTGTGGTGCAGCTTGCATCGGCTTCAGTGGATGCCACGACGGTGCCACTAGAATGAGCTCGGTTGCTGTCGAAGGGCCTCAATGGCGACATTTCCTATCGCAGTAGCTCCTGGACAAGGCGCCCCCAACTTGACTGGCGATACCACTGCGTTGCCCGCGAAGAAGTGAAACGGCCAAGAACACGGTGATCTGCTGGGGGTGTCTGTATTGGGCTTCCTGACAGGAAATTGACAGAATCATTAAACCTGATGAAAACTTAATGAGTAACTGCGCTGTTCCTGCTGGTTTTCCCAGGCCCCATCCCCAGGGATCTAGAGGACACAAGGAATCACTTGCATCAAAATTGTAAGGTTTGTGCAGTGCCACAAAAATCCTTGCAAAGACCTCCTGCGGACTGATATGAGCGTATGTATACCTGGAAAGGGCAAAGAAGTCGTCTCATTTAAAAGCCTATGGAATAGGGCCTAAGATCTGGGGCTTCAAGTGGAGAGAACGAGAAGCTCCGTAGAAAACAGTAGAGCCACATCTATGTCCTTACTCCCCATTCTCAGCGATGTGAACTATAGGGGATTTTCTTCTAGAGCCCTTTTAGCTGCAAAGCACGAACCGTTAAGTGGACATCCGGAGGTCACTCCTCTGGAGCCTCATGCGGTGATTGGGGCAGAAATAGAGGCGGGCTTGCCGAAATCGCTGGAAACAAGGAAAATTGTGGAGAATATGGGGAATTACACAACAAGATGACGTACCGGAGCAGAAACAGCCGCATCAATATCGAGTGGCTAGCTGCGCCCTATTCTGAGCTCCCGGAGATGCGTTCGCTCAGGCTAGGGACTTTTCAGAAAATACCTGTACCACAAAAATTCGAAACTTTATATGGAAAACTGTGGAAAAGCAAGTGATGGAACTTGGAAGAAGGTACAATTATGCTCGGACATCTAGAAGCTTGGACAGCTGAGATAACACATGGGCAAAACGAGCAGTAACAACAAGAATACAGAAGAAATGAGCCACGACGAGCATTAAAAATCATATTTGCGCCACACAGTAGCGCTACATTGATCTGTTAAGCAGTGTATCGGCTGTTTGGAAAACTCGGGCCCCCCAGCTGAGGTGGCAAAAAAGTTTTCAGTGCATGCAGTGGAGCACCGCTTTTCCCTGGAGCATAGACAACCTAAAAACCTAAGCTTTAAAGCGAAAGCAATAAGTAAACTCCTGGGAGAAGCATCTAATCCCAGGGCATGAAAGCACAAGTAAGAAGGGGGCCACATTGAAAAGGCGTGAAGACATACATGCAGAGAAATGTGGTTGTGTCCAAAGACAGAAGAACTGATATGGGCACTGCCGGTTTGTTTGTCTGTTGTCTGGAAGATATTTTGGCAATGGTTGGCCTCAGCCACACCGTGTAACGGATCGTGTTTTCGCTTGCCATGGTCTGTATGTACTTTTGAAATCCACGGCGGCTCTGCTAAATTTCGGGCACTGAAAGGGTCCAGACTTTAAGAACAAGCTCACATAAGTGAAGCGAGGACACAAAAGGGTACATGCGAAGAAAGACGGAGACAGAAAAGAGCTCATCAGCCCACAATAGGTGCACAGTGCAATCAGATATAATTATGCCTCAGAGTGTATGTTCATCGAGAAAATAGGGCTGCCATCATAAGAAAGAAGGTAAGAGCCTCGCAGCGCCACAATACTAGAGATGGCAGGGTAATAACTGAGCGCCCAACGGAGAGGAAGAAGCATCAGGCCCTGGGTTCTACCAACACAGACCTAACTGCGGCTATCGTGGTCTTGGTGCATGTCTGGCATGGATTGATCGCGTTGTGTTTAGACTTCTGGGGCCTACAGGGTTTGGACGGCCAAGTTGCTGCAAATAGTGTATGGATCGAATTTGTTTGCTCATGCTGTAAACGCGAATGGCGAGCTTTCCGCAGAATAAGATATTAAGCCATGCGAATTTATTTTTCTGTTTGTGTGTAGTGATTCCGAGCACTTAATCTGAGAGAATCTTGCGGTCTAATGTGCTATGCTATTCTTGCACACCTGAAGAGACACCAACGGACGATGAGCCACGAGCACGATACAAAAGCAATGTCCAGATCGATTCGCTGGTGTGTTGCGACACCTGTTCCGCGCTTCTGCCTCAAGAATCCTTGATGCCAGAGATCTGGTAGCCCCCTGAATTAACTTTACTTGGCGGACATTCTTGCTAGATACAACATGAATTATGAAGAAGCACTAACAGGGTCTGCAGATACTCGTGTCAGTCTTATTGCTCGTACGGAAAAAACCCTAGTATTTATTCTTCTTGCTCTCCCTGGTACTGCTCAATGTTGTTCCCTCTGCAAGCAGGGGACATAGGAAGGAGATATTTCGCTCCAGTCTCCTTAAAGTGTGCAGCTCAGTCCGAGCGGTGAGACGAGTCAAGGCGCCAGCTACCCCGAAGCTGAGTCTGCACTGAACTTGAAGCCCTTGAGACCACACATCCGCGATTAGCGGTCGTGTGCACAGATGCCTCGATTGATCCACAAAGTCGACAAATTCCTCGAAACTCTGCTCAATAACACTTTAAGCCACAAAATAGCTATAAAGATAATTTGAAATAGTGAAGATATGCAAAATTGCACTTAATCTATAGAATTACAAACAAGAACGCACGGCCCTAGTGGGGCCCTTGTTTAGGGGCCCAACGCAGGTGACTGCTTCGAAACTGAGAGGGGGGAGAAAGAGGGAATGGAAGAGCCGTATGTTTGAGTCAAGTTGGTTTCATGCTTATTGGAAGAAAACATTGTACCTAAAACGCTAAGACAAGAAAAATCGAATACCCTACGTCACCGCGGTTGTACTCAATCTGGAGCCATCATCAGATAGATCTCGTTCATATACTGCCGCCATTGTCTAATAGCCATGTGACAGTAACTTCATTCGGGCCCTAGGGGCAAGCCTGGCGAAGCTGTTGACCCTTTTAGGGGGCTTCTTGAATCCAGTTCGACAGGGGTTTCCCTCTGTCCCGAGCACCCATTTCTTACTGAGGGCCTTCCCAGTAGCTGTACAATTTCGTCATTAGAGATATGATCTATTCGCCACCCTTTCAAGCCTGAGGTTCGGTCGGCATGGCGCCTAGGATCTTTCCTTAAATGGATGTACATCATCTGTCTGGAGACCCCTTACACTCCCCTTTTTGCGGAGTGCCCCAGGGGGTCCAGCAAAATTGGGATGTTCCAGCCACTAACGTGGACGCCGAGGGTCTCGCTGGCATCGCAGTGACAGCATCAGTAGTAGAGATCGGGTCAGACTCGCCAATTAAGGGTCTAGATCCATTAGTGTCAGAAGTATGCGGGCGGCCCCTTGAGAGGGTTCCCATAGTTCGTATATATGGACCCTGGGGCACGGGGGGTCCTCAATGTTGCCTCCACTTGCATGGCCTATTTCCATACTTTTATGTCCCGGCCCCCCCAGAGGCATATGGAGAGGGGGCTTCTGGATTTCTTCGTCGCTTTGCTCGGTGTCTAGTGTTGCAGGCAGACTTCCTCCTGGCCTCGAAGGCAGGAGGTGCCAGGCACCCTGGCTGTCGAAAGGGGGCTTCTATACGTGGCATTGGGGTCCCCAAGCCTGGAGATCCAGTTGGCTGGGATGGGATAGGAAAGAGTAAAGGGGCGCCCAAGGGGGGCCCGCTTGTGTATAGGATCGAGGTAGTAAGGCCTACTCCCTTTTACGGGTATCACAGGGAGCTTTATGCCTTCCTGAAAATATACTTGACTGCACCGGATATGGTGGGACCCCTCGCTGGGCTGCTTCTGCAAGGAGCTGTCACAGGGAGTCCTCTGCAGCCCTACGAGGTTCACCTAAACTTCCAAGTAAGGTTGTGTATGTGCTTTCCCCCCATTGTTATCCTTTTCGAGCGGTCTTCAATTCCTTTATGACATCTGCCGCTCTCCCTGCTAGCTTTTGTTCTTGTTGTGTCAATCTGTTGCTCTCTTCCCCTCAGAAGTTAATGTATGATTTGGAATACACCCACATTTGTGTCTCGGACGTATTCCTTCGTGCGTCTGCTAATTTGCTCTTTGAAACTGCCATATTTTAAGCTTCTTCATCTTGCTTTCTGTGTTTCTGCCTTCGTGTATGTCCTTCCGTAGACTCAGGTTTTCGCCGATTTGCATTTAAGGGGGATGTCCCCGGTATTTGTGCAGAAGCCCTATTTCCGGACTCCGGTTCTCCTTGACCCTCTTATTGCCGCAGGGGTTCATAAGGGACCCCACAGTTCTCCTCTCAAGGCTCATTGCGGGGGCCCTTACTACAGAGGACACCTGAGAATCTCCAGGGAGGGAGAGAAGGGGCCCTTAGGCCACAGTACAGTCCAAGGCGTGCATCGTCATTCTGTTTTGGGTATGCTCGGGGAGGGGGCTGTTAGGACCTTTACTGCTTTAGGCTGGGGGCAACTGCTGCACCAGATAAGTCAGGTGGAGCAGGCAAGTGCAGCAGCAACAGCAGCACCACACAGTGCAACCGATGAACAAGGAAAAGCACACAGCAGCAAGATTGAGAATCCTACTGGCCTGTTATGCGAAAAGATCCTACAAGCCCTGCCCCCTGAAGGACCTGAAGGCTTGCGACTGCTGAAGGTCCCCCGATATAGCAAGTGCATGATAGAAGTGGACGCACGGATGGATCAGGTTTTGAACCCTATTGTTGCCGCTGAAAAAGCGAAGTCAACAGCAGCAGTATCAGCAGCCGTAGAGCAGCAGCGGTCTGGTCGCATGGAGAACGAATCGCCGAGTCCAATCTCAGTAGGTACACCCAGCAGCATTGCTAGTGCCAACGTGTTTTTAGCTCAATTGGTAGGCAGTGTTGCCGATTACTGGAGAGAAGAAACAGCAAGGGCATCTGCGTGGGGATTGCCGCCTCCATCTGCAAATGGTTCGGGGTCTCAGGAAGGCCTTCGGGACCCCCAAGGAGCTCCCGCTCCTGAATTATGGAGAACAGCACTCGAAAATATCATTAGGCGAGTTCACGAATGGCAAGAGCGGCAGCAAGACGGTGGGAAACCATTTCCACTGCAAGGTATCACCTGTCAGAGTCATTTAGAACAGAAGCAACAGGAGCAGCGCCGCTCACGAGACATTGACTATTCTCTGCTGAAGACATGGGAGGCATCGGAGCTGTCAGAGACTTCAGATTCCGACTCCGCGTCCATCGGAAGGAGCCCAAGATATCCAAGGGCATGTGTAGCTCCAAAGCCTCCCGAAGAGGATTCCCAAGTTGCAGGCGAGGGGACCCCACATTGGCAAGAGAAGGTGACCTTGGATCCGCTTATGTCGTCAAAAGGACGGCCACTTGTTCATGGGCTCTGCAGTAGCCAAGATTCAGTGGAGGCTGCACGGCTGCTAGTTCAAGCGACGCCTCCTTCCCAAAGGCCCCCTGTCGGCATAGTGCCGCCTGCAGAGCTTCCACTTGAGGCCACTGATGACCTTCTCGGCATCGAGGTACGCAGCAGAAGCGCTTTTGGAGCACCAGAGGCAGCAGCAAGTATAGCGAAAATGGGGACAATGCAGATATACTACGTGCATGACGTACAAAACCAGTAACGATTGAACCACCTGCAACATCAGGTAGCTTCTAAGAGCACGGCATGCTAAGCTGTGCATTGGCTGCGAATGCTTTTCTGCTTTTTCAGGACCTTAAAGACGAGGAATTTTCTTTGCTTCTTGCATCCCATGGCACTGTGACTCACAGTGACGTAGATAACCCTATGCGAGCACCTGGCCTTGGGGAGATTCCCGATGCAAATTCAGTAGAGCGGCAAGTTGCTTCTGATGAAAGCAGCGCAGACTCCAGCAACAGCAGAAGCCCCATCACGTCAAAGAAGCAAGAGGGCCCGCGGAAAGTGTTTTGTGCTTTTAATCGGAAAAGGGGTTCCACAGCCGAGCCGAGGTATAGTATTGGCAGTTGTGCGCAGTGCAGAAGCTGCATGTGTAGGTGCTGTGCACCGTGCAATAAGGGCAAGCAATGTGTATCAGATATGGAGGATATTCTGCAGGTGTGCGATACAACGAAATCCAATACTGAGGATCACCCATTGTTACCTTTCCTTCGGGACAATCCCTCTAGAAGAAGCAGCACATGTGAAGTAACATCCCTCGAGGGGCATAGTAAATTGCCTGACAGTGGATTGTCTGAGAACCGAGCCTCTCGCTTTCCCGCCAAAACCCTCCAAAATATTAGGACAACAGCAATAACAATGCGGGTACCACCAATAACGGCAGTACCAGCAGCTTTGCCGGGAGCAGTAGCAGCAGAGTCGGCGGGCGGATTCGATGCACCAACAGACAGCTCATCATATGCCCCAACTGTACGGTTGGAGGGCTCATCATCCTGCGATGACCTCTCCCCTACCCAGTCCATAGGCGAATCACCCTGTCGCCGCCAACCGTGTTCAGGGATCGCTGTGCGCTCCCCAACAGCAAACACAGCAAGCGCAGCACAGGCGGTAACTGGAGCGGCCGAAGAGCATGCCCCAGCAGCTCATCCCCATGGCAGACCGTGTGGCACAGCCAGCAGCAGCGGCAGTAGCAAGACGTCAACACCAGTATCTAGGCGATGCACGGTAGTCAAGGGGTCTGGTTCATCCCAATCCAGTAACTCGGTGGTTTCTATCTCTCCACCGCCTGACGCTTGCACGTGCATAAACAAAGCGGTAGCCCTCACAAAAGAAGAAATGCTTCCGTTCTACAGCGACCCGCGCGACGTCCCCGCTGCAACAAACCCTCTGAGAGCAACGCCAGGTGGTCGCCTGCAGCAGAAACTGCTTCACTGCGGGTTTGTTCCGCCGCCTTGTACATGCCGCAAGCATTTAGTGGCACTACCAGCGGCAAAAACATGGCCAATTGTACCTGTAGGACAGGGAGAGTGTAAGCCGGAGCTGAGGCGCCTTTTACGGCAGCAGCAGCGAGTGCAACAACGTCAGCAGCCACAGGAACACACGGGAATTCAGCAGCACGGGGGCAGCAACTGGGAGTGCTTCGTGTATTTCCAGCCGCCGCCAGACATGGCCCAAGTTTATGCGACTTGCCCGTCAAAGGTGAGGCGCAAGTGGCACAGAACGGAGCGGCAGGGCCATTATGAGCACTTACAACCACCACTGGGTCAACAAAAGCAAGAACATTTACCGCAGTGCAATGCTGATGCAGAGGCCAGGTGTCTTGATGCTATCCAGGCCATCGACAAGACCAACGGAAACGGTAAAGGGGAGGCGTTATTTCTGCAGGAGGAACAAATACAGGAGCAGCACGACCACACGAGGCAAAAGGCGAATGAGCAGCACACAATGCCTCAGATGCAGGATGCAAGCATACGGCTGGAACAAGAAATAGCTTGTAGCAGCAGGAATCCCATTGGTAGCAGCAACAAGAGAATGAGTGAAAGCAAACTTAAAATGCAGGTGTCAACACGCTTGGACAACCACGGGCGTATCGTAGGCTATGTGGCTCCAGTTCAGCAGGAAAAGCAGCAGGCGCCATCACGTGAGCCTGCGAATACCTCCCAAAGCAGCAACAGCAGCAGCCAACATGAGCGCACCTCGCAAGTAAGTCTTGCGTCTGATGTACGTCGGGCGAAGAAGGGGCTCTTTGCGCAGCAGACACCAGAGTCAAAACTCACCGATGAAGTCCCAGGAGCGTTTCAGACTGCGAGCTATGGAACTCTTTTAGCGCTCGAGGTCATCGCGGAGTGCCGTCCTGCAGCAGCGACGGAAGCAGCAGCAGCAGCAGCAACACCTAATCCTGGCACTTGCTCCGTGCTAGCCATTTGCTTCATATTAAGAGATGAACGACTGAAACTGTGCACAGAAAGGATGCAACAGCAAGTGTTGTACTCTGATGTTAATGGTGTAATAATATTTGACTCCCAGGAGCCCTCTGGGCCTCCTCGCTGGTGTCCCCCCTGCCCCGAAAACTCACCAGGGGGGTTACAAGAGCATATTTTCCTTGGTAGTATCGATAGCTACTTTGACAGCAGGTGGTGGCGCTGTATAGTTAGCAGCGAAAAGGAGTTGCTGCTGCAGTTTTGCGGTCTTATTGCAGCAGCAGATCCTTCTCTGCTGCTGCAGTGGGAGGATGGTGGTCGGGGACTTGCGTTCTTACGAAAGCGCGCGGACGCCCTTGGCCTTGGGCAGCTTTTCAGGCGGAGATGCAGCAGACGGTCAGGCGAGAGGAGCTCCAGGGCACACGCTACAGGCAGCAATCTTAAGCCTACTGACTCTGGCATAAAACAATCTAGGAACGCATACAGTCAGAAGTGCAGGAAGTTGGGAAGGAGCACAACGAGACACCTGAGACAATAGCCAGACACCGTTAAACGAGATATGCTTGTAGACACAAGGAGAGAATGGCAGAGAGGACCACTGCAGCAAATGCAAAGATACCTTGTCTGTCGCTTTTTCTCCCTCACCATGACCGATAAACTAAGCTGTATACGATGGTTCTGAGGTTATTGACGCAGCTTTAGTTGTCTGTCCTTCTCAGGGCTGATGAAATATCTGCTGCTCCCCGACTCTCCTGTCGATCATCTAAAGCACCTACCGCGTTCCCATCTGTGGTTCCTGTGGCTTCTGGAGGAACCAACATGCGAAAGCGAAGATATTGGATGCGCGGGAGCTCTGCCATCCCTGGGCGACTGGTGCTTGAGGGCTGGCGATTGCTTCAGAAGGAGGTAAAGCTGCAACATTCCGACCTTTGTGGTACCGCAGGTGAGGTGTTGGGGCTCCTTTTACCATCCATTCCACAGGCGATCGTTGCGGCAGTTTGGGAGCAGGCACAGCAAAAACGGAGACGCAGAGCTTTACAGAACCCACAGGAGCAGCAGCAACAGCAGCAGCGGGAGCAGGACGAGTTGTGGGCGCTGAAGTCAATCGCCGAGCTGTTGGCATACGTTATGAAGAGGTAACTGCTGAGCTGCTGAATGGAACACCAAACTACCTCTACCGTTCCCTGTACTATTCGTTATATCTGTCATTGTCCTTCAAACGTATTCAGGTCTACACAGGTATTCTGCACCCGTCTAGATGTATGTCTGAGCACGCGTACGTGAGTGTTATGCCTTATGTACAAACAGGTTGGCAAATAAGTTCGAATATGTGTGCATGCGTGCAAACGTAGAGAGCTTTATGCCTTTTTTACTGCGTATTTGTACATGCGTTCATGCGTATACGTGAGGATAGAGCGACCTGACAGTCACTCTGCCTGCGGTTTGAGTTGAGGCTCCCTCCTTTATTATTGCCTCTCGTGGCCTCTCTCGGAGTAACGACCCCTCCTGTTTACTTCAGAAATTTTATTTGTTTCTTAATTCCCCCCTTTGTTTGAGTGTCCGTCATATCGTAACGAAGCATCCATCTTTACGAACCTGTGCACCCAATCCCGTCTTCTTCATGGCCGCTTCCACTATCCTTTGCTGTGTCGCCCTGCATTAGGGTATCCCTGGGCCTCCGGCTTGTTGACAGCTGTGAAGTTTTGCCACGCACAAGTGAACTTGCGCGGCTGTACGGCTGCTGCCTTCACTCTGCCCTAACGCGCGGCAGTCAGTTCAAAGTCGAGAATATCCTTCTCAGGGCCACAAAGAATCTCAACTGCGTCCTCGTCTCCCCATCCAAGCAACAGGCAGGATACCACCCGGACCTACGATCAAGAAAATACGCTTTGCATTTTAGCGCTCACGCTTTAAGATATTATTGTGGTGGAATTTGGATGCTGTGTTTGTTGGGGTTCTCTTCGGATTTTGAAGGCTCGTAGTTTTAATGCCAGTTTCTGTGGTGTATGAATGCATTTTAGGTTAGGGAGCAACCTGCAGCAGTGGGAGTACCGTTGGTATTGGAACCTATATCTGGATTTTACTTCTCCCCTGTTTTAGTTCTGGACTTTCTGTCTCTATATCCCTCAATTGTGATCGCCAACAATATCTGTTATTCCACTTGCCTAGGCTCTGTTGAGGTACGCTTTGACCGTTCGAGGTTTACGGCTGCGCTTGGTGTACACAGGTCTGATCAATTTGCCCCAGCTAAAGCTTTACACTCACAAAACATTTGTGTGTGTTGCTTTCACAAGCAAGGTGAACACGCTTTTTATATCAAGAGCACTATTGAGGGGGCAAAGTCTAGCGTATGTGCGCAGGTGGACCCGGTAGAGTCAGAAACGAAGACATTGGGAGTATTGACGGTACATGCACCCCCAGATGTTTTTGCCTGGGTCATTAAGGCGCATGCCGAAGCAATGGCAACGAGAAGTAAGCCACGATTGCAAAATTCTAGGAGCTGAATCTGTATGCTCAACCTCTGAAAATATGCTGTGGGGTTCGCATTGAATTCAGGGAGCAGACAGTAAGGGTTTGTATGCACAAATACATATACAAATTTCTCTATTACTGGGCCTTCTGATGCTCTCTGCATTCATCCCTCTCTGTTTGCTCATTTTTCACATAAAGGCGTGCATTGACATCGTCCTACACTGGCTTCTATTTCGGGCCCCCGGTGCTAGTATGCATCTGGTTTACAGTCCACAGTAATAGTGGCACTCTCTCAACTTGCCGTACCCCTCTATCTGCCTGCGCGTTCGCACCGCCCTTCATCTGTGGCTGCGCAGGCTCCCCTGGGTCAAGCGTGTGGGCCCAGCGGAACGATGCGATGCGAGTGCTGCCTGGGGGAAGCATTTTTGTGTCTCCTCATGTGCGGCAGGTAAGCAGGTTTCTTCTCTATATAAGAAATATCCTCTTTGATTGCGGTGTTATTAAAACGCATTGATGGTAGTAATCGCATTTGGGGTGAAAGCCTGAAGTCGCGCCGCTGACAATCCAGAACAGCGCAGTAAAGATGCATACACGGTTTTCATGAGCTGAATGAGTTTACATGGATGCCATGGTGGGAGCAGCTGAGCAACAAGTTTATTTTCCGGCTATTATCACATGTGCATGCCACCCAGGGTATCCTACCAGCCATCTTAAATGACATTCTCCAGACGCGGGTGATGGTCAAGCAGGCATCCAAAAGATATCAAGGTAATGTATAGCCTGACACGAATTCTGGTATACGTAGCATTTCAATGTATTAGAGGACTCCCTGTATTCGAGGCAAAATTGGAAGGCTAGCAGACTGTGAGGTGTTCTAGCGGGGTGCATTCGTGTGTGCATAATTGAGCATAATAGCAGCGCATGGAATTACTCAATGTCTCTATCGGACTGTCGATGTAGCGTTATGCGTACTCTCTCTCTTGGTATGGCGACACACTCAAACGCAAAGCCTCGAATCTTTGTATGCCTGAATGTGTAAATGGGCAATCAATAGCGGCTGCAGGTTGTAGATGCTGAATTGGAATTGTGGACTATTTGTGAGCTTAGGCAATGGGCAGGCAGATGAAGCGTTGTTAAGGAAACTGGATTACAGGCAGTTTGGTCTTAAGATGATTGCCAACGTAACTTACGGGTAAGGCGTTTTGCCAATACCTGTAAGCCCTTATACATCTACCTCTTGCTCTTAGATCCATCTGTGCGGTCTCGTTCTTTTTTCCTATGTTAACGATTCGTGAGTGTGAAAGGCAGTTTTTGAAAGCGCAGTGATTTTCCTTCGGTGCAGTTTGTTCTGCCTTGCCAGTCCATCTCCCTGCTGGTAATTATTCATGTTACTGCTCGAAAGCTTCATTTTGCTGCCATGGCCTTTGCAGTGTGTGGAGGTCTACCAGTGACCGTGATTGCAAACGATGTATGAGCATTGTACCTCGTTACTCCGTAGTACATTAGCCTGCCTTGAAGCAGTGTGCAGACGCAATGTTTGTGTGCTGGATGAGCGATCATGAGAGCTATTTAAATCTATGTTGCCTGCCTGTATAATATCCATTGTTGAGATACGTAAGTCCCCCACAAATATTTCTTTACGGACTAGATTAACTGGTGAACTTTCTTGTAACTCAGTCTGCTTCTTGGACAGCCGATTTATGCTGTACAGTTTTTGGAAACCTTTGCTACCTACAGGTATACTAACGCGAACGTCAGCGGCAGAATGCCTTGTTCAGACGTCGCGGATGCCATTGTCGAAACTGCGAAGGCCACTTTGATCCGTGCAATGCAACTTATTGAACAGACACAGAAGTAAGGCACATCCAAAAGCCTTCGATTTCACTGCTTCTTCGTTGTATATAGGGTATTCCTCTTTACTGGACGCTTGTGTTTGAGGAAGCAGGGGCAAGTGAGACATGCTAGAGCTAATGGCTGGAAGTTTTGGGGCATGTATATGAGGAGGAAGAGGTTCTTCCGCACGTTCCCGGAAATTTTCGCTAAATGCGCTTTTTGTGATATGAGGTGATGCCCCATAAGCTCAATATAAGTGTTACGGATCAACATAGCGTTGAACTGAGGGTCAGCAGCCACGAGATGCGATGCGCGACTCTTCTTGTTGACTTGTGCCACCAACCCAGGTCGCTGTACATGCGTGTTGAGTTGATTGGGGGCCGATGCAGCACGAGAGTCACGTGCGGACCCATAGGACTTCTATCCTTCTCTGTCCTCATGAGCAGGTGGGGTGCCCGAGTTTTGTACGGGGACACGGACTCGATGTTCGTTTTGTTGAAGGACAGATCCCTTGAAGCCGCATTCAGCATTGGCAGGGAAATCGCCGACGCTGTCACAAGGAGCAACCCAGCACCGATTACGCTTCAGCTGGAAAAGGTAATCCTGCAGTACCGTTTGAGCAGCTAAATGGAAACTATAGTCACTCTCGAATCCAGGTGCAGAGGGGTGGGGGTGGAGCTCACGGCATGTTACGGGTTTTAGCATACTTGCATATAATTTGGCATTTGTTAATGTGTCTCGAAGAGAAGCTCGCGCATACCTTCACATATCTATCTAGGTCCTGCCCAATCTACTAGCTCGCTTTTGCGGGCATCCTAGAAAGCACTGCATGCAGCTACGGCTGTGAAGCCTAATAGCTTGCTCGGCTCCATAGACTGCTTATACAGACCACGATAACGTGTACCGTTTTATATGTAGTGGTGTGTGCCCCATACTTGTGGGTTCCTTGGGGTATTTTGCAGATTTACCCGTCGTACAGAAGTACAATGCTTCTTGAGCTTGATATTTGCATCGTGAACGCTCTTTCTTCTGCTTAACCCGACTTTATGTCGGATGCTCAGGTTTATCTGCCATGTTGTCTTGTCACAAAGAAGCGATACGTTGGAAACGCATATTTCTCGCCTTCAGGCCCACCGATATTTGACGCTAAGGTAGGAATACATCCTTGACCGCTAACTGTCTTGCCATTTTCTCTTTTCTGCGTCTACACGGCTGGGATCGTAAAACTATCTGAAATCTCCCCTCAATGTTAGCCATGTGTGTACTGAGTTGTATATCTGTTGGTTGCCTCATTGTCTGGATGTGCTTATTCCTTTGTGCTGGATGTTTTTGTTTATGGCTACTCTACCCCTGGCCAGGGCATTGAGACTATCCGCCGCGATCAGTGTCCTCTTACATCGGCCATTCTGGAAAAAAGCCTTCGCCTCTTTTTCGAAACGCGAGATCTCTCAAAAGTAAAGCAAATGGTACGTTGCGCTACCTTGCTGGGGTGTAGGAGTAAGCACGCCTACCTAGAAGATTAGCATGGCCCACGCGCAGGCGTGATATGCACAAAAATCGAGAAGTATGTCCTTTAAAAACAAAGGAGAGACAAAGAACGAACGCAAAACTTCTAGTGGGGGATGCAAGAAATATAGTTGCAAATGTGATACATCATGCTGTTCTTTCGTGTTGTGTCTCTCTAGTCGTATGGTGAGCCATGATTATGCACTTGCGCATATGTGATCATGATACATATATATAAGTTACGAGTATACGGTTATTTGTGCTGGAGCTGTGGAGCCATGTGGTCATATGCTGACTGGCGTTGTTTGAATATATGAGAAATACGCCCTTACTGGTTTACACCCGTAACCGGCCGCTGTGCACTGTGCATGGCCTCAGTTGTACAGACAGTGGAGCAAAATGCTACGGAGTCAGATACCCATAAGGCATTACATTTTCCACAGAAAGGCTAAGCTCGGTAAGACAGTACTTTTGAGTGCGCTATGCTCTGTGTCGATACTGCCGTCAAATGCAAAGCTGGTTATATTCAGGTGTATGTATGTGTTGGATATGTATTTTGCGAGCTTGCCTGCATCTATCGACAGAAATATTATCGTTTCGCAGTTCCAGCTGTGCCTGCCCACCGCTCGCTGTACCCCTGATTGGTCGCTAACACAGCTTCTGCATATATGCATGCTCATCCGCGCCCACATTTGCACCCAAAAGTGTGCCGGCCTTTCTACATACAGAGAAATCGTCTAACTTGTGTTCGATGCTGGCCATGAGAGAGTTGTATGTTAATTGAATCCATGATGCATCTAGAGTATATATATGCTTCCATAGACATGCTTAGCTCTCTATACACGTGTACATGCACATTATTCCTTTTTGTATGTATCTACATGATTGCCAGTTTTGGGGCGTGTCTGGGCTCAAATCTACTCGTGTTCAGGGACCTACCGAGCAGAGACAGGTGACGCCCCTGCGGGGACACTTCCTCCCCAAGCCAAAGTGTTGTATGAGCGCTTGTATCACCAGCGAGACTACAACGGAGAAGCCTCAGCTTCTTACGGCATAAGGGTTCCCTTCGTATTTTCCCATGTTGCGGGGGACACAGATGTACCTTTTGGTGCCTCGGGTGCTTTGGCCCGAGGAGCCGGCGTTCGGCTGGTGGACTGCGCGACCTCCCCCGATAACGTTTACGGTGGGCGGAGAGACCATAAAGAGATGCAGCAGCTGTTGAGCGGATGGGTACACCCTTCGTTAAGGCCGCTATCGCTGGTGCTGACACCAGAAGAGCATCTGCCCCATCGGCAGCAGCAGCAAGAGGATCAGCATCCAGTGGCACAAGTACATCATCGATATTACATTACCAGGCAGATTATTCCTGCACTTGACAGGGTTTTTTCTCTTCTCCCCCCTCCGGCATCTGCAGACTTGCTGCAGTGGTTCAGGGCAATGCCAAAGCCAGTTCAGCGCTTGACTGCACAGGCAGCTGGCCACACACCCATGCGCCGACACCAACTGCAACGGCAAAAGGGGAAGCACTTTCTTCTGAAGCAACTTGGCATAAGATCTATAACAGCTGAAGGAACACGGGAAAGGCTGGTGCTACAGAAGTTCTTTGCTGCTACCTCTTGCCTTTTTTGTGGGGGCAGATGCAAAGAGTTGGATTCTGAACTTTTAGCTGCTTCCTCCGAAAGTGCGTACAATACCAGAAGCTCAGAATGGCATAGATCCGCTTGTTCCAACGTGGAAGAGCCTCAGGAGATAGCCATTCGTAAGAACTTCGTGCAGCAGCTCCAAAATGCTTCTTTTGGCATCAGTAGCAGCGGTGAGAACGAGATAGGGGATTCTCAGACGCTAAGAACATCGAGGAGGCTAAAAGAAGGATATGCAGGCTTGACGCAGAGAGAAAGGGTCTTAGTTCTGCCCCCTATCTGCGAAGGTTGCAGCAACAGTCCTGCATTGATATGCGTGTGGATGCACCAGCGGCTCAACAAAATTGAAAGAAGATTGGCAGTAGCAGCAGACTTCTGCAGGCAGTGTGCAGGTGAGATTTGTACGCATTAGCAAGGTGTGGCACAATTTTAGGTAGGCTAGGTCTCTGCTTTTGAACGCGAATACGTGTTCCAGACCGCGTGGCGATGCAGGATAGGGAGGATTGAGACGTCAGACCGATATAAAATATGTAGATTTATCATATTGGCATAGTCTATTACAGCGGAGATATGTTTGTCTTCGAATGTATCACGTTTAAGGAAAAATATGTGCGCGTATAGTGTATATCTACATGGGGCGTCTGGATATGTAGACAATCTGGGCCGAGCGAGATGCCACTGCGGTAAAAACGAATCGCCTGGATTTACATCCGCATGTGCTCGCAATATCGACTATTTATTAGACAATGCTGTCCTTGGATGCGTGTATTTTCTCAGGGTCTCGCCTCTGTGCGGACAGTTGTCTGCAAGCTTGGCACTGCGACGTGTACTTCAGGCGAAGCACAGAAGCAGATAAACTACGGGCTCTACAGCGTCAAATGCAAAGTCTCGGATTGAGTATTAGCAAATAAACGATATATTTACCCCTTTTTGGGGATGGCCATACAGGAAGGACGGGCGATTTAGTTCACTTGCATCTTTGTATGTGTTTTTTTGGTAAAGGACTTTGATCTTTGGACTTTTCAACTTGTGCTTTCAATAAAGTATGATCTAGCTTTTTTGATTGGGAGCAGGTTACGCATATTTTTTTGGCGACACCGTCAGAAGACCTTGGTGAGTGCTGACAGAGCAGTTGGAGCGCGTTCACAAAAGGGGCGCCAGCGGAGCGGCGACTGATTTTCTTGCCACGTATTTTGAATAATTTAATGCATATGAGTAGATTAAATATAAGGGTATTCATTTTAACCGTGCTTCGCTACTTCATCTGTTGCTCTTTCAGCAGTGCAAGTATTAACGGATGTGGGCCTACACATTGAAGGGACACCGCACCGCCTAATCCTGGAGCCCGTTCCGCCCAATAGTACTGAGGGGCCTAAAATAAGCGGCACAGTATTTGTGCTTGATCCTTCAAACTATATTAGGCTTATTTCATGTAATGTTTACTATTATTCTAGTCTGACAGCATTTTCTACAAGCCTTCCAGTGCATTGGCTGTTCAACATCGACGGGGTGCAGCAAATACCAAAGCGGTTCGCTATTGCCTTCTATTTCTTTTTCTCTCATTGCCGTTGTGCAAGCGTTTCAACGTTTATATGAACCTCGAAGCAGATGGCATGAATACGACACTGGAAGCACTCAAGTAGGAAAGCCCCCTGGGGAGAGCTACAAGAGGAGAGCGTTCCCCACGCAATCCGACAACGAAGAGTAATAACTATGGCATTCACACATTTTACAACATTTTAGAGTACAATAGAATCGGTCTTACTTCTGACGCTTATAGCTCAAAGTTTTCTCGTCGATCACGATTTGTTCAGCGTGCCTTGCAGGTAGCTTCGACAAAAGGGTTACAGCTCCTCAACGGGGTAACCAGCCATCCAGGCCTTACAGACAGCTGAGAGTACCAGATTCACGGAGCTACAGGCCAGAGCTGGTTAGTAATCGATTCAGCAACAGTGATAGAAACAGCGTGTAAGGGATAGCCTAGTTGTGTACATCAAGAGATCCAGGATGTCTCCGCCCCTTCAGGGGCAGCTACGAAGCCCTCCACTAAATCTCCTACAGCTCGAGGACCCCCTTCTTGCAGTAGCCCTTCCAGTAGGGGGTCACGAAGACGGACACTCCCGGCTTAAATATGGTGGTACCCAAGGGTCTCTGGTAGCTCCGAATGCCGGCAATGGCAGCACAGTATTAGCGATGCTAGAAAGCTTACTCGTTCGGGGCCTGTGGTTAACGGTTAGTATACAAGCGGGGTCACCTGATGGTCCTTCCATGGGCCTCCAGCCAATTGGAGCTGTTTTGTACCTACCGTTCGTTCGGGAAGGCCGAGTGCACCCAAAGTTGCAGGTACACATTGGCTCTAGAGAGCTGAAGGAGTGGGATCATCAGTTCGAGGTCAATTTATCCGTCTCTACAGTATCATTCTGCTCAAACTGTTGGAGCTCGAGCCTCGGGGGCCTACCAGAAGAGACTGTACAACACAAAAATCCAGAGGGGGCTCTACAAGGAGGCAATGATGAGTCGCACAGCGCAATGGCTGAGACCAAAGCAGCTGAATGTTCTAGTGTGAGACTCATATCTGCATGTGGTTCTCTTATCTGCTTCGTGGGGGGTCCTCATATGCCACTGGAGAATCAAGTCACCCACGACGTTCTACGGATTTTTAGGGCATTCGAGTTCGACACAAGTCTGTCACAATCTGATTCTTGTCACTTTCCTGGCTATTTAAACCCCCACAATTCCCCTTTAAAAGTGCAAGCCAAGGCCTCTTTGGCTGTAAAAGTTGTTTTTGATGGAAGGGAGGAGAGCCTGGGTTTAAAAAGAATTTCAAAAAGTGCACTAGGTCACGCGTACAATCGGTTGCCGATAGCCTCTGAGTGGCAGACCAACCTTCAGTGAGCTTGGAGGAATAAACAGGGCACAAAATCGGGGTCGCATAGCGTTCTTGCCGTGTACATCTCGTCGAAGGGATACTGTGTTTTACGTGTTTCTAGGCCGGCTATATGGGTTCCTTAGTGCTGCTATCAAGAGCGATTCCAGCCCGAGTCCCCTGGGCTATCTCCTAGAATCCTTGCCCCTTTTCGCCTTAAGTTCTCCGCTCCAGAGGCAGTGAGTTTCGTTCTTGGTCCACGAGCCAGCAAGATGCCCCCATACTTTTGTTGCCCCCAAAACTGCAGCAGGATGCTCGTCTGGGCTCACATCCAAAGTTGTCTCTGCTTTCTACAAAAAGCAAGTTTTTCTTTTTGGCACACGAACTGCAGGAACTTTGTTGCCGCTCGAAAATCGCCTTTTGTTGAAAACAGAGACTGTTCTACAGCACCAGCAGCAACACACTTGAGGTTTAAAAAAACGGCCATAGAATATGATGGCTATTCTTGGCATTGTCAAGGAGCTAGTGACCCAGCTCGACCTTGGCCCAGTGCCCTCGCATGCAGCTGGATCACCCATATAGCCATCCATGTAAACTCTTCATCCTTCTGCTGAGAAGTCAATTCCCCTAGCTTGCACAAAAGGTTAAATCCCTAGGCCCTGATCTGAAATATATGGGTTCTCAGCTTAATTCCGCGACGCGCGTTCAGGCAGATGGAGTCAGGGAACGCCATGCACTGCTGTGCGCCTTTCGACGGGTTCTACTTGATATAAACGAGAAAAGCTCTGGAATGACATCAGCTCTCGAACGTCCAAGCAAGGAGGCAACTGTTGGTCTTGAAAGTACTATCCCCTCTGAAACAACTATTGTCGTATGGCTCAAACCCTATGCGCTACCCGTTGGTGCCTTTTCCGTCTTTAGGTAGACATTGAAGGCCTGCTGGTTTTTGCCTTGCATCTAAATGACACTAAGAGTTTCATAAAAATAAATAGGCAAAGCTACATTTCCTAAATGCGTGGACTTCTTCTTGTAGGGTGCTTCTTTTTGCGGAGACGGCTCAGACCGTTGCTCGAACCAGAGGCAAGACACCGCCCAAATACTAAATTATCATCTTTGGTCTTTATCTTCGCACGCTACTCCCTAGATCGCAAAGCCTACAGACCTTAGTCAGTCCTACAAAGCCTTCTGGTGCGGATGCTTTGATCCTAAGCTGTAGTGAAGAGAAGACGGCATCTGGAGTCCCAAACCACGATGACGAGCCCGCACTCCAGCTCAAGTAAATAGCAAAACTACAGCAACTTGCGTAACAGAGTAACCTCTTACTCCTTGATCTTGCTCTATCCAGCATGTTTTCGTAAGGTGTTTTTCCTCTCTGCAGGAAAAGGCCCCTCAACCCGAATGCAGCTCCCTTCGTCCCTCGAGCTTCTGCACAATCTACAGCAGCTACGAATGTGTCAGCTGTGTTGCATGATGCCCAAACCCTCTATGGCGCTCCGCTGCAGCCAAGAGCGTCAGCAACAGCAGTAGATCATGTGGGAGAAGCCACAACAGCAGGGATACCCCTGTATAACCATGGAGTCAAAGAACATTTGATTGGCTTGACACAGTTTCAGAGCAGTCTGATTCCAGCCTCAACGCACAATAAGTTTGAGGCTGACATCTACAGAGAGATGCACCCCTCCATTGAATCGTTCTCCTCAACTCTCAACCGAAGTTCCTATCTGACTGAGCCCCCAGGAAGACTTTGGTCACCTTCAGGCTATACGCCCAGGGAGGGCAACATGGCAAGGCCCCATAGGCAGAAGATCTGCAGAGATATACTGGGGGACCGGCCACCCCATTTGACTGCTCCAAGACCTGAGAAATCCTGGGAGGCAGGATTAAGTGCGACGTTAAACACCTGTCAGTACACCCCAATGTCTCTCGTTGCATTACGACGATACTCACTCCTGAGACAGCCAATCTGTAAGACGCTAGGCTTCGTTTTACACCAAAAGGACATGCAACGAAGACCGGAGAGTTTGCCCCCCTTGCTGCGCTCCCTCCCTTTTGGTCCTCCTTTTAGAGTGCCCAGTACAGCTACAAAAAGCTCTGGCGGATTAGCTCCAGTGCCCGCTCCCTATTACACGCGAGGGCCTCAAAAGTTACACGCACTTCGGGTCCCACCGCTCCTTTCTGCGCGTGAGACTCTCTTCCAGAGCTGCCGAGGACACCAGCCGCAGATGCATATACCACTACCATCTGGCTGCGCTTGTGACTTTTGGACGACCTGGGAGGCTTTGTCTAGCCTACAATCCTTTTTGCCAAGCCGCAAGGCGATAACTGCTCCGCCCCTTCTCCCCAACCCAAAGGGAGCCACCACATCGACGTTTCCCTTACCAAAACATGACACCTGGGTACTATCTAATAATATTTCGGCGCCTTTCGGTGAGGCATACTCTTATGGACGGTGCTCACAAACCTGTGCTCTCTAGGACCTGTAAGTATCATTTCTACAAGGAGTAAGTACAACCTCAGGGGTGTACCAGGAAAGGCCGTAAATAACTTCGAGTGTAGTCCATGAAGATAATGGCACTTGCGCCCAAAAGCTGTTGCTAGGGAATCGTAAAGAGCTTCAACAGCAAATTAAAGAAAGTTAGGATTCCTGGGGTGCCCTATTCTACCGCTGAGGAAGTCTGTTCTCTGCGACACTGCAGGAGGCCGAAGTTCCCACACGAAGATGTGAGCTTCCTCTGGCAGCGCAGGAAGACGGTACTGAAGCAGTGCCGAAGACATGCTTCACCGTGCCATACAGGATCCTACGAAAAATAAACAGCAGTCATGTAGGAAAACGGCAGACTCGGAGAAAACTTTGGTCCTACGAGACTGCGAAAACAATAGACACTTACTGCTGTCAAACTGATTACGCTTCTGCACTTTGATGAGAATTATCGGCCCTTTAATGGGGACTTGTTCAACAGGAACGCTCAATTCGCTATTGCTACACGTCTCTGAGCTCCAAAACGAAGGCGTGCAAAAAACAAGCAACTATCTAGTAGCTAGATTGCTTGTCACATTTCCAATAGAAATTTACTCTCGAATTGTTTGCAGTCTTACAAGCAAGAGCATTCCATGACAGAATATATATTCGTTTTGCAGCTAGCTATCAGCAACTTGGCTTGTAGCCTATTGCTCATGCTGGCGAATATATATTTCCTCAGACCTGCCTAAGCTGAAAGCTAACTAGCTTTTGTTTTACACATTAATCTTTGTCCCAACTAAATATGACGTTAGATTCGTTGCCCTGTCTGCACAGTGGCGATGGTCCCATCTGCAGCACCCACTCGCTATTCGTCTCTACTTGAAATGTGGCGATACCACAGTGACCACATTCCCCTAATGTTTGTTGTTGAGCCATGAAGACAAGGTAACCGGATAATTAGCAAAACAGATCAATTGTTCTGGTTTGGGTGCCCTCGACATGCATCTGCCCCACGTAAACTCCATTAACGGGAATTGGATCCACACCGGGGGACTCACATTGCCCTCCAGAACCGATGTCAATACCTAATTAAAGTTAATAAATGACTAGGGTTCCTCTTCATAATGTACCTGCTTCCTTAAAGGATGGGGTACGGTTTCATTAGAGTATCCGTCCAGCCGTTCTGGGCCTACCATGTCGGGGTGTGGATTTGTTTCGACAAACGCAACGGGATCCTTAAGTATCTCGTCGTGATTATACCGGGGATGCAAGGAATCAAATGTATGGTACACATTAGTCCTAACGTGTGTAACGAATTGCTGAAAGCTCCGAGCCCCTATGGGGAGAGCGATTGGTTCTCCGTGCTCGTCTAATGGCACGTCTTCGTCGTCATCTTCATCCGCGTGTTCCTCTTCGAACAGTTCAAAATCATCGATGTCACCAGTTTCAAGAGACCCATCCTCAGGAGCATGATACACTTTCTGCAACAAAAGGGCCTGCAGATGCTGACTACTTCTGCGAGTGGGATCGGCTGCAAAATCAACAAAAAGTAACAAACGGAGGACCGGCGTGTCCATCAGGATTTTTCAACTAGCAGAGCTATGCGATTCAGTCGACATAGTCCCTTGAATTAAAAGTTGAATCCTGTGAAACAGAAGTGCTACCATATGTATAGTGAATCTGCATCTGTGTGACTGCCACTTGCTTACCCTCAACTTTGATTGAACCATCAGGACGAGACCCTCCAGTAGCTGGGTCTCTAACGATCCAGTGAACACTCTCTGGCGCTCCAAACTTTCTAAACGTGCCGTCATTCTTCTTGCTGATTGGTAGTATTGCTCCGTGTGCAAGAAAGGCTACGGGTTGTGGGTGCTGCAAGTCCAGTTGTTCGTTGAACACCCATGTATGGTGCATGTGGTCGTAGTATAAAAACATGGAAGACGCTTCGCCCTCCTGAGCAAACCAACTCGTAATTTGATCACACACAACAGCTGGTCACCATTTTTATCGTAGTGGAAGGGGTCCGCGGCTGGCAACATGCCAGCCTGCTTGGTGCTACCGCCGTTCTTTTGTATGCCTCTTTGCCTGCGTCTCACTAGGCGACGTTGTCTTGACCGGCCAAAACATTTGTGGGTGCACAGCTATACGTCCCGTGGTATCTTTGCTCGTGTTAGACGAGTTTCAGTGACTGTTCACCTTCTGCCAGATAAGTCTGCCATGATTGAGGTGTGGTTTTGGCCTGCCATCTTGAATCATGTACATTTTGTAGGTCCCAGATATTTTTTGAGCTCTCCTTCCACTACTGACTGCTAAATATTTAGGAAAAAGAACATTTTTGGAATGCGCACCAATCACATGGGTGTTGTTGTGTTGCCCATCAACGAACGGCAAGCGATACAGTGGTGTCCTCAGGCCAGGAATACCCGCAGAGAGATGCAGATCTTCGTGGGTAACACCGTCCTGAAGGAAAAGTATCACTCAACACAAGGCTACTTGCAATCAAGCCAAAATTCAGTATACTGTAGGTAGCTACATTCAGGGCAAACTAGCCCATGTGCTGCCTTCTAGGACCAGCAACTGCGAAGAAGCACTGGGATGTGGGGCTTGGTCCACTGCCTTACCCAGATGTCGATGTATTCTGGTTCATCAGGGTGCTGTTTCACTTCGTCAAAAACGCTACTATGATCTAAACCGTATTCAGGATGAGTGTCTGCAAGATGTTCATGAGTTTCTGCATCATATTCATCGTGCAGGTATCCATGGGCATCTTCACTCTCATCATCCTCTGCCTCTTCGAATTCCCATTCTTCGTGATCATATTGAGTTTCGTGTAAGGGATGCCTGGCCCCGGATCCAGGGGTCATATTTTGATGTGCCAAGGAGTTGCTCGTGTGCAGCATGTCGAGAGCCGCAACAGGCTGACGGTGGCCTCCAACGCGCTGGCTCACTGCTGTTTGTGCCTCGGATCTACCAGACGAGGATTCAGGTGGTGTCACTGTTGTGGTTGTCTTAGTTGTGGGTGGTTTAGGCGAGCGATAGAGGGGTGTAGAGAAAAAGACAAACACAAAGATCACGCAGGCGGCAAGAGCAATCCAAAGCCGACTGGCCTACGCGAAAACATGATAAAAGCATATTAGGAGGCAACCATGACTAATTCTGTCAATGAAAAAAGTCAAACAGAAATTTGCTTTCCGGTCTCCGTTCCCTCTATGAGGGCAGGCATGAGACACTTAAATGGGAGGGGGGATATCCTTGACCCTCTGACAATGAAGAAGAAAGTACACGACTGACCTTTTTGAGGTTTTTTACAAGATTCTTGTCCTTGCACCCCTCATTTGAGCTAAATTTATCAGCGGCAGTTTCCAGGTCAATCTCGACAGATGTCGAAAACATTCGGGGCCTCATCCCTGGAATATACATGATGAAGACTACGAAAAGTCAAGACAAATCTATCGCGATTTTAGGGCTGGAACACTGCAAGCTAAGCGTGATCAGTGTTTGGGCAGGAGGGCCTCAGAAAGCGAAGCAAAACGACCGGACCGGCACTTGCAGTGCCCCTTCCCCGTCACCAGCCGCCGCAGGAATCTAGTTGCTGAGCCGTAGAAGAAAAGCACAAAGGCGAAGCAAATCCCCAGAGCTATAGCAAGACAGAGAACCGAAGAGATTACAATGAGCTGGACTGTCTCCGCCACAGCAATGTTAGTAGGGCTTCCCGAGGGAAGGCTGGTCGTCGGCGGCGGAGCGGGCGGTCGCGACTTAACCATCCCAGAATTAGTTTTGCGCTTTTCCTCTTGTTTTATAGGCTTGTAAATTCAACTTAAAGGATTCGACTTAAAATGCAAATTAATTCAATTGAATTTATCGGCTAAACTACCTAGTGGAATGGATGCTGGACGAGGGGGTGGAGGACACAATCTACGCAATGTAATCCGCAGCATTGCTGAGACTCGTGTGACCCAAAGCCTAATTATCTCATTAGAAATTTCATATCCCATCTAATAAACGTGGATTTCACTGACCTTCCTGTCAGCATTTGAGGTAGTTAGGCAGGAGCTCTGGGCGGCCTACCGCGTCAGAAGTAGCAGCTTATGCAGAAATGCCCTTGGCAATGGATTGCGTTGCAATAATCTTGACATAATATGCCAATTGAAGACGAATTGCGCCACTTCATGCCTCTATGCGTTCCCACAGTGTCATGAAGGCCCAATGTTAGCTGCCAAAACTGCCAGTCCCTCCTTTACAGGTGCTAGATTGCGCATGGCGCTGCCCCGAGGAAGCGTGCGCTCATACCAGCATGCCTTTTGTAACACTGATGAACGCCATTCTATAAGCTGGTGGTACCTGAAGGAAAGGAAGGTACTCATAGACGCCTCATGGAAGTGTACATCTTGAAACAGAAAAATTCGGAACGACTGTGTAACACAAGATTTCAAGCATCCCTATGCACTCAGTAAATCACTCACTGACACTGCAACTCGATCAAAGGCCATCTCCTGAAAGCATGAGTAATTTTTGGGCTGTCCCTAGCGTTTTCCAGGTCTTTTGCTTCCACAGCGCTTCCGCTCTGGAATTCCTAGTATATGCTGACCGCCTACTGTCCACTTTTGGTTTCGGTTCTTCACTAAATTCTCTCCAACAGGGTATGACCTAGTTTACCTTCCTGTAGCCGCGCATGGAAACGCCTACGCATAGCATCATCGAAGTCTAATCGGCACGCATTTATGTATATTCTAGCTCAGCACTCAGTTCAATGTCTGCGTGCATACAGATGGAATTACTTGCATAAACCAGGCTTCCGCTTTGCTGCTCCGATAAGGATAATCGAGAAAACCGGGTTTTCACGCTTCTAGGGTATACGAATCAATTGCTCCGCCGTCACGCCCATGCTTCCCAGAACAGAAATGCGCAAACAAGATCAAAATCAAACAATGGGTTTTCAAGTTCATACTAGCAAGATTATCCCTTTGTTAGCGTTTTCAAGTCGTTGACTTTCACTGTACTTCAGCTGGCGTGCAATCTTTCCACGAACTGCCGCTTGGGCGGCAAAAGCAATATCTTGAGCACACTCCAGGTGGCTTTCACCCAGCAATGGAGCAAGCATGTGAGGCGCGAATCGCCGCATACACAGTTTAAGCCACCGACTAGTGCAATGCTCTGGTGTCGTCTGCCATCCTGTACTTCTCGGTGCCTTACGGCACTTGAACGGCGGTAAAGCAAAAATAGCTAGAACAATTTTAACGCGCAATCCTAAAGTTTTTCTGGACAGTTTATCGCGCTGGGACAAAAGAAGCTGGGTCCATCAGCATAAAAGACTGCGGCTGGTGACCTTATTCACCCTCATATACCCATAGAAGTGTTAAGTGCTGGGGCAGTAAACAGGCGCCCTATTAAATATTAGGGCGGTGTGAAGAGGCCCCTATCGTCAAGCGAGCAGTAGCAAGAGCGCCTCGAACTCATTCTCTGAGCGACAAACCCTGTAAATGTCAGCGTTTCTGGGTTCAGCGCGCTCGATAACTGGCCACTGGAGACTTGAAGGGGCCCATGATGCACTCCTACAGTTTTTCATATACTTTTAAAAGTCCCGCCACTGCCCGGCCGAATGTAGAAGCCCCCAAAGCGTAGAGGATATCTGACGAAGGTAAACCGAGTACAAAGAGGCAGAAATCACATACAATATGTCAGCACACGACCATTAGAAAGCAGAAAGAATTAGTTGTAAACTGTGGTGGAGCACGAAGTAGCAAGATTCAAAGTCAAAGCAAACGGTTGGCCGGATCAAAGCCCTCACTCTTGTATATTCCTGGTGGTGGAGTGTCTTCGTAGTCGTAGCGAAGCACCAGAGATGGGCGAGGATGCCATGTTTCGTTTGCTGCCAATTTAGGGAAACATTATATGCAGGTTAGCCTCGAAATGATGAAGCATGCACCCTGTACACTGCAGCTCCATCAGCAACAGTGTAAATAAGTGCAAGGTAATGGGACGGCAGCATAAGCAGCACATGCAAGTGGTTTACTTACCTTGCCCCCTATGTAGTAGCCTTGAGTCGTAGACAAGGAGATCACCAGGTTCTAGCACAGCCTTCACTGTTGTACCTCCAGCGAGAACGTTTCGAAAAAACGCCGGCAGAGAGCACATCCAATGAACCCAACTGTCTTTTCCGTCCTGCAGCGAGAGAAAAAAGCATTCGACACCAAGTCATGAAAATGAATGTGGGGCCACTGAGGCCAGTCTAGAAGCCGCATCCTATCCAGTTCCTGCACGCGAACAAGGATTCGGAGCTACATTATCAGCAAGAAGAGGAGTAATCTACGCTTTACCTCGCCAGACAGCGTGTGCGAACCCGGAAGCAATTCTGTAGGACCGTTGCTCGAGTGCACATGCACCAATGGGATGACTACCGTTATGCCGCGGTGCGAATTGTCCCGATGCCAAGGCTGGGCGAGAGCTAGTGCATCTGACACAAGGAATAAGAGACATGGTTCTTCATCTCTTGCATACCTGTTTCCCCTAAGGCGCCGAAAGAGAAGGGACGTATCAGTCCAAATGGTGTGGCCATACCTGCATTTACCGTCTGCATCTCGGATACGAACAACCTGCGACGAAGCAACACATGGGGAAGCCAAGTTTGCGCTTGAGGAGTTACAGAAATAAGCAGGCCATTGCTCACTAGGTCTCCGAATACATAGAGGCATAATGACCAGCCCATCCGCTCAGTGGAGTGGACTTCACGTGCGACCGTCGTTGCGAGTTTTGTGCATCATACTTGTTTTTCTTTTTAGCCCCGCCTGCTTCCAAGTGAGCTCCACTGGGAAGATATGAATGCACCAGAGGCATCAAAAGACGCTGAGCGTCAACTATAGAATTCTCTACCAACGACCCCCGGAGGAGACAGTGTAAGCGTCCTACAAAACACACGCCAAATGTTTCAAGTGACACACAGACCAAAACGTGTACAAACAGTATGGAAGCCTACTGACCGAAGTGAGAAACAACAGCAAAGCTAGCACAAACAGGAACAGCATGGCTAGCAAGGCAGCACACCATAAGTAGGTCTGGTGCAGTACACGTTCGGATCCACCTCCTTCATCTTCATCCCACCTTCGGCAGCCTGTAAAGATATAGGCCATACGGAATTCCATGAATTGTAATTCTGTGCAAGGGCAGACACATCAAGACTACACTGTGCACTTGATGACCTGCCTCCATACCCTACGAGAGTAAGCGTACCGTAGCGGTTGCAGAAAACGTTGCCTGCTGTAGTTCTTGCAGTTGCTTCGGGGTGAGAGCGTTCTTCAGGACAATGAAGCCCTGCTTGGATATCGCATCTTTAGCAGCCTTGACATCAGACGCCCGTAAAAACAAAGGCAACTCCAGGGCGCTTGTCGCACGTGGCTTTGCCTTGCACCTGCAGTGTTCGCGCATCACTGCCCTATCCTAGAGAGCATCTCTTATGTTCCATACGAAAAATCTGAAAGAATGGTCTTGGGCATTATGCGACTTAGGAAATACCTTACACTAATTGTGCCATGAATAAGGGATTGGTTGGGAGCTTACTGCTCTGCAACATCGGCATAAGACGCGAGGGCCATGGGTGTGCCTGCATTCTTTCCAGTGTTGAGCGCAGATAGTTGTCGTACGCGTCGTGAACTGCTTTCTTGTTGCTGGCTTTGCTTATCGGAGCCTAGCCCCTGTAGTGAACCACTGCTAACCCAGCTGCTGCAAAGGCTTTTGAGGACCTGCTTGTCTACTGCAGTAATAAACTTAGCCAAAGCATCCCTGCCACTTTCAGTGAATAAGAGTGGGAGCATCGAGCATTCTGAGCTGTCGGTACTGCCCTTGGTGCTGCTACGAATTTCCCGCAATGCCTGGATTAACTCGTGCGTGGGCCGGACAAAGTCACACCCTGAAGCAGCAGCACGTATTTCTGGGTTGGAGAATACATCAGTGAAGGTGCGTTCTATCTCTTGCAGGAGCAGAGGCATGTCTGCATCGCTCAGTGGTCCATGCCGATGAGCATGAGTTTCCTGTTGCAGCTGGCGAGTTGCCAGGTCGCAGAGCAGTGCTGCTTTGAGTTTTGCGCAGAAGAGGTTTTTCAAATGAATATGTAACTCTATTGGAGAGCCTCCCTTTACACAATTGATAAGCTCATCCGGTGTGCCCAGGCTGGGGTTCGCTACTGCAAGCTCCTCAGCCCACGAACTGCTGGGAATTTCTGCTGCTGTAGCTGCTGCAGCCGCATCAGCTCCTGCCTGAGCTGCTGCAGCGGGGAGACCCAAAGCCAGCAGTCTCTTGCGATGCCGTTGCCTACACAACTCGGCGTTATTCGAGACCGCCTGTTCACTGAGGGGTTCGTATGGCTTTCCATATATTTCAGGAATGCCTTGAGGGCCCATGGCCGACGGGCAATGGCGTTGTTTATATCGGTGCAAAAGCAGCAACGCTGCACCTGCGCATACAAGCAGTCACAGCGATGTGTCACCCTCTGGAGATAAGGTCAAGCAGACCCTCGTAGTTGGACTAGCCAAAATTGGAGGCAGGCTCTGTGAACTTTTGTGCAGCATCGATTCTCAAGCAGGTTCACGTGCTCCAAACTCTTCAGCTTAGCTATCACTGCTCTTACCACCTGCTACAACCGTCGTTGCAGTGCCGGCAAGGCATTGCAGGGCTCTGCGGACCGCCCTGGGCCTCATCGAGGAGACGGCAGGTCGTTGTGCCGCTAAAGATTCAGGAACGTGCTGTGTCCCACCAGCTAAACGTCTTTGTGATGGACACGTTTCTCTTATGTCTATATAAAATGAGGAAAACGAAGGGAAAACAAATGTGTCTTGGTTTTTCATTGTCGACTAACTGGGGCCCCCTACCCCAGGAGACCCCACCCGATAACTTGATGGGGCTGGGAGTTCCTGAGCCATGCTATATGGTAATTTCCTAAAACTACGGTGGATAGATTCACACGCAAATGAGGAATATTGCAGACAGTAGAATACAGCAAATGACACAAAGCTTATGGAGATTAATACTGCCAACAAACATCAATCTACATCGACCAGGACTTGAGTGTCCATTTGGAACAAGCGGAGGCATTTCATCACAACCTGTTATTGAGAAAGGTCTACTTCTAAACCGTACTTAACAGATGGAGGTTGTAAAAGGCTTTAATTTAAGTTTGGCGCATGCACAGATGGTGGATGGGGCGACGAAAAATCGTGCTGTGAGAACAAAATCTGGACGCAACAGCTGATTCCTGCATAGCGTTGTAGGAAGATTTCATAGCTTGATATATAGCCTCCAATCATCTCTAAATTATTAGTGCTGACGCAGATTGAGCGGTATTCCGGTCTCAGACATGCTTATTTACTTTCTACTACGCTAGATGTGTTTAACTAGGCACTAGTAAACGAACTGACAATTTAATTCGTTTGTTTGTGTATCTTATACATTGCACACCCACGTTGGCTAGATTCAGACACCTGAGTTGTAGTTTGCTTGTGCGTTATATATAATTTGCAGCAAGCTGTGACTGCTCAGCGTGTTTGGAGGGTGCAGGGATCGGTGTGGAACCTGCAGCTCCCTCTTCATGGCGGGATCTCTCTGACAGGCTGGCAGGCGAATGTCTAAGTTCTTGTGTAACGCAGTCAGTAACTTTCTATCAAGTTTGTATTGAGTGCAGAGTTCATTAACTCCCTACAGCGACCTCAGATAGAACGGGAAACCTGGTAGCACCGCATGGTTCGATGCAGCTGTTACCTGCTCAACTCGTAACTGTGGACGCAGTGGGATATAATCTTCCTTCTACAACGACTGTCTGGTCCGATTGCGCTATTTATTGGTTGAATAACTTAGTATAACGTGACAACATGCGGGGAGAAAAAATCTCTGGCAATGATGTATAGCGGTGGCAAAACGTGTGTTGGGGCAGCAGAGGCATTCTTGCGAGCCGAAATAAACGCAGCAGCTCTAACAGCTAGTAAAGAGGCATGAAATCCTGACCTATCAAATGGCCGTGGATGCGCTGATAAGGTTATGCCGCCTAGTACAGTAGGACGGCCGAAGGAGGGGCAAGTACTCGAAGGTTTCATCAGCCGGTACAGATGTATGTCGACTTTTTCTCCTTTTACATAAGGAGGAACGAGGGCTCTTTGCAACATGCACATCGGAAGGAGAAGCGCTTCAATGGTTTCTCAGCTCACGCACATGACGGAGTCTGCCTGCACGGATTAGTACAGTTCAAGACTCCATACAAGCCCTGACCTACTGGTTTCTACCGAGATCAAGTAAATCGCAAACTGAGAGTACTTAAAAGGCTAAAGCAAAAAGCTCATCAATATGAAGAAATGTAAAGCTTTGGTTTGTATAAACACAAGGTAGATGGAACAGCTGCTTTAACAGTGGCTTACCTAGGCTAAACGAAGTGGCGCATTATGTGGTTGCAAGGTGGGTAGTGACTCAGCGAGTCGACAACCAATCGGTTGGGCTGACGAACATGATGGAGTGCGTGAAATTTCCGAAGAGAATTGCGTATCTCATGCGTCTTTGGCTAAAATATATAAGCCAAGTAGGAACAGAACCAATGGATGTCGGGTTGGGTCTCCTGGCCCTAGCATACAATTCAGGATAAATGACAGAAGAAATCTAAAAGGAACCCACCCACCCTCCAAAGGATTTCACACGGCCCTCTATGCAGCTTTTTCTATAGTAGGATATTAGGTCCTATAATCCCGAGGTGCAAGCACATGCGAAAGGGCAAAAAGCTTTAACAACGGAACTAGGCTCTGCGGAAGCAGGCTGCTTAGCGAGCAACGCTCGTACACCTGGGAAATGGAAAGCCACCTGCTCAGGCTGCGGTGCAGTAAAACCGCCGTTCGGCTCCAGATCCACAACAGGTCGATTCCGCGCTCACGCTAGTTTATTTAAATGGCCAATAGGTGATATAGTTGCCTGATACTGGGCCATAGTGGTTTTCTTCTATGAAGAGACGGCACAGAGGTGCGATATACTTGATCACTCATTGGCACAATCCCTTAGCAAATCCCTGGATCAGACCCAAGCCATGCCCCATAGTATCCGGAGCCCCCCCCAATTAAAGAAGATACATAAAAGCAGGAGGAAGCTTTGCGCTAAGGCACACTGCAGGAATTGGTAGGGAATTCAGGGCGTAACATGATGCTAGTGCCAAAAACGGACGAAAGATGGCGGATGGGTTGTCACGAAGACTCCGAACATATTCGGCGTGAAGCACAAGTTTGTAATACCTTAGCTTGCAGAATTACAGAGCAAGAATGCACCCGACATCTGACTTGACAGATGCTTTTTACTAATCCCTCTTCACCTTGGTGACAGGCAGAAAACGGCTTTCGACACTCGCACTCGCAAACTTGAGTAGCCTGCATCCCTTTTGGCCATGTCGATGCCCTAGCTCAACTAAAGCAGCAAGTTTATAAGGAGTGACATGGGTCTATTAAGGGGAAGTGGATGGTTGTCGTCATGGCTGACGTCTTGGTATTTAGCCGAAACGCTCAAGAGGAGCTGCAGCACCTACAGCGTAAGCATTCGTTGCTACAGGACAAGCAGTAATATGTGAAGGCATGCAAGTGTAATTCTGCGTTTCGGTTGCAAGCATGAAGCAGGATCCAGAAAAACTTGGAGCACGCACGGCGCGGCGTGTAGCTTTATACACCCACAAGGACGTTGTGAAGTTCTATGAGCGTGAACGTCTTACCATATTTGAATTCTTGGTTGTGCTCGGATCGCTGCACCTTTGACTGGTCTACTTCAGAAAGCACGGTTCATACTTTGAACAGAGGAGGCAGATGCCGCTACAGGGACGTTTATCGCCAGCCTTACATCTCCGGCTCATGTGTCGCCCGACTGTGAGCGCCATTTTCTCTAGCATCTGATGCTGGTGAAAATGGCGCCGGGTGTAATTCTCTCTCCTAGCAGCCTGCAGATCCTCCAAAGCACCGAATCATTGTTTGCTTTTCTCAGTGATTCATCAGAACCCAACAGGGGTCTCCGGGGCGGGAAAGGAGCTTGATGTGGTGTTAGGCAAAAAATGCCGTCGACGAGGCGTAGGTGTACTGTCCAAACCAAGTAGCGGTCTCTAGTGTATCGTCTGAAAGGCTTACAGGACTTGGATAATGTTGGAGTTGTTCGGTGGCTTCAGTGCCTTACTGTAGTGTGCCTTCAAAGTGAATTATATCAAGGGCAGCAGCAAAACGGCTACCAATTCACTATCGCGGAACGTTAGCAGCCCACTATTATGCAGTACAACTACTGTTGCCTGTGATGATTAACGGCTTTTACCAATATTGCGTCTGTCTGATGCCTTTGACACCCGTATGAAGCAAGCTCTATGAAGTAAACTGTCGAGTACATGGTTGCTCCGTACAGTTTATCGAGTTATTCTCCAATATAAGGATCAGTGTCTTGTGCTTAGCACTTTCAGGATCTTCATGTAAACGCATCTTCGCCGCCTTTCATCCGTTTTCGGCACGAACACCAAGTTAAGCCCAAGTTGCTGATCAATTTCTATTGCCAAGAAATTCAGAATGGCCAAAGGGTGAAACGGTGCCACGCTGTGATTTACATGCAGTGATTCAAAACAACGCGGAAACCGCTGCTTTCACATTCCGGTTGCGCTCCCCAGTAACCCTTGGCACGGATCACATGGCCATGTCCTTTGGGGACGTTGAGGGATTCATACTACATTGAGAAAAACTAACGGTTTCCCTGGTGGCTTGCGAGGAGCCTTGGAGCAGGAGAGAACGCAGTGTCATGCACAGAATGTTAGCACTCAAGCCTCACAATTTTCCTTGCTCCGGCCTTTTGCAAAAAAGCCTTCTGCTTTGTGAACTGATTTAGACGGACCTGGTTTGGACTGCAATGCTGGGTCAAGTGTCAGTAGGATTTTCGTCGTTGTCAACAGACTAGGAGTATCATTACGAACAGGGATCCGAAGTCTCTTCGCACGTATTCTTGTCACGTCACATTCCGCCTACACATTGACCATAAGTTGACCTTTGCGAGCCACCCTGAGGGAGATGCACACACCAAGCGTACCAAAAACAGTGTTCTGCACTATTGGCTACTTGATGGTCTCCATAATCCAGTTGCTCAAATTAGGCTTCTTCCTGATGACCAATACGCTTATATTGAACCGGTACACTCGAGCACCGATTGCTCCACCTCATATCTAGTTACACTGGTGAGTCCGTTTCCGAGCCGGGCCTGGACTTGATGGTCCGAAGTCAGTAGCAACCCTCGGCAACGCAGGGAGTTCAAAAGAAAGCTTGAGAGTGCACGCAAAAAATACTCAACGCTTAGGAGAGAAGCGCTGGCAATCCTAATAGGCTGTGGCCCGCTACGTGTTTCAAGCCTGGAGATCTTGGTCCTGGTGGATCAGCAGGCTTTACGAGGTCCACCAGACTGCGACCTAACGAAGAATCAGGCAGACGGCTCGTGCCGATTGCAAAGCTCCCGCGAATCTAGCTTGCTTACTTTATCGACTTCCGTAAAGGTAGGGCTGCCAAAAAAGCTACCAATATTGTATTCTTAAAGAAGTTTTAAAGCTCCCCCAATTATTAAGGGACTTTGCCGCGCACGCAAGTGACCTCTGGGGAAGCGAAGGATCAACAAAAGCCTCTATGGTTGTTCAATTCTAAGAGTTCTGAGCACTGGCACTCCATTAGACTGGGTAGCTAGTGCAACGAAGTGGGGAATGCGGGTCGCAGTGCTTGACGGAGAATTAACTTCTGGCTTACTTATTCGCAATAAAAGTTGTGGCCCAGGCTGTTAATTAATGCTGGCTACCACTAAATACATTCCTTGGGTACTTTTATAATTGTAGTTCTGCAGCGACTTTTGCTGCATGAAACAGCAGTCTTCATTCATGGGTACTGTTTTGAAATTGCCAGTGTAGCTAGTCTCTGCAGCTCGATGTAGGGCCAGTACTCTCAGAGTGTCTTTGCATCCTCTCTTGCCCTTTTTTTGGGCTTTGAATCCGACTTCGCAGCATAATTGAGCTATATTTGCATGTAGAAATCGCTCTGCCACGCAAGGGCATTGCTGAACGAGTGTGTACTTTGGCTTCCCTAGCATATTTACGTCGCTGCTTTGTCGCAGCAGGCTGCATAAGCATTCAGCACTTCGACGACAGTGAACTGTTACGCGCTCTCGATTCTGTTGGGTTCGTTTCTCTTTTGTTGCTGCCACATGCGTACGCCTTGCTTCCTTTCAATTTGCTTTCATCGCCTCATGTCTGTAATATTCCATTCGAAATTTATATAAGGAGACGGGACGCAGAACATACTTAAAATTAATTATTCAAACACTTCTTGGATGCCATTTGAAAGACCTTTCTCCTTCCCTTGTTAGAGGTTGTGGGGGTATCGTCGTAAGGGAGGAGGGGCAGCTAGAGGGTGCATAGCTGCATTCTGTAAGAAGTCCGAGCAAGCACAACTGGTTTCACGTAGCAGGTGGCACACACACTCAACGTGCGTTTTGTGCAAAGCTAATGTTAATAATCAAATAAATAAGCTCTACGGTGGGATTAATCATTTAGGCGATTCTATCTTAACACTTAGCTGAATAAGTACTGAGGCAGAAAGTGTTTAGGCATATCGTGGCGCGCTGTAATGCCTTTTTCGCATTCAGTTCCGCGCGTCTGCTTGCTTGGAAAATGAAGATACGCACGGAACTCTTCTGCTGTACTACACGCACAGTGTCTCGAAGGACAGGTACAAAACACGAGGGCTTGTGTTTTGAGATTAGGTGTGCAAATGAAGTGCAAGGTACAACTGAACACTTTCTAGTGCGCTAGTTATTCTCAACTAAAAATTATTATAGATTTCACTGTATGATTTGCCTTTTACTCTATCTTTATCGTGCGAAGCAATATCAGCTAGACACGAAACGGCGCAATGCAGCGTGTGTGTACCCGCTTTGTGCGACTAGCTCTCTCGCTGCCTCCAGTGAGTAGACAGCTACCCGAAATAATAGTATGAAAGCACATATAAGTATTATCAAAATAGTCAAATTCCTGGGAAACAATTATGCTTTTGGCAGCTGCCTGAGAGTAGTGTGTAAATGAATGTGGATGTTTCGTCGAAGGACGGGGGTGGAGGGGCAAGGGGAAATTTGCTCGTTGAAGCTCACAGTCTACACCGAAGCCATCGTCAGCATTCACACGTTGGGGATATGAGCTCTATGATTCGGGCTTTCAAATTTCAAGAAAGAACCCATTGTAGAATCTTGCCTCGGTTTGGTTGTAGTGCAGTAGACGTTACCGTTTAAAGCGGCATGGCAGACGCTAGCTCATGGGATCATTTCCGCTTATAGATGCACAAACACGTGCCGCCATCAAACATATCTTAGCTAGTTTCAGTGGGTAGAAGACAAAAGGCTCGATAACACATGGGGTTGGTGGGGCTGGCTTCTGTGCAAAGGCCTGCTTATAAAAGGTAGTGACCCAGGTGAGTCTAGTTGAAGCCTTCTATAGTATGGTGAATAATCGATATAAGCTAAAGTAATCACATGAAAAATGGCCTTAAGGGGCACATAGGGCTGTTTCGCTGAATAACATGTATAAATCTGTAGGAACTGCTGAGTGCAACGTATCTAGCGGCCTTCCAACCTGAGGCTGGAGGCGCCTAAAGGAGGCTCAACCAGCGTGTTTGTTCCACCCCAGCGATTTTTGGCCTAGTTCTAATAAGACGTCGGCACTGAGGTAAGTAGTACTGCGGATTTGGGAACACGGTACTTTTTAAAGGAAATTATCTCCAAGAAGGGCACCCGGAACTTCCAGAATAAATAAGGTTGACTCAACGGCTTAGGGCCTACTATTGAGTATAATATAAAGCTGCAAGCAGCTTTCGAACCAGTTTTATCTTTCCGACACCCCAACTTGGGCTTCGTTAAAAATGATAAAGCAAAGTGCTTAATCTCAACGTGTCCACAATATTCGCCCGTAGCTCCTTTGTGTGCACAGGAGGAAAGTTAAGAAGGTGCAATATTCGTAGGGTTAAGGCTAACTCTACCGGAGGAATGCCTAATGCCATGCTGATCCTGCTCTGTACTACCGGTGTTTCGTACAGAACCTGGAAACAGTTGGCAAGGACTGGGACAGCGTACCGCATGAGATTAAGGATGGCAGCATACGCATATAGGTCTAACTTTTGGGTAAGTTACTTGGTGGCGGGCTTATTACAGCCTTCTAGGCAGCTGTTTATCTTGGGTGTCAGCTTGAGGATCACTTGATGTCCAGGAAAAGTCACCTTTGCACCCAACGGAGAAACTTGTCCCTTTGTCTTAAAAGCTTAACTTTTCGTATTTGTGCTGACATCACACACAATGCGACTTAATAATCCTGGCCTTATATCAAGTTTTTTCTGACTGAATGGGTAGGCACGCGTACAGATATTCTACTATTACCTGCAGTGTGCACGAATTATTAGCAAAGTAGGCCACAAAGTTTCTCATCTCAAAAACGGCATACTGAATCAGCATTGTCGTACGTTCTGTGGTGTATCTTTTAAGAGTGGTCATCGGTAATCTCTCCCAAGGAGCTGTAGGATCATTAAAGGCTTAATCTTAGATGCGGTGGTTGCTGATAGGGAAGGCAGTAGGGCCGAGCACACTGGTGATATCGTCATAATTATCATATAAAAAAGTGAAGAAAACGCTGGAATGCTCCACTAGACCCTGGTGGCATCCGCTTGAGGATACTCTTGAGATGCGGCCCAAGGCATCGCAGGTAACGCTTCCACAACTATCTAGCAAACAGGCAGCGTCTTGAGGCCTGAAAACTGGGAGGTAGAACAGCATCAGTGAAAGAAACAATGAAACGGAGAGTCAATGCCACTAGCTGATGCTGCATTACGATCTCTCTGGGCCTCTGAATCTGTCTGTAGAATTCAGGGCTCAAGGGGGACGACGGCCTCTATGAGGACGCTGAGTTTCCTGGAAATCCACCTGTTCCATCGTTAAAGCCTCCTGTAAGTTTTTAGTAAGCAGTGCCGACAGCTTTATGTTAGGCTGCAAAATGGATTACGTACCTGCACTTATGCAAGAGTGTTCCTGTGTGTTCTTTGTGTAGGGGAGTGAAGGGGAACCCCCAGGCATTTTAAAGGGGCTGCTCTGGAGGCGGCCTGACGAAATCGTATTTTCCATGCAGCATCAACAAGCCAAGTCTCATCAGACATCTCGATTGCAGCAGCAACAACGAAATTCTGCACAGGAGCAGCTGTTTTCGCAGCCCCATGCAGAGAGGCGGGCAATTTTGTTCAACAGCAGCAGACCTGCTTCCACTGTCGTTCAAGGGCTGCTGCCATCGCACGCATTTGCTGCTGCTGCTAGCGGCCTAGCCATTTCACACCCTCTAGCTATCAGAGAGGCTTTGATACACCCACAGCATTGGCGGTATATGAAGCCAAAGCACAGAGACCACGACGGCTGGCAGCTGGCTTAGCGGAGATTAGCCATAGGCTGCCACACTACAGTCGGTGGCAGAACGACTGCTTGCTGCATACTGCTTCTTCTAATAAGCATAGTGAGTGTGCAGAGAAAAACGATAGCATATACATTCATTGCTGCTGTGGGGGGGCTCTTGTGTCTCGATTCAGAGCGCGTGGCTTGTTCTGCGTAGCCTTCTTCCGGTCAGGGGAAAGAGAAGTGGTGTGCATAGACACCCGATTGCCCTGCCGCCGCTCGCAACAGCTCAAAGAGCACAACAGACAGTCTCGTCGGTCAACCAAGGGAAGCAGCTCTGAGGCACGAAAGTCGCGGAGCAGTAACGGAAAAGGCACATTATTGAGAGCAGCGCCTTTGAAGGAATGCCCTCCTAATTGCGCCACTTCGGCAGCGCTGCAGATTCAAGAGGGCAACTCTCAGCTCTGCTCGAGCAAACGTATATCTTCAGTAAGCCCAAATAGCGAAAATGGCTACCGATGCACTCTGGACAGTACAGAGGCACAAGCGGACGCCACGGACTCGCTCATAGAATTCGCGTGAGCTTTGCCACCCCTAGTATTTCCTCACCACACTGCGGGCCTCGAGAGTGGTTTTGCGACAATATATCTAAACACAGAAACCGTTGTATACCGTCCGAAATTTCCTGCGTCGCATTCAAGGCTAGCAAGCGGAAGTACCCACTTCGCGTGATATAACAGCATATATTCTTTGCTCGAATTTTTTTTTCTCACGGACAGATTCACTCACTGCCACGCTTTCGAGGAAGTATGGCTACCTCTCCTGGAAAAGGCTTATGCCAAGTTCCTCGGTTCTTATGAGGCTGTAGCACAAAGGTGAGCCTTAAGCCTTAAACAATAAATGGTAAGCATTATACAGGAACAGGCTTTACTAAGCGTGTGTGACATCTGTGCAAGGATTCAGGAGCTTCCGGGATATACTTGTCGACTTGACAGGAGGCGTTGGTCCGCCCACACAAGGACACCAAGGGCTTTACATCCCAGCCTCCAGTTTCTGACCCAAACTATAGTGTCACGTGCTGTCCACGGAAGCGTTTCGCTTTAAATCGTATGCTTCAGTCTTTCTTGTGCATCTGCTCAGTTGAGGAAGTGGAGGTCGCGTGCTTTGACGCTCCTGTGCTGTGGGCCAAACTAAGGAAGTGCGCTGACGGTGTCCCCTATGTATCTACGCAGGTCTTCTGAATGAAAACCTGTTGGCAAATACCAGTAGTGCCAAATGCATGCATTTTTGCATATAATTAAGATAGTGGAGCCTATAGAGTCATTTCTCAACGTGCATGCAAATGTGTCTGTCAATAAGCGTGCATCCACATATTCTTCCAGCCAACCAATATTACCTTCTCTCAATGCCGAACCCGAGTAGTATTTACACATATTTAGATGTAGACTCCTAAGGTCAATTTGTTTGCTCTTTACCGTGTATGGGCTTTATCGGCGTCTACAACAATGTACAGCTACATGAATAAAGCACACCCGGTGAAGCGCACAACGAAAGAAAATAGTGAATGCTGCACACACGAATGTTACTTCTAGGACTATATGCACAAGGCACAGAAGCCGGTACTCCTGCGTACACTTACACGTGCATACACATAGATGCAACGAATACATGAAAAGGCACATGTCTTGTTGGTGTTGTATTGCTGTTTACTGTAGGGCCTTCTGCACTGGGGGATGTTTTATAAGCAGCATTGCCAGGGGCACAGCCACAGAAAAAGAAATACTCTCCAACAGGCAATATACCGTTGTCGATGTCGTACGGGTATGCAAACACAAAACTTCCAACCCTCTACCACAAAATCTTGTCCTGACATCTAGTCTTTGTACAGCCTGTCTGCAGGCCTCGCCCACTCATTGAGGCATTTGGCAATAAGGGCAGCACAAGTGCAGACTTCAATGCCGTTCGTATCACAGTCAATGCCAATTTAAAGCACCCGCATCTGCTAAATGTTGGCTCTAGTTGGGAAATCTTTAGATTCATTTGGCACACCCATGGCTTTGTAGGTTGAAGAACTGCGGCTAGTGCGGCTACACAACCCCTGGAAGGTCCCCACTTGGCGAGGAGAATTTTCTGATTATCATCGGTCCTGGACTCAGTATCCAGGTGCTTTATTACATCATAAACCACACATTCTGGCACTGTTGAATCTAAACCATCCATGAGCTGTAACTTCGGAGACTAGCAAGTCATGACTGCGAAATGGTGATGGTATAAACTGATACAGTGTGTATGGCTGATGCACTCTCTGCAACAGCGCAGCAGGACCAAGACAATAAGCAGTCTGGAGAAGGAACCCACGGCCTTTTCGAATGGTATCTGGTCCGGTGTCCCTGTTTTGTCCTGTCTCTGGCCGCCAGACCTGAAAGAGAGGCTAAACTACAAGTTTGGAGATGCTCCAGCAGCATTTTGGATGAAGTTTGAGTCCTTTCTGGAGAATTTCACAGACATACTCTTTTGCTATTTTCTGCCCTCCGAGAAAAAAATCCCCCTTTCCCAGCTCAAGGAGCTGCCCACGTCCATCTCACCGGCTGCTGCAGCTGTGCGAATCCACGAGGGTTTCAACTCTGCTGCCGTAGCATCGAAGCAGACTGCGGATTCGGAAGGAAACACGTGAGCTTCCATAAAGCCTTAAAACAGCAACAACCACTAGTCCTGTCTGCCGAATGGCAGTTTAGCATGGCGGGTGAGCGGTACGGGAGAATTTCTACATGATTCTAGAATTGTTGTTGCGAACACAGCAAGCTAGCCAGATCCACAACTGGAGATATTGAAGTTCTGCGCAATCAAGGACTTGCTGCTTTGTACGTGACAGTGCATAGAGCCACTTGGAGTGGCTTGTCTCTCTGCGGTCTACCACGGGACTGGAATAGGCAACAGGCAGCAGCAGGAGCTACCGCCCTACAGCCATTAGCTCTATGCACACTACAGCAAGGACAAAGGCTTTCTGGTAGAATCAGGGAGAGCAGCTCCACCATGGTCAACAAGCAACATACGATTTCAACGGGAGTCCTATCTAAGGGGCCTTTCCCGGCTTGGCGAGTACGGTACTCGCAACCCGCGCAAACAGCAGATATCGCCAAAATCAGGAAGAGCCACACCCCTCTGCAGTCCTCTGCAGCGAAGAGTGCTGCTGCAGCTGCTCCTTTTTGTGTTGATGCCGTAGTCAATGGCAGGCTAGAAGTTTCCTGCGAAAATTTCGGCAGCGGGGCTACAAAACCAGCAGTCGTACCACAGTGCAACAGGACCACACCTGCATGCGCGGAATACACAGTTGTCAGCCGCCCCTCCGCTTTGGTCAGGTACGAATACCAAGCTGAGGGATTTGATATGGCGTGGGTAAACGCTCCAATGTTCCTCGTTTCTTTTCCTGAACCTTCATCTGTCACTAATGCTTCGCACAAGCACCAGGAGGCGAGGATTAATGAATCGCAGCAAAGCCACCCGCTGTCCCAGGAAACACGGCCAGCTTTGCAGGAAGCTTTCCTCTCCATAACGCAGAGCAGCGCTCTTGATGTGGCTCCAATCAGCATGGCAGTCTTTCACGCACGGGTAAACCCAGATACACACAGGCGCTTGAAGCTGATACCCAACCACCGGGTTCAATGGACGTCGTGTGCATCCCTACGTGGATGTGGGATTTTCATGTTCTAACAATGGGAGAAAGTAAAAAAACCCAAGTTATGGGATAGAATGGTCTTTTGCTGCTCAGGAATGCCGCCGCATCTGGTCATTCTCGGATGCAAAGCTTGTGGGAGTGTCTCAAGCAGTGGCGGATGGTGAGAGACCGGCAAGCCAGGAGCCATGGAAGGGAGGCGGCTGCTGCATGGCTAGTTGCATGCAGGGTCTTTTAATAGGGGCTCCTGAACCTCGAGGGGCCTGGAGAGATAGCTGCTTAAGACTGGGATTTGTGGGGGAGGCCGAGGGAGATTGCGTAAAGAGCACCAGACGACTGCTCGTAGTTTGTTACCAAAACGTTCCAGCCGAGAGCAGCAGTTTACGCCCCAACGACTTCATTTTCCGCACCTTTAGCTCATGCCCCGTAAGCTGAAAAGGCTATATTCGAATGGGGAGTTTTCGAACTGTCATGTGCACCACTGCAAATCGGCGTTGTACTGAATCGCTGCAGTGTTCATAGAGGAGAGAGCATCTGTACCATAGCATGCGTACAGAAATATTGCGAGACGTTACTGGATTCCTCTGTTGGTCATGCCTCCACTGCCTCTTCACGGGTGCTTGCAGATGCACGTCGAGCAGCTTCCGCCCCCAAAACATTATCAATTATCAGGTGCATGGACACCGGACTCCGCAGGTCAGCCTCCAACCCCTTAATTCATAAAAAGTTCTTGGTTTAGTCCTTTTTTGCGTGGAATAAATTCAAAGTGTCTTTGAGGAGCTTTTCCGAACTTGTTAAAAACCCCTCCTCACAAATCACTTTCTCATTGGCTCTTCTGGCGAGCTATGCTGCTGTTCACATTGTAGCTGGTGTTTTGGACTCCTTTAGGCGGCAGACTGTTGACACCGGGCCCTCGAAAGTGCTTTGTTTTTAATACGAAGTGGTCAACAAACCCACAATTCGCTCTTTATGCAAACCCAAGGTGGACTGAAGCGACGACCTGCAGGCCCGGTTAAAGCAGGATATACAACTTTTGAGCTTAATGCTGATTAGCTCGAACATCAAACTAGAAAATTATTGGGCTACTCGTGTGTGCTGGAGGTTCCAGTCGTAGTGGTGTTGCGCTTATGCCAGAAAAAGAGTGCCTCGACCACTGTGGAAGGGGGCTTGTGTTTGAGTGACGGTGTCAACTCTCCATGTTCAAGGTACCCTGAAACAACAGTGTGCATATCTGTAATACGGCAGGAAGCAAAAACAAAAACCGAACAGCACCTTTCCGTGAGGCTTGGGTTTCCTTAAGCAAGTTTTGGGAGAAGTGCAAGTAATTAGTTTGTGGTTCCTCCTGTCTTAGCACTGTATTTCTGTGTTTGCAGCAACGAGCTTCACCTGTGGTGCTACTGTTGGGCACAAGCTAGCTCGTTGGATGTATTTGCACTCAGCCAGTAAATCAGTAGTAGCTGAACTGTCGTTATTACCAGTACCGTGGCAATCAGGTTCTGTTCTGTTCTGCGGTTGTGGGTGCTGTTGCGCTAGGTAGGTTTAGTGGCAACGCGATTGAGGGATTCGACAAACCCAGAGGCAATGGAAGACACAGCTTCTTCGAACTCTCAACATACGCAGTAACACTTAACTGATCTAATGTAATGATCCCTAACTTATTTCTACTGGCCAGCTCTGCAGATTGTCAAGCTGGACTTACAAAACCGGCTGTGAACCCAGGTTCAGGACGCAGAGTATACAGCCATAGTGTAAAAAGACTCGCACTGCTTCTTCTCAGTTTGTCTCGCAAGACAGCCATGAGAATGTGTGGTTACGCTCTACTCGCAGAACTAACTGGTTTGGAGCCGGCTCTGAAGCACCTCAACCTGAATTGAATCGGAAGTTGACAGTCAGCTAACAATACCTTGCTACCTCTCCGTCCTAAAGCCAGATAGCCTGCTAACGCGTCCAGGGCTGCTGGAGCGGTGACGTTCAGCTCACATCTAGCTTGTAGCTCGTTCTTCGTGCAGATCGAGGCCGATGAGTGGTTCGTTGAAGCCGTCGGGAACGAGCAGTGCTGCATCAAACTCACGATTCTCAAGGGATCCGTGAGCCAGGTTTACCTATATCGCTGAGGAAAGCGAATTCATGGGTGTAGAAAACAGTGAATATATGCGAGTTTGTGGATCTGCGATTCCGTTTGTATTATTGCGATTGCTCTCCGTGCGGGTTGTCTCTCATACTCCATAGCCCTGTTGGTTGCATGCGTCTGCAAATTGTGGATTGGAACGTATCTTGGCCCTTCTTTGCAGGGCCCCCTTATAGTATCTCCATGCTTAGAGGTAGGAGGTGCAACTGGAGCCTTTGTCCTGAACGTGTTCAGCGACTTGCCTCTCGAGGTACCGAACGAACAAGTACCCCGCTTAGGTTGTTCGCGCTACAGTGTTTGGCATGGCCGACGCAAACAGTTCAGACTGACACGTTTCCCCTGTGTATATGTGTCAGAACTATGCGTTCTCCTCCAAGCTGTACCAGAACACTGTAATCTAGAGCCCAATTCCTAGTTTTGAATGCCTTCGGTGGTTTTTGTTGCAGAGACTTGAAGCCCTTGACTACGAGCACTACAGAACGCTAATTGGTCAATGGGAGCTTGAAACAGCTGGGGGAAGCCACAACTTCCCTGAGCTGCTCGCAACCCCTAATGGCCTCCAAAATAAAACAGGTAGGGGAGTTGGTTTTAGGCGAGAGCAGCTCTGTTCTGGGTGTGGTTTCCATATTTTTATCATTTGCTGGTCCGAGCATCATGTGTAACTGTCCTATGGTTGTGCCTGAAACCTCACGGTACCCCGTAAACTCTTTGCCTATTTGTCCATCCAGTTCCACTCCGGAAAAAAGGCAAAGCGCAGCCTGTTACGTGTCCCTTACCGCTTATTGGCACAAAGAGGGTCCCGCGTGGATGGGTGTCTAACCCGCAGTACCTTCTATCAGTAGCTGAGACAGTTCAAGTTGGCATTACCTTGGCCAGGCATGACGACTGCTGGGGAATTCAAAAGGAGCAGGTTTGAAACTAGAGACTCAAATATTGAATCCATAAATAAATGTCCCATCACATGAAGGATGTCTGCTACAATGCAACTCACGCGTCAGTATCCAGGGTTCGGGATAAGGTATTAGCGCGCAGGGGATACCATGGGTTGCCGTCTTCAATTAAGTACTGAGATGTGCTGCAGGATATGGCGGGATGCATGATGGGACTTTACGTCTTTCGGGGAAGGAATGTTTGTATGGAGAATCTGGTCCAACAGACGGATTTTGTGGTGTGTTGCAGCGCTGTGCTTGTCTTGTGTTTCGGGGAGTATTCAGTAGTAGATTTTCTTTCCCGATAAGTGGGTATGCGGCTTGCATCTTGGAAAAAGCATGGGTTCACGTACAGCTGTGCTGGGGATTAGATACAACCATGCTCGCACATTTCATTACATGTCCCTCAAGCTCTGGGTCATAAAGTTTTGGCCTTGGGGATGGCGCCAGTTTCGACTCTCTGTGTCTGCGAGTCGATCAGCTTGGAAATGAAGTTTCACTCTCAGTTTTATTTGTCTGCCCACCCAGAAAGTCCGAGGAGTATGTCGTGATGCCCACAACCTGGAAGGTTTGTTAACACGAACTTGATCTTTGGCAAGTTCGTATATTTAGTATTGCACTTAGGGCAATTCGTAACAGTGGAGAACAGATAATAGGATGGCAAAATTATATTACGATGCATTTACTGTACATAATGAAGTGTGGTTTCGTCTTTGCAGCCAGGAAAGACAGGAGAATTTCTCTTGCGCTTCTGTGGCCCACTAAATAAAATCTCCATTTCTGCACCCAGGAGTGGGGGGGAATCCATGGGCACTGAACCCTCGATTAACGCATAAATCAAAGTGAAAAGTCCATGGTATTTCAGTATGTGGGCTGGTTTTTAACATGAAAAAGCAAGCACTAGATTTGCCGTCGAATTCTCCCAGGAGACTGCATCTGCAGCCTCTAATTCCGCTATGCTCAACTGGGACTTCCCAGGGTCCGCCGTTTGAAATACCGGCATTTTAGATGCCCGTGCACATCAACATACATCGACTCACCATATTCTAAGCATAGATACACCTTTGAGTGCAGCTACAGAAGTTCGTATAGTTAGAATCACTGGTAGCAATTAGTCGCGAACTGCGAAAGGAAAACTATTCGATGAGCAGGCAAACACTCATAAACACTCTAGAAGGAGAGTCCATGGTGATAGACAGAAATGTATGCTAATAGGCACAGCCTCACAAGAAAAAGAATACATACTTATTTAAAAGCTACTGGTAGCTATATGCCTTCAGATGCTTAGCATATTTTTCGCGAAAGGCACAGCCAGCCTTGCTCTGGTGCGTCTCTACTTCTACTTCGGACGGGTTTACATGGCTACCAAAGGTTGTGTAGGCCAAACAAACACAGGCCAGGGGTCTTCTGGGCGGCATTTACTGTGTCCACACACAGAAGTTGTGACCGAAGGATGCGATGAGCCAATTTCCCGGTCCAGGGTGCCAGTCTAGCCATCCGATCTTTATCGCCACACTTGCACTGTGGGGGTGGCACCAGCGGTCCTTGGGTGAGATGTACGCCGCATACAGCCCATGTTTTGCCCTACGTAGTCACAAGCACCTGAAAATGATACGGGCTAGCCTTCAATGTACAATTACCAAATGGGGGGACCTAGGGGTTGGCAATATGGTTTGCGTACAGGCAGGATGATGAACTGTGAAACTGACAGGTGTTGAGCTATAAGTGCTTTTTTGCAAACATCCTGGTGAAAGCCTTTGGGCCAGAGGGTTGAGGTCTGCAGGGTTTAGCACTTACGTAGCCATGTAGATGCCGCTGGTGCTGTGGATCCCCATGGAAGTTCTTACGTCGCAAAGCTCTTGTAGCTTTTGTCTGCGACAGCGACATAGCCCCTGGCCCTCCTTACTGAGTTTTAAGCTTGTGATTTCCTTTTTTTGCGGATTAGCGCTTGGATTCAATTTGTGGCTTCATGCTTGGGACCTTCTATTTTCCTACCGACAATATGGGCCATAATCTGAGTAGTGGTTCCAGTAGATGCAAGGAACTCCCGGGTGCGTGAGAATGACCGCGTAACCTTGCAGCTGGAGAGATACCCACATTCTGTCAGTGAACTCGTAAGCTGATATGATTAGGGTTAAAAGGGGGAGAATTCCGTTGTACTGGGCATCCGGCATTAGGATTTAGCCGTGAGTGCCGGGGCTTAGATTTAAGATTAGAGATTACAACTCCGTCAAGCTCCCCGTTGCAGAAGGTACGGCAGTACTCCAGGTGATCGGTATCATGGTTTTCAATAAAGGTAACGGCGAGCTGCGGTTCCTGCAGTGCATGGGTCGGAACACATCACACGAGATGCTCACTCGCTTAATTGTATTCCTGCTCAATGCTGAAAGCATAAATTCGTTTGCATCCTACTCGATGGATCCCCCGCTGGGTAGGCATACGGTATAAACTCCGCAAGCTCGCGTTATTTTTGAGGTCTTCTCCGCATGTCAGCTAAATGGCTGTTTACTTTCCTGCTTTTGACCTGCGCTTGTGCCCATTCAGTTGTGTCGGACTTTCTTTCCCCTTTTTGCCCGTGTTTCCGTTCTTTATCTCTGCGCACTTAATTTCAAGTTGTATCTTTTTCTATGTGCTCTGATATCCCTTCCTTGCTGTGCTTTTGTTCTGCCGGTTGGTCGATAATGTCTGTCATAACTTTGTACTGCTACAGTGGTTGTCGTTTTGCCTGCAATCTATGTACATGCTTTTCTCTTCCCTGTTCTGCTAGTATAATCATTCTCCCATGTCGTGACATATCTAAGTATGTGTGTCTTTAACTATCTTTTGTATCTGATATCCGTGCGCTCTCTCTTGGCTGCTTCTTGTCAGCCTTTTTCACTGTCGACCCAAGCCTGTGTGTCTGTCCTTACTATGCCGACGAGACCGTTGAGATTTCCGCAGGCATTAAGAATGCCGAAGTCGCCTGTTTCTACTGCGCGTTGCAGATGATAGTAAAATGCAAAGTCAAAGGCAGCCAGAGAGCCCCCAGCGGCTCTGACGTAGTTCACAAGAGCCCGTGTATCGCCATGCCAATACTCCCCTACCGTGAACGGCCGACCCAGGTGCTCCACAAAGGCTTGCTGCGAATCGCACATGAAAACGACTATCAAGTAAAAGCTAGCTTGAGGCTCTTGCATAAGCGGTTTAAGCTTGAGGTATCGGGAATTCCTTCTTGCCTGGTACTGGGGGGCGTAGCCACCGGCCATGTCAATTCTGAACGCAAGGTATCCGACGTCTCGCATGAGCCACTGGGTCCAGAGCTTCATGTCTCGTTGCACTTGAGGGTTTGTATGGTCAAGATCCGGTGCGCAATCCACGCTCACGCCGGTGTCTTTGCCTCCTTCCCCATGGTAGCCCTGCAGGTTGTTGCATACCACCGCCCAAGGGCCCCAGTCAGGAGCTTCAAAAATTGTCCAGTGCCCCCGGCTGTCTTGCCGCGTGCCACATCGGTGGTTGGCCACCAAGTCAACGCAGCAAGCCAACCCTGATTCCCGAGCGGTTCGAATCAGATGTTGCAGCTCCGCTGCCGTCCCGTAATGACTGTTCAACGAGTACCTGGACGCAAACTTGACAGACCCCATAGAAGCAGCGGTAGGGGTGGCTACGGAAAAAGGGACAGAGAGGGAGCGTATCGTTATGCCAAGATAAGCAAAACATGAAGTGGGGCGTAGACAGGAAGTAAATAGAACAAAAGACTTAAACAAGGCAGTGCCACAGTAGTAGCTGAGGTAGAAACGAGGGCCTAGGCAGAGTCACAATCGTAAACATATGCAGATCGTTATCAGCAATCGTAACACCGGCAACACTGAGAACCAGTACCATCTGGTGGGCATGTATCCTTCCAATCCAACACATTCTGTGGGTGGAGGACACCAAATTATGGAAACTCCAAGCCGTTTTATGTCCTCAAGTTTGCTGCAAAGAACGTTGTACCAGCCTGTGGGATTCTGTGCGCTGACCCAATTAAACCCCTGCAGCATTATATGCCCCTTCCCATCGTCTAGTCGAGGTCCTTCCAGTCGCGTTTCAGCACGAGCGTCCAACGGGTCGCTGTGAAGTCCCTCAACTGCAGCCGGCAAAAATATCCTAAAGAAGCCGTTGCTTCTGCTGTAATCGATGTTGCTCTTTCCTTCATTGTAGTCCGGAGGAGGCAAATCGTGCCATGCGGAAACAGTGTAGCGGTGGGTGTCGCCTTTCGTTACTGCCACGTCAGTGTATTTGTGTTCCTGGGGTCCCACAGCTGGCAAAAATGCAATGGGGACCCCGTCTTTATACACCCGATAGAATCGCACCGGAGCACCCCCGTGATCAGCTGGAGGTTTCCAACAGATTTCTATCCTGTGACACAAGCTCAGTCTGTCCTCTAAATATGGATTCGCCTGACCCAATCTGTACATGCAATACACTGAGTCTTTAAGCCAAACATTGCAAAACCTGGAAAACAAGTTCCCCTCAGTTGCTGCCCGTAGTCTTTAGGGTATCAGGCTTGCTCATGACTGTGCTTTCACGCGACCTGTTTTCTGTTCTGTTTATGCAGACAAGGTTGAGTGGAGCCGATGGCTTCCCCGGTTCTGATGTCCTCGCGAGAACGCAGTCAGATGGAGGGCCTTCCTGACCCTCTGGGTTCACGGCGCAAACAAAATACGAATACACTCTTAGACCCAATAAGGGGCGGTCCGTGTAATCCCTGCAATCGCCGTCCACCATTGCCACTAACTGGCCGTCTCTACGCCACACAACCACATTTGCATCACACCTGCACTTTCTGCTTTGCAACGCTTGTGAAAGGGATCGTGTCTTTGGTGTGCTTGCGCGTGTAATTTAGCGTGTTGTAGCTGAGGACTGCGGCAAACGTTCCACTGCTTGGCTGTATACAAGAAGAGCGAGACACCAGAGAAAACGGCGTTGGACCCGAACTAGCAGCTGCTGTCTCTTTTGGATTCAGTAGATGCCCATAACCAGTGTAATGCAAGCCTCTAAAGTCCATAGACCTCCTCCTACCTGTAAATTGTGTAGCCTGATATGGTCTCAGCCTTAAATGGATTTGGATTCCAAGTCAGACAGGCATGGCTGCTGCCGGCTTCAATACATCTAAACGCAGTTTTGAAAAATTAAAAAGCACAAACAGGGCAGGAGCAGCTGTGCTAGGGTCAGCCACCTCAGATCACAGGAAGCAGCAACAATGACAGAAGCAATATAGCGACCCCACGCGCCTGTAGCAATGACCACCTGCTAAAACGGTGGATTCACAGGTCAGGCAGCAGCTTCACCTGAGCACAGCCGGCTTTTGAGGAGGATCAGGAAGCCGCTGCAGTGATCCTCTGTAGAGAGCATATTTTCCTTTTGTTCCCGCGTAGTAGTGCTGACACCCTGGTGCCTTGTCCCAACCCCCGTGACCTGCAAGCCCACAGAGCTGTGTATCGTCATTCCTAAACCTACAACCCGGAACCAGTAGAAGAAGTCAAGTGGCAGCAAAGTGAATAGTTAGCACCTGTCTTGAAGTGTACGAGGAGTGGTCATGAACGCGGTGGACTAGGACTTGAGTGTACCGAGTCTAGAGTATAGCGCATACCATCGTTCGGGAGAAACTCGAGGTTGGGTGTGTTGGAGGCAAAGAACCATAGCTTACCCTCAGCAGGACTGCAGCACAGTAAAAGCACTCATATATATCTGCGGTATCTTGCGAGCTACTTCTATTTCTCATGCATGGGCAGTTAAACAGCATCCTTAGTCGAGTATCTCCCTTTGATTACTTCTGCCTTTCTGTAGATTTGACCACCTCTGTGGTGCCTGCTCTGACTATCCACGCCACAAAATATCGACGACCACATAATGGCTCATACGTGGGGCACTTGGAAGCCATCCAGAGGCCCTACTTTCACGATAGCGATACGAGCTTTCTGCCGGACCCCATGAACGCAGTGTGAAGGAGTGCTGGCAGCACGCCAAGTAATATGGCCCCCAACAGGTCCAAGATGGACTTAAAAGTGCAACATAATAACAAGACCTCCATTCGAAATAACGACGCAAGTGCCATGGAAACATGATGTGTGTACGCCTCGAAATTTTTTGCTAAAGGAGTCAATAGCACGAACGCGGCACCGACGACAGATCGAAATGAATAAAGACTCGATGCAACGAAATACCAAAAAGCCTACCCACGGAGCCACCGCGGCAGGAGGCCAATGAGGGCCCTTCCATGCGGGGTCTGGAGCAGCACGCGGGTCATGGGGACCCCTGGCGAAGTGCTCCAAGTGCCCCCCGCTACACGATGGTGCAGGTGAGGCTGACCCCATCCTATGGCAAAACAAGACCCAAAGTACCAAGCACGGGACTCCTTTCCATGTTCTTCGTAATACACGGATCTAGCCCGTTTACTCCAGCCCCACGAGCACGCTACCCTGGACCTTCAATCGTGCTCTTTGGGTTCTTGTATTTGAATGGACCTCGATGCTTATTAAGCATAGTCGATGAGGCGTGAACGTAAGATCATTCTAATCCTGCTTTGTCGAAAAACTAAAACTGTAGCAAGCCTAAATACCTAATAGTGAGTACACCGTAGTTGCTGTAGGTTCGACATCCTGGTACATTGCCTGTCAAGCTCACCAGTAATATAAAGCAACAAAACACCCTCTTCTTGGGCGCATGTATGCTCTTCAGAGGCCGATTCTGTGTTTTCAATAAGTGAAGAGGAGGAAAGCATTTTCAGAAGAGAGCGGCTGCTGTGCCTTAAGAGCTCGGGACGAGATATTAGCCGCTTCTTAGGCTTAGGGGGCTCCATTGAAGGATGTCTAACCAACTGTGGAAGCGGCGCTACAGAGGTCATGGAATGATTCAAATCCAGGAAGTCCAGTGATGGCCCTTCCTCTGCTGTGCCTACTGCAGGTGTGGTATGAAGTCGCCTCATGGGAACTAAGGGCACCTGGAGTTCCCCGGGTGCTGGATTAGGGTCTTCCATTTGGCCTTCACCGTATCAAGTACTAGCAGCACCAAACGTAAAAGCAAACTAATTTAGGTGGAACGAGTAAAAACACTAAGAGGAAGTGGACGTACGCAGATTTCCGGGAGAGAGGGCCACAGCAAAGGGCATAGGGGTAGCACTGGATTGCTAGATGGAATGGCAGCCTGTGGTATACGAGTTACCTACAGCCAAAAAATAAGGAAGAGGGTGCCTCATACGTGTTCATCCAGCCCATGGTGGTGCGATTTTCCACACTGCGTGCAGCTAAAGTCATTCCCTAGTACAGTATTAGTACACACACGCACGAGTATTAGTTAACTACACACCCAAAAAGCTGCACATTTGTAGAGTCGAAGATGTCCTGCATAAGTTTTGCGAGTATAACCGAATATAACTAGTGGTGCACGAGAGTAGTGCAAGAGGACTCTTGGGGCCCCCTATCAGTGGAAGCCGGGTGGAGGGGCCCCCGAGCAGCAATGGTAGCTCCATCAGCATTTGCGACAGCGGATATATTTTGCCCTCCGCTGTGCTCTACTGAACGCGAACAGTTGCGTAATTTGTTCATCGTTCCGGCACTGGTGCTGTTGTGTTCGCGCGATTCAAAGCGGTGGCCATGTCCCACACAATCGGTCAACTGCTCGCAGGCGCTTACGAAAGCATCATGATGTTGCGTTAAGAATTCAGACCTCCAACTCGCTGTCATGAAATCTACGCGTACCCGCTTCTTTGCTATCCACGGCACCGGCAGAACTACTGGCAGCGGCAGAACTACCGGCAGCGGCAGCAGCAGTTCTCGACTGATTTCTGGTTCCGGAGGAAATCTTCCCTACAATTCTACATGAGGAAGCATCAGTAAAACTGAGTGCTTCTGCTGCTCGTGCCGGAGGGACTGGCCCCCGGGGCATGTGTGAGCGTTGACGCGCCCCTGCTAGGTACGGTAACACAAGCACCTGGAGCGAAAGTGACATCAAAACTCGCCGAGGCAACATGATCCGCCTATTCACACAAGATACCTGCGAGTGTACAGCGAAAGGAGGGGAACTGTAGGCTCCCTACTAGTCATTGTGTGCTGCTGTACAGATACAGCGGCAGCCTGTTGCCGGTCCAGTAGGTCATCTGCTGACGATTGGCAGCAGCTGATACACCCCCGGTTTGCACAGTAGCAACATCACAAGAAGTGCGCGTGCTTGCTGCGAATGCGTCTGCCTCCTGGGGATTGGGTTGGTACTTCAACAGCAACGGAGTTTGCTGCTGCTGCTGGATATCCAAAAGGACCATTCCAGGGCAGAAGCAACTTAAGCCAGAGCACTAGGCACCGAGCAGCAGCAACAAACCAGAAACAGCAAAAACTCTTGGTGCATCGGGAAGCTCGCGGAGTGTCTGCTTCCTCTCCGGCAACAGCATCAGCGAATACGGCGCTGCCCATGAGCGGTAGCACCACATTTTTAGTGGGAAATCCCAGTGAAACGGAGCACGTGCATCCCAGCACTCATGTTTCCATGAAGCAGGCACAACAGCAGGTGCCGCAGCAGCGAGGGGGGCTGCATGGGTTGGCGCAGTGGACCTCTGCCAGCAGCGCCTCCTTTCATGCAGCAACAGTGGACGACGGAGATAAGAACTGGCCTCCCCTGTCGCGTCAGAGCACGTCTACGCATGCAGGCACTTCAGCGACGGTGACAGATGCCGTAGATGATGCTGCTACAGCAATGGACGTTCTTTGGCAGTCCTCTGAATTAATGCGTCTCTCGCGGCTCCTACTGCGCGCCATAGACCAGATCTGCTGCACCCGAACCGCCTGCAGCAGCCAGATCAGCAGCGGTGAACGTAGCCGAAGGAGCTGCATGCCCTCCTCAGCTAGTGGTGTTGCTGCTCTACGGGTTGAGGAAGGCGCTCGAACGAACAAAGCGGCAGGCATGGCAACTTCCCCAATAGAGGCCACCGACTTGGGAGCCGCTCAGCAGCAGCTGCTACGACTCGCTGCGGCTGCGCGGCGCTGCAGCTCGCGTGTGTGGGTGGCTGTGACGTCTGAAGCACCAGGCGATGACAGTGCAAGTGCCTTGCATCACCAAGAAGACGCCACTGCGGCTGTGCTTGCTGCCTTCTCCGCCGTCGCTGCCGAGGCTACAGCAGCAGAAATGCACCCCGTTTTGCAGTCCAGTCCTGAGCAGCGACAGAGGCTGCAGCGACAGGTGCGGCAGCAGCTGCTGCTACAGCAGATCCAGCAGCAACAAGGATTCTCGGGATCCAAGGCTCAGGGCAGCGTCTCGTCCGTCGCAATGCGCCAGCAGATCCTGCAGCAACTGCATGCACACGAGCAGCAACGGCCGCTACAGCCAGCAGCCGCTGACGGCGCTGGCAGCAACGGCGGAGGCGGCAGAATCGACATGCGATCTGCTGTACTGCAGCAACTTGCACAGGCAGAGAAGTCGGGTTCGGCTGCAGCAGACCCTTACAGTGCCAGCGGTAATAGCATGGCGGACAGCAGCAGCAGCACTCCCGAGCTTCGCAGTAGATCAGCCCCAATCGGTGCTGCTTTCTCGTCGCAGCAGCAGCACAACCAGGCGGAGGATGTGGGAATCACTGGAGTACAACACCTGCTGCTGCAACTTGCCCTCGAGGGGCCGCCGCAGCATCAGCTGCTTCGACGGTTGCTGCTCCTGGACTGCAACAGCAAGTCAAAGGATCAGCAGCAGTTGCAAAAACAGCAGTGCTGTGTTGCTGTACCGCCCCGACACGTGCTGAATCGGTGGTTTGGGGAGGGTTTGCGGAAGCACCCGGAGGCGTTGTGGTTGGTGCAGCAGCACAGACAGCAGCAGCAGCAACACGAAGTGCAGGAGGCGCAGCATGAGCAACCGCATGATCCAAATCAGCAACACGTATTTTCCATGGTGCACCCGTCCAAACAGCAACATCCTCATCCCGAGTGGAGCTTTTCCTATGCGGCGCAGGTTGCAGCAGCAGAGGCAGGGCAGTTGATGCAGCATGTGGGGTCACTACATCGCAGCGTGCAACGCATGGTCACCGAAGATAGGTATCTGCGGCTGCTGCAGCCGCAGATCAGGCTTATATGCCATGAGTTTTCCACGGAATTGCTTTCGCTAGTGCCCTAGGCTGCAGCTGCAACTGCACTTGCCATTAGCGAGTGGTAGATCGTAAGAGCCACGCGTCGTACAGCTTGAGCAAACGGTGGAAAGGTAGCTAGTGGCACAGTAGCACGATGCGCTTTGGCCATAGTCGTTGCTTTAGCTGGAGAAGGTGCTGTGCAGTTGCGGCTACTGGAAACGATGGTAGGGATTGCTTTCGAGGGGTACTTGCAAAGCGGCGAGTTTTAGTCTCAGGACAAAAGCAGGGAGAAAGTAAGACTCATAAAGACTTTTGGACTTTGTGGAATTGTGCGACCTGCTGGGGAGAACACGTCACGAGGTGCAAATGGTGGCCTCCCACAGTCAGCATTAGTGTCGAGGCAAGGCATGCACGCCTCCAGATTAAAGGCCCCGTGAAATAGACAGGTACACAGGCAAGGAGAACCAATAGAAAGGAAAGGAGAGCTGCACTGCCAGCCCTAAAGGGGACTAACAGCCATTCATTAGGCGCAAGTCCTCTTTCGCGGTGCCTCAGGTACACCGAGTGTATGCAGCAGTTCAGATAGACCGAGTATATGCAGCAGCAGCTGCTGCATTCAACACGACTTCATAGACAACAAGCAAAGTCAGCTAAAAGCACAGCTACAGTGGCTGCAAACGCTGCATTATGTATGTGATGAGCCTGCTGCCGCTTAGGCCAAAGGAGGGTCCTTCGAAGTGTGCAGCGGATGGTCAGGCGGCAGCGTCTCCAAAGCAGTGGCGCGCTGCTTCCGCAACTGCAACAAAGAATAGCAGCACTGAAGAAGGAAGCTCATGCAGTAATCCAATGAACACCAGCTTTGACAGAGAAGCTTATATGCAAGAGGAGGAACTGCCGAAAAGGTGCAAGGCACCCCACAAAACTGGCAGCAGCAGCAGTGCGTCTCACCTTGAAGACACCGAACTTCTGATTCTCCCGACGTTTCCGCAGGCGTTCCTGTCTCCGTCTCTGCTCGTCCTGCAGAAGGCGCAGCACTTCAAACAAAGAGAACACGTGAAGTGCTGGTCTTCCCCCTAGCCTACACTCTAGCAGGCAAACAGCGGTGGGAGCAACGTGAAGAGCCTAAAATTCTCGAGTGCAAGGAAAGTGCATAGGCAGCATGAATGCAGTGCTTTCGTCTTACAAATGAGTAAACGAGCATCCTTCTGTAAAGCTCTCCGCGGATCTCCTTTGTTCTCTTCTCCCTCAGCCTCGGGTACGGGCCTCCCCAGACATAGGGTGGCAGGTTGGCTGATATCCGCTGGCGCATGTAGCGGTGCAGCAGCGAAGACACTCGAGAACGCAGTCGATGTTCCACTGTCCGTACACCTGAAGCCGCAGCGCCGGCAACAAACTTAGCAACCTACTATTTCAGAGGGAAAGGGATGCGGAGCTTCTGACAGCCTGTAACGTCTAGTTACATGTTTGAGCGTTCAGGGTTGCTCCTGAAGATACAGGACGAAAAACGTCCAGTGGCAGCTCATTGCTCTGCCTCTCTTTCATCTATCTCTGCGTCTATGAGCTCCTCCTGTCTCGCTCTCCCTCAGCCTTGCGTCTCCTAGGTGCCTTTTTCTTTCCATCTGCATCCGCTTCGAATTATTATGCCTCACCCGGTTTGTGCACTCCCCTCTTGCGCTCATATTTCCCTCTGACCAGATATTTCCATTTGTAACGATAGTCGAGCGTGGGAGGCGGCGGGGGGTCAGCCACAAACGACTGAGAGCTCGAAGATGCACTCCGAAGCACCTGCCCAAACAGCTCAGAAGCGGTGACACCAAGCTTAGCAGACTCCGCGAGGCGCAAGCTGAGAGTACGTGAGAGCCAAAAGCACGGCGAAGCAACGAAGACAGCTCTACATGCAGGTACAGTTGCTGTTACTGGGTTAAACTGAAACCGTATTGCCCTGTAGGTTCTAGCTGAATGTGCGAGAAAGAGGGGCCCTCGCCGAGCAGAGGGTGCTATTCCAGCAGTACCTTGAGCGACAGTAGCCTGGGGGAGAAGAGGGGAATCCGCTGCTCCACAGATACACCCTGAACGGCGTTGCGGAGCACAAACGAAGTATTCAACGATCGCTGCCGCACGCTAAGCACGTAGCCTGCATGCAGTCACACACAGTGCGCAGTAAGGATTTAGGATTTAAAAAAGCTGCGTTCCTATCCGGAGTTTAGGGGGTCCCTAGAAGGAATGAAGACTAAGCGTCCATTAGGGATAGTCTCAGAGCGGCACGCATGCTAAGTATGTATCAAGAATGCGACTAAAATAAGGATACGCATCCTCAGGCCTTACCCTGGAAGGTCCCTACTGTTTGCTGGGAGCGACTCAGCTCGTACTGCACCTCCACTAAGTCTCCCGGCGCAAATTGTGGCAGCTGAAGAAGCAGAACGCACCACGCGCTGCACGCTGAATTACAAATAGGAGAAGCACCTAGTGCAACTGCTATCACCTGCACTCTAGAGGGCGTCGCGTAGTTGTCTCCTGAGGCAACTTTGGGAAGGCACGACTAGATTCAATAGCTAAAGGCTGGCGGTGCTGAAATTTCTGCTGCTGCCTTTGCAGTACCAGCCGCACCCATCAGCAGTCCAGCCTCACTCTGAATCTTCTAGCCCTTTGCAGCTTTTTCATCTCTTGCAGCATGAGCAGGTGAATCAGATCCTTGCATGCGTTTTTGTTTAGGGGCTTCAGCGCTGCCGCCGGAGTGTCTGCGAGGGGACGGCCAGCCCACCTGCCCCTTTGTAGCAGCTGTTCTTCTGCTGCTGCAAGGACCTCACTTTGTTGGTCTTTCCTGCTGCCGTGTGCTGCTGTTGCACCCGCGGGGAGAGGAGCTGAATAAAGCAGCAAATGGGGCCAATACCGGTACACTCCCGGACTGTCGGAGTGCGCAGACTCCGCCGCTGATGGAGTCACGCGGTGCCGGAGAGCACGCCTTGCCGTTGCTGCATACGGAGCATCTAATGTATCCGGAAGCTGCTGCTGCTGCCTGGTGGCCACATCGACGATAAACCTCGCCATGCACGAATGGGGGAGCCTTCCGCATGCTGCTAGAGGAGGGTGAAGCCTCCGCAGTGCGCCATTCCGCAGTTGCAGCAACATGTTGTCCCCTGGTATTGCAGTGGGCTCCCTACGGCAGCTGCTCCGATGGAGGTGTTAGGGCTTCGAAATCAGCCTATGTTGCAGCATCTGCAGATAACAAGGCTCAGAATTCCTTTCGCCGCAGGCGAGGGCCCAGACTTTTTGCATGAAATGTTTGGGGGCCCCTGCAGGACCGATAAGGGGGCCCCCTGTGCCCTTCCTGAATCCCCCTCTTGGAATATCAAAGGCATTCGAAGGGAAACTAAGATATTCTAACGAGTATTAAAAGGCTGAAAATGTGATCAACGCCATTCCCTTCCTTGCAGAATTCCCTGTTGGGTTAGCCTTTCAGGGCTGCATGCACGTAGTCCACAAACAGAAAAGAACTAATGTGACCGCACTTCTACGGTTGTGTGTGGCATATTTCCCAGAGCGCAATGAATAAAATATTCAAAATGGACGGATAGGTAAGCTACTTTAAAATAAAAGGAGATAGGTTTTCCTTATCCAGCAAAGCGCTAAATGTGAGAAACCCTAGGGGCACCCACGAAGCAACTACGGAAATAACCCGCAACTCCTTTGGAATCACAGTCGCCAGCGGGTCGCCCTTTGGTTTGCTTTGGCTAGCAGGAGCACATTGCCCAAGAGAGCTGTTTCAGTGGTTGTGTGGCTATCCTGGGATTGGGGAAGCTATCCCCTGCAACGGGCACAGTAGCATGCAGAGGAGAGATTCGAAAGACAACAAAGGACGGACAGATTAAAATAAATTAAGACAATGAGAGAGACAGAGGGACTCCAGCTAGTGAGCGGGTCGCTCGACTGGAGGGGCCCCTCCGTAGTGGAATTCTTCCGAGGGCCGTAAATGTACAGCGGCCTTCACACTATAAGGAAGTTATGTTTTCAAACTGATATTGGAGGGCCATGGGAAGAATGTGGTGCCCCCAAGAGCCTTTCGGCACTGGCGTTTCCCTGTTGATAGTAATACGAACGAGAGGAGAGCTTCGGGTCAAATGGCTGCAACAACTCATAGCCCACAACATGAAAATGCGACTCACAATTGTAAGGATATTCATAGGTTGGTCCTAGCGGCAAGTGAGGAACGCCTAGAATGAGCTAAACATAGCCCAACCCCCCAAACCTCGATGAGGAGTAGCTTGCCTCGGGTAGCTGAGAAGGTGGAAGAGAAGTGGCGCTGTTATGGGCTTGGGTGGGACACGCGTATTCCTCATCCAACAAGGGGGAGTTATACCAGAAACGCGTGACATTCCTGATACGAGCCAGCAAAAGAACAACACCCCAGGGCCATGTACAAATAGAGGTACAGAGGAGAAAAGATAAATCGGTGCAAGAATAGCCGCAGAGGGAAAAGGATCCAGCGGGAACAGAGGAGAAGAGTCGGAAGAAGGTGAGGGACACAGAAACGTGGAGGTAGGAAAGAAGACCGACACATGTCTAACAAAGCAAAGTGACAGAGAGTAGACTGCATGCATGAAAAAATCGCAGCGGGGATGGTTGAGAGAGACATATGGGGACCGTGGGGGAGGAAAAGTAGGAAGATAATAACATAAACAAAAAAGACTGGGCTGATATTCGAAGAAGAAAAGGTAGCAGAGAAAGGCACACAAGTTACCGAATGATTGCAGGAAGGGACAGATCTCCAAAATCCCAAAGCCAGCCTCTCGTTTTCCCTCCAAAACGCCGCACGATATGAGGCGGCCTGAAACACACGCCTTACACTCTAGATCCCCATGCTTTTAGCGTAAACGAAGAACAGACACCGATTCAGAGCTCATCAACCAGGCAAATAAATGATTAGTATCTACAGTTCAGCCGTTTAGGGTTTGCCTTGTAACCATGGTCAAAGGGCCCCCGTTTGAATTTGCAGCTAAAGGTTACACGAGCATCAGATTTCAGCGTTGAGACATGCACTACGGCTAATGGCGTACTTTTTGAGGAACTCAAAGTAAGTGACGTTGGAGAAGATCGCCCGTGAAGTGCGCAGCAGTAGATACACACCAAAACAGAGCCATGCCAGATTTGAAGAGGCCACGCAAAGGCTCAGCAAAAGCCATAACTGAATCACAAACCGCATATCGTAGGACCCTCATAAAACGTGTAGACTGTCGAGTTGCCACAAATTCAGTAGTCCTCATAGAGCCAATGCTGCGAACGGGAAGGACGCGACGCCAATACAAAAGACAGTTACAAAAGAAAGCGGAAGGTCCAATGGTCAAGCTGCACATTTCGATCCATAATTCTTACCCATTGTGAAGGCTTTGCAATGGCCTGGGCAGCGAAGAGACCGGTGAGGACGTAAATCTGGAGAATGGAGAGGGAGAGGCAGAGTAAAAAGCAGCAAAACTGCCTCATGTTTCCGGCCGCTACGCAGTTGTCGACCCATACGCAGTGATGGTCCTGACGGCTGTACGAACACTCCGACAACGGCAAGCGAAAACACGCAATATCGCAGCAGAAGCGCCATCACCGCGAATATCAGTAACGAAGCAGCCGGACAGGAAGCGGCAAGAGCACAAAAAGCGGCTGCGAAAAGAATTGCAGGAACTGACAGGAGGCAATGGGCGCATTCGGCACAGTGGTGAACCCTAGTGGGTTTGACGATGGTACAGGTGACGCAGATCTGCTTCAGCTCATCCATGCCACCAGACAAGATGGAGTGTATGTACACTCCATTAAGTCTTTTCTGCCTCTCGACAGCAATGCCTTCTTGTACTTCGCATAACTCGTCTCGTAAAGAAGACAGGCGTGCAGCAGCAGCCTGAAATCGCAGGTCTTCTTCGTCAGTTACAGCAACATCACTGGCCCCCCCTCCAGCCTGAAAGGCCCGCCGGCTGACTGCCGTGTTCAGCTCACACAGATCCAAATTCGTTAGCAGCATCTGCCTGAGAGAGAAAGTTCACAGACGTTGAAACGCTACTCATTAGAGTGCGACAGAATCTAGATATATGAAACAGCGAGACTCCCAATACTAGGCATGCGAGGGCAGTGACTGTGGGCTTGAAGGCTTCGCACACACACGCCCAGTTGTGCTAAAAGAGCTACATATATGTATCCTAAGAAAGTGGTAGCTGTACCTTTCGATTTGCTCTAATTGAGAATGGTAAGCTCCGTAGGAGGGCCCCAGAGGCCAGCGAAGTGCCCCGAGAATCTCCCGAGTAAACTGACTGCGGCAGCAATACCAGCCAGCAGCACAAGGCCGGCTTCCTCAAGAACGATGAGAGCAGCAGCAGAACGAGAGCCGTGAATAGCTGGCGACATTTTTTTTCACGAGAATAACAGCGGCAGAAATCGGTGTAGCAGTGGTAGTAGGAGAGCCGTACGGATGCACAGATGCAAACTGGTCCCTGATCCTGTGAAGGCTTCCTGCGACAATTCCGGGGTCAGCTTTGAAGGTAGCAAGCCAGAGCAGTTGCGTTGCAGTCCACAATCCCATGGCCAGCACAGAGTGCAGCAGGTTAATCATCCAGCCGGTGTTTTCGGCGTCAGTGGAATGAAGCAGCAAGCCGGATATGACGAGAACCATCAAAAAATTGAGCATCGAGAGGCCCCAGTAGAGCAATGCATACGCTGACTTGATCCACGCCACTCTGCCCAGAGCTTTGTACTGAAGGCCATGAAGCCATAGCAACCCTGCCATCAGAAACATCCGTTTAGAGAGGCAGAGAGATACTGCAGTGCGGGGGCCCCTAGCTCCAACACCCCACGAAGATGCTGGGAGAAGGCGGACTCCCCCCTTTAGACACAGGAAGACAACGCAATCCTCCTCCGCCCCGCCGCACACCGCTGCATGCAGCACTGTGCCGCCCACGTGATCGCGGTGGTTTAAATTTGCCCCCTGAAAGACAAGGCGCAAGACAAAGCCCGGGGCAGAAGAGTTCGCGCTTGTTTTAGTCGATAAAGCGCGACGGGGGTGCACTTGAACCTGCAAAACTAAAGGGCCTGGGTGTGTCGGGATCAGGGGATCTAGCGTTCGAGATCTTTGGCTGAATTGCACCTTGGAAAGAAGCCACTGGATAATGGGAAGAGACCCCCGCCTGGCAGCCCACAGAAGGGCCGTCTGCCCCATGTCGTCCTGTTCTTCTAGAGATACACCCTGCAATGCAACGCACATAACGTTTTGGGTGTTCGCGCTTATTTGCAAAAGTGACCCTGCCGCAAAGAAGCGCAGTGACGCATGCTTGTAGGGGCCTTGCGCAGGGTGCGGCTTCAAGGCGGGATCCACAGCTTCGAGTTCGGCTACGGGTGAGATTTAAGACTTGACGTGTAGAGGTTTGGATTTCAAAGTACATGGAGATACAGGAGCTCCAAGATACGGAGAGCGTCTCCGACGTTTTCTTCGGCGTATTCGGCAGCCGCAACAATAAAGGGTGTCATATTGTTCCTGTTCTGCAAACAGAGGACCTCAGCGCTAGCCGGAAGAAGTGAGTTCAAAGTCGGAACAGAGTTATTCCGAAAAATTTAAAGTGCTAGAGATTGGACTTAGGCTAGCATTTTTTTCAGTAAACGAGGTTGTTGCAAAGGGCATATGCAGAAAGAGAAACCTCCGAGTGCGAATTGCGGAGGACAGGGCGCGGAGTGCAGATGATTTACCTGGTGCTGCAACAGCTTACAGCCCCCATGAGCAAGAATACACCGGACAGCTGCAAAGTTTCCGGCTTTTATGGCGAAGTAGATCGGCGTCTCGAGAGACGATTCTTCCTGAAATCGCGTAAACCCCAATTGTACACGCCAAAGCCTAATCACCAAGCAGCTGACCAAACGTTCTTCCCACCCAGCTCCACTCTCCACACCCCAAACCGGGTTCACCGGCTCTTCAAACATGAAGCCACCCCGAAAACTGCAAAGGCTACTTCCTGACCTGTTGGAAGGGCGAACATCCGATTTCCGCGATGAGGTAGTGGAGGAGGGACTCAGCTCCCAGGAAGGCTGCCCAATGTAGCGCATGCACCTCCTGTAGCTCCGTTGCCGCTACATTGAGCCCTCTGCTGCTCACTAGACTTTGGCAAAGGGACAAAAATGCTGAAGGATCTTTGCGGCGGGCAGCAGACACCACGAGTGCCTGAGCACACACAAGTGCAGAATCCTGAGTCCTAAACGCCAAGCCTCGCTCTTTGAAGATTAACCACGCATATAAAAAGCGTCATCACGGCAGTAATTTACAAATCAGAAACATGTGACTGCCACCACGCGAAGACGCACAAGGGCGCATGAGTAGTCCTCAGCCCTATCAGAGAAACACACACTGACCTCCAAACCAATACCAGGAAGCTGCGACACGCGCAGCAGGGGTGTCTCCAGAAAGTACGGAGATTGAAGCCCCGCACTAGGGCTGCTCTTTAGCGATTCCATCTGCTGTTGGTCCTGTAGTTGGTGCTGGTACTAAGCACTGCGTATGTTGCTGTGATTCATGAAGGTGTAGCTGCTGCTGCATCTGCTGCCTCTGGCGGCCATTCAGACGAATCTATTTGCCGCTGCTGTTGCTCACACTCCAGGCATGCCTGTCCGCGAAGACCCTCAGCCTGAACTTCACGCCTTTTACCCCTTCCAGACTCCCTGGCCCCAGCGATATCCTACCCGAACAGTCAAGTAAACACTATCAAATCAATCCGTATCTTCTAAGCACTTCATTTAATACGGCAAGACCCAAAGCAGGTGGCTTTAAAAGCATGAAGGGAAAGGACATGTTGTTTTCGTGCTGTTTTTGTTGCTGCCGTCTTGCTGCCGTTCTACTGTTGCTCCCCGGCAGGGCACGGTGGGTGGCCCCACAGTCCCTGTAAATGTGATGAGACTGAAACAATTTTAACAGAGAATACAGGAAATCAAAACCTAAACCCTAAAGAGCAGTGTCTCGTTGCCTGCGCAGACAATCTACAGGAGGCGCATGCGGGAGGCCCACGCCGGCGGCGGAGGAGACCGTCACTCATTTTGCGCACCACAATAACCAAAAATTCAAGCATAAAATCGTACATCCCAAATGCCATTCCCATTTAATAAACAAATATGCGCAGAGATCAGGGAGATTTGATAAATACGGCGTGGCTTTAAGCACGAGGCTTACGAGTTGCAGTCGGCGCTGGTCCGACCGGTCTACTACACTGCTGAAGGAAACGGGCTTCCAAACTTACAATTTGTGCCTGACTCAATGACCCATATTCTGCCTAGAGAAGTACAATACACTTCTCTTTTGCTGCCCCAGCACCTACGACACCAGTAATAGCAAAAGCATTAACAGGAGCATCACCATCCCTTACATCACCAAGAGTATCCCGTAATTGACCCTGACTTTGTGTCAATGGATTTCGTAAAGTCTAAATACCGTTGCCCCATGACGCCTGAGGCTCGTGCTCTAGAGTTCATACGTCCGAGCAAATGTGCCTTGCTGAAAATGCTGAGCAATACAAGCTACAATAAAACCAGAACGCCTAAAATCGGAATCCCAGACTCTGAACCTCAGGTCCCATAGCATGCGTCAGCCTGACTATGCTCTTATCTTACCCGCGCGTCCGCTGTTTCTCGCTTTCTCACTGTAGTGTGTGGAAACCAAGTCCTCAAGCTTTCAGCACTACCAACAGTGTCGAATCGTATCTCCCCTATAAAACCATATATCCCTAACGCTCTTTTATAGGGCTACGTGGGTAGCGCCTTAATGACCAATAGTACAGGGATCCACCTACGGTCTTCCGTACGGGGATACTTTATTCCATGCTCAATACAAACCAAACAAAAAGTTCTTAAGTAACTTCCGAAGGATCTCCCGCCTTCCTGTGTAAGTGCCCCTCCGCACTTCAACACCCGGGACAGCTATGGAGGGCGCAGCTGCATCTTAAAATACTTTTAGCATTTACAGCTAGTGGCATCCTGCATCATGCGCCCATGCACACAACATTGCGTCTTTTTGTATCGAGGTGGTAGATTCCTGTAACTAGCAAGATGTGTAGAAAGACAATCAATTCGTCCATTTTTAATACAGCAGTGAATCCTAGCAAGCTTTGCTGCTGCAGGTAACTGCTACAGGTAAGCCACAAACTGTTGCCGCTGTGCATGCAGTAAACTCGCGGGTATACCAGTTCACTGAAAGAGTCTAAGGCATCCTCTAAAGAGTTGCTGACAGGTCAATGCAAACGTGCACGAACCGCGTGAAGCTCTAACTGCCTACTTAGGGGATGAGTGTGAGCATCCTATGCTGGTGCTTATCGCATAGAGTACTAATACTTGACTGGCCTCAACGAGGCTCCTCTAAAAACCGTCATTTGTTACAGTTTACACTGACCTGCTGGTGAGAGAATCGATGTAGATTTCACTGCTAATGTGTTTTCCGCTGTACAAAAAATACTTTTTCTGAGAACTTTGCGGTGTTTCTTGTAGTGGTGCAGCTTGGCCGTGTTAACAAGTGGTCGAAGGGGGCCGTTATCTGATGAAATAGCACGATGTACTATCTCCTTGCTTGTTATACTAGCCTTTCATATACGGGTTTTCAAAATAAGGTTACAGTTGGGTATATGGGGTGTGAGATCCTTATAGGAGTCATTCCTGATAGTTTCTGGGTGCTGCGCGGAACGGCTGCAGGAAAATTATCAACTGCTGCCTCTGGTTCCTTTGTTGCTACACGCTGCACTGTGACCGCGCTTTATGCTACGCCCACAGAGCCGACGTTCTTGCATTTGTGCTGTAAAGGTGCTATTACTATAGTGGAACCCCTTGTTAAAGGTTGTGCTGCCTTGCTTTTGTCGTAGGAGCAGCAAGGCATGTCGCTGTTCATGCTGAAGCAGAACCCGCCCATCAAGGGTCTGCAGCTTACTGGAGCAAGCGGCAAGAATTTGGGCTCTTCCTTCAAGGCCTCGGAGCTTTGTTAGGGGGTTATCGATTAGGGTCAGATGCTTTAATCTAGTGCACTGCTGCAGCAACTGCTGCAGCTGATTCAGTTCCTCTAGATTGTTTCCAGCAACGTCCAAGGTATCTAACTGGTGCAACACAGCAAGAGGATTAAGCGATTTAATTTTGTTGCTTCTGAGACGGAGGAAAGTGAGCGAAGGGGCTAGGGCTTCCAGAGTATCTTGATTGAATCTAAGGCCTTCGGTTTCCTGGTCCTTCTGTTCCTGAGATTGAAGTTGTTGGCTGTCTGCATACAAGGTTTGCAACAGGGGACAACCCGTGAGGCCGTCTAAGGTGGTAAGACGGTTGAAGGAGACGTCGAGTTCTCGAAGAGCCGGGAGGCCACAGATAGAAGAAATGGATCCCAGCTCGTTATGATGTAAGTACAACCGCTGTAGTCGGGGTAAAGCGCTCAGTGCTGACACTGTAGAGAGACTGTTGCAGTACAAATATACCACCTATCCGAACGAAAATCACAAGGCACAAAACAAGTACAAAAATCCAAAAGTTCAGGTCCGGAGCCCAACAACCTAGGCTTAAGAAAAAAATACGCATAGAAGAGTGTCTCTAGAGCTAAGCTAATATATGAACGCTAGAGCCTAAACGGCCAACCCCAGATACAAAGTCATACCTCTAAGGAGGTACAGCCAGCGAAGGAAGGGCAAACTTTGAGCCTAAGGCCATTAAGGTGTGCGTGAGTCAGTTGTCTGGTCTTTTTCAGCGGTTTTCGCTTCCTTCTGTCACTCTGCCGCTGACGCTGCTGCATTTGCTCCTCTGGTTTCATGTTTTGGGCTCGCTGCTGCAGCGAACTTGCCCCATTGGAAAGTATGGGTAGAACTGTAGCAGTAACATCAACACGGTGCACGTGACTGTGTGTACTCAGCGATTTTCTGGGGCATTCTTCGTTGTATTTACTGCTACAGCGCAGCAACAGCATCGGTGACGCCAAGGGGACCTCGCACATCAGCATAACAGAGCGAGTGCATGATCACCCTGGTATTACGAATGCGCTTAATAGCCACTCTAAGGCATACTGGTAGTATTCAATTTACTACTATTTTTAGAGGATTGCCTTTGGCTACTCTTGTCCACCCTGACCGCCTTGATATCCGGCGAAAACCGTTGCGGGTGCAGGACTCAGGTGACCATGGGAGGTTATCGGACCCCAAAGCCCCATGTCTATCTTTCATCATCAAAATCTATGAAAGGTGTATATTCTGGTGATTCCTAGGAGCCGAAAACTTGATTAGGATTTCACTTTCGGTTTCGACAAATGGTACTGAGCTCGTGTCCTCTCATGAGGCTCGGTGGTGTTTGCCCATCGTAGTACTCAAACGGCAAAACCACAAATAGTAGCCCCTAGCACCTACCTCGAAGAATACTGAGAATTTCAAAAAAAGTAAAACTTCAATTAATTAAGTGGGCAGTGACCATCAGCAGCAAGGACAGAGCTGCCGTCGCCAGTGACAGTGAAACCAACAAGGCACTTTTAGCAGTAAATGCCCAGAGCCATGTTCCAGAAAGCCACCAACGATAAAATGTAGCCGTATTTGAAAATACTACGTGATACGAATATGGAATAAATGTATGAGCAAAAAAAGGAAGATTTATTTTTCAAAGTTGCCGAAAGCAACAGTTCACTCCATCCACCTTAGATCCCAAAACGCAATCTGGATAGCCTCATGGTTGGGGGCTGAGGCTAGGTTCAGCTGTCCCCCTGCTATCTGAAACTTCCCCTTGCTGTTGCTGCGGCTGCTGCGGTTGCTGCGGTTGCTGCTGCGGGTTGGCTGCAACAAATGCGTTGTACCTGTGAGCGAGCTCCGCTGGTTCTTCGAGCTTGACGCCTTCTAGCTGGTTGCCTGAAACACTCCCAAAAACAATCCCTGTACGTCAACCCCCCTACTTCATGGCCCTCTGATTGTATCCCGAAAGTGCTCCACTGTAACTTCAAACCTCCCAAGAACACCACAAACCCTAAAACCTCGCAGTCACAGCCTACCCAATGTGATCCAGTTATTTCTGATGTTGTGCTGCCGGCCAAACAGCTCCACCTTCAATGTACCAGGGCGCATCCTTTCTATCATCCTAAAATTCAACCAAGAAAAAAAACAAGCAGTTGATTCATGCCACAGGGGTTAGAGCGTAAAGCGCGCCACAAGCACCAAAGAGCCCATGGTGTGACGTTTTGTACATACACTGTTCATATGCGCATAGAGTTTAGTACCTGTAGATCTCATCTGGCTTTCTGGAGGTTTGCCGGACTTCGCTGACGATGACATCGCAGTCGATGTTGCGGTTTACCTTCGGGTTGCCCTTAACCCCCACCAAGCAGTGCTCCTAACATCGCAAACCCTCAAACTATAGACGCTAGACCATAAGACCAAAATGAATATTGGTGAACGCGTGTAAGGCAGCAAAGGCTTCTGCGCATTTTTTGGTGGCGGGGTAGAACAATGGATTACGCGTATAGGAAATAATACGAAGAATTGTGCATGAGCAGCGAGTACATGATTTACCTTTGAGTGGTTAAGCCAGTGGCCTGTACGGCCCGTGCGTATAATACGTTGCAGCTGATTTGTTTTGACCCACAGGATTTCCTCAACCCGACGATATCCCCATAGCTGCGCAAAATACACTGCAAACCAAATAGTGGAACCTCATCAACTCAATAAGAACACCAAAAAGCTTTGTCGATGCGCTAGAAATGTGGGTTTGAAGGCACCTGCAGGCATTCCCTCGCGAGTTCCATAGCTCTTCCAGTTACCCATAGAAACAGCAAGCCCTCATCCTGGATCAAATCTACCTGCAGAATCACCGGCAACACCGCTACAACCCAGGTAGTAACACACACTTGGTCAACAATAAACCCTAGTCCCGAGTCCGATAGAGCCGCCATGAACAAAAACGCCGCAGAATGGAAACTGAGGGTCACGCCAACTACATAAAATACACGAAAGCCGCATAACCGAAGTCGCAAATCCTCACTCTAAGGCTGCGCATTTCGTCGTCCGTCATTGTGCCATAAGGCAGATCCATGTGAATATCCCAGGGAGGATCCGCCATCACTACGTCCACAAAGGGCTTGAAGATTGAGAAGTCAAATGTCCTGCAGCAAAGAGCAGTTAAAACGTAGCCCTCACACCTTCACGATCAAACCCTAAAGCGCCCAGTAAGATGCTTGTTTCCTGCTATTAACAGCTTCGTGTTGTAAGTAGAGTTCAACCTGCGAATGTCATAGGGTTCAGAATTTGCACACCGAATGTCGCAACGAATCCATTGAGCGGGATACTTCTCTGTGAGGCACTGCGGACCAATGGAGTAGGGCTCTACGGGCTCCTCGCTGCAGCAAAACTCTAAATCCTCCAAAACGAACTTTAACCCTTACAAGCAGAACGTCTGCGTCCGCTCCGCAAGCTCTGCACTTGAAGCTTAGCTAACCAATAAGTTGAAAGCCAAACGCAAGAAATTGCAAACGTCAGCCTAGTGCCAAGCCAGAAATCCTTATAGCTTAAATGCAAACCCGAAATCCTGTAGGCTAACTTGGGCTTTTGTTCGAGCTCGTAATGCACAAATCGGCACTTCTCAATGTGGCGACAAGTGTCCAAGTAACTGCAGTCGCCTAAACGCTCGTCTGCGGAACACCAGCAGAAAAAGTATTGGAAAGATACACGCCTCCAGAGAGCAGCGAAAACTGAGGCAGTATCGTTGGCGGGGAGAGCAACAACCATCGCTCGAACTGCGGAGCCACGAATAATCGTGGCAACAGTACACAACGGGGTGGCGGCAAGCGCCTCAAAAGTACCAACAGAAGAAGAAAACACAGAAGCAACAATAATAATACACATGAGTAGCCCACCTGTAAGGCCTTCTACAATGATCTTCCTAAAGTGCAACTGAGGCACACAATAACCCCTTGAATTGTAAAATTAAAATGCATAGCCCAAATGCCAATAAAGGAGGGGATAGTGTGTGATGCCGTGTTCGAAATCTACGAGTGTTAATGTATCCGTTCTTCGGTTCAGGGAGCGTGGTGTCTAGGGGCTTGTGTATTACCTTGTTGCAAAGAGTACGAGAAGAATGTGGGGAGACACCCTGTCGCCTAAGAGCCTCGGCACATTCATCGCGTGTACCGTGGGGACAAAGGGGGCGAAAGGTAGCAGAAGAAGACGTCCGAAAGACCGCCGCCACCTACACAGAGAGGGGTACAAGGATGGATTACAATATGGTGGTTGTGAAGCCGGGGGGCAGAGGACACACAGAAAGTAAAACATGAAAGCAGATACACAGAAAGTAGAACATGAAAGCAGATACACAGAGAGTAAGACATGAATGCAGATACACACAAAGCAATCATGAAATAATAAACTAACAAACGCAGACGCCAAGTACTTAAGCAAACTAGCGTCGCGAGGGGGGAGGGGGGCAACGGGGCTCAGTGGAGGTTAAATGGCCTTAGGTGTACAGGCAGGGAAACACGAGAAAGGAAGAGGAAACAGAGGAAACAAAGGTAAAAGGGGAATCAGATGGCGTGACCTACAGAAATGGAAAGATGCACACATGCGCAGATTCTTGGACATATAAAAGAAGTCAGGTATTCAAGAACAGCGACAAAAATGGCGGATCAGTGTGAAACACGCTAGATTACAACATATCCAAAAACCGACACAAACTGAATGAGCAGCTGATGAACGAAAGCAGAGATCAACTGGAATAATTTCCCTTTTAAATAGAGCAACGTGCGACATGGGAGATAAGCCTCCCCTTGGAATCGACCTGCCACCTGTATTCTGTGAGACTCGGATATACACCGGCAGCTCACCTGCTGCTGTCTGGAAGTCAATGCGGAGAGGAGGGCCCGCACCTCGGAGTCTAATTGGTGCGTAGTTTGGTTCTAAGGCAAGCGTACACCGCAGCAGCCGACTAGACTTTCAGACAACTACTCTGGGGCAAGGGTACAGCAGTAGTCATACGAAGTGCAGCGCAAAAGGGTAGTTGTAGCGGCGGATGCGTTAAAAACAAGAGTACCTTCGCCGTAGGCTCGCTAAGGAGCGCCTCAAGCTCTGCTTCTTGCTGCTGCTGCTGCAAAAGCCTACCCTCCTGCTGGGCATCCTGGTGTCTGAGTTGTTTGTGGAGGTGCTGTTGATGCATTACTAACTGCTGCTGTTCATACAGCTGCTGGTGCCGCAGCTGCTGCTTTTGCTGCATTGTTTGAGGAACACCGTGCATCTGCTGCTTTTGTTGTTGATGCTGTTGCCCACATCTGCTGCTCTGAGCATGCAGTTGAAGCAAAAAGGCAGCCACTCGGTGAGGATACACCGCAGATACTGCCCTGAGCGGCCCCTCTCCATCAGCTTTCAGCATGGGCATAGGAGCAGGGACCCCACAGAAGCTGTTGTTGCCGCTAAAATGGCTATTGGTGCTTGTTTCATGATTGCTATCAGTGGCGCTGCTACTGCATTGGTTAATGATAGCTGCAACCTCTGCGGCTGGATACTGCGCAAGCCGCCGGCTATGGTGCAGTGTCGCTACCGCTGCCACTGCCCTTCTAATCAAAACAGGAAGCGCAGCAACAGACAGTGGCTGCCGCAGAATGATCTTGTGCGGCAACGACCCGAGCTTGACAGCAGTTGAAGAAGTTCCTGCTGCTGCTTCCTGTTGCGTTGCATGCTGCAGTAAAAAACAGCAAATTACCCGAGTTAGCTGTACATCGCGCGTGTCTTTTGGTGCTCCTGCTGCTGCTCGAGACAGACAAAATGCAGGGTGCTGCAAAGACAAATCTGTTGATGCTGCAGTAGAGCTTCCTGCCTCTGCCGCAGTTTCGGAAGCACCTTCTGCAGCTGTTTCATGGATGGATCTGGTCGCTGTTGTCGTTCCTGCAGTCGTTCCAGCGGTAGCAGCCGCGTCACGATCGCCTGTCCGGAGGTGCTGCTGTCTCGTGGAATGGCCTTCTGCCCGCCATGATGCTCGTATTGCTCCTGAATTTATTCCTGTGAATTGTACGGGGAAACTTGAACCACGTGGGGAATCGGGATGCTGCTCACAAGAAGATTGGGGCAGGGGTGCTCCTTTCGAAGGTGAGAGAACAGAGGGAGATCCTGTAGCTCCTGTACACCGGTCTAATACTGATGGGCTGCCCGCCTGCTGCTGCTGTGTCTGGCGCAACGTGATGCCGGTAGAAAGGCTTGTTCGTGTGCTTGCTTCGTCTCCTGATGTGGCTTTCGGCAATGTTGATGCATTGCCAAGAGCCACATCAGTGCTTCCGCTGGAAAGTTGCTGCTGGAGGGAGCCTGTCTGTTGTCGGCGTTGCTGAAATCGCTCTCCAAGGCGTTTCATTGTTGCTGCAGCTGTTGAACGCGCTATGGTACACGCAGGTGAGTCGCACTCGTGCTGCTGCAGTGAGCTGCCCTCGGGGAAGCTACCGCTCCTTCAGCAGACCTGATCCTTGTAGTTGGTATGGCTTTTTGATTAATGCAAAAAGCACAAGAGCGCCTGTGGCTGCTTGGAATTGGGGCTGAGGGCTGACATTTTGGAATGTAGCTACGCTCAAATGCATCCATTCAAATTGCTCAAAAAGCAGCAAAGACACACATAATACGCATTACTTAAATAGCTGGAAGCCCTCCTTCATAAAAACGAGCTCCGTGAAACCAGCCGTTTGAGTCCCACATGCAGCCCCGAGAGATAGTCCTCCGTAGATATTCTCAGTATACCCTGCCTTCTCAATTCCGTAAACACCAAACACAGTCACGTAACGGCAGAACAGGTGCAAAAGACTGAGCTAGTGTGTGCTAGAAAAACTCTAAGCACCATTTGGGTTCAACTCCTTGACGAGGAAGCATGGCAGCCTTCTTCCAGTATTGATAACGCCCTCTTGCTTCCATCCTTGAGTATTGCCACTACCGAAGCCCCATTGACGCGTTTTTGAGCTTTAGGTTATGTAATGCTATGACCCATTCCAATAATCCAGCAGCTATCATCGCATTTGAAGGCACTCTTTTAGCACAAACATCTAAAGAACAAGAGGCCATGCCCTTCCACAGTCTACAAGGGCCGTCAACTTCTGAAGATTGTTAAGACAGATTAACGCTGACCTATCTCATACAGTAGAACCAAATTCGCATTACCATAGTGGAAGTGGGGAAGAAACTTATATCGGTCGTCTTTATAGCTGCGTATTATTCCTTGCTAGTTATGCCTAGGGAAAATGCTTACAGTGGGTAGGGTTTGAAAGTTAGCGAAGAATAGAACCATGATATGTATCTAGCTGAATGTGTGGTAAGAGCGGCACCGACGCTTACTGGACAAATAGGGAGGCTACTACCCCCGTACCGCAGTTTGACTTGCACGCAACAGTGCATGCAGAGACAATCTTTGATGGCTGGTCAGTCTCTGGAAGTTGGTTTTGTGCAAATTTGGCTGTTCATTCACAGCACTCATTGGTTAGTAGCATGAAAGACTCTTCGTATACACGCTAGGGTCTAAATTGTAGGCATGCTTTACCCGTGCCAGTGAGAGTGCAGGAACAAAGAATAAGTCCAAAAGACTCACTGAGAAATCGTCACGCTAAGTTTCAAAACGCAGTGAATCCTTGATGAAATGGGGCGTGCAGGGGTTTCAACAAAGTCTGAACAGTATACCGATCACTGGAGTATCCTCGCGCGCATTTTGGTCGTACCGTAAACCCTTGCTAGAATATTGTGCTGAAGCTGCCTTGACATCACCACTACTCAACAACGTGCGCCGGCTCAAGAATGTGTTGTGGTTGGAGGCTCGTTTCCGTGAAAGGGGGCACCAGGTCAGTAGATTCCATTGTAGCTTAGTGCTGCGGCGCTCGTTGCGGGTGCAGTCGAATACTGTGGGACATTTTCTAAACACTCAGGGCCTAAAACTCTGTCTACAAATTGCAAATGGGTGCTTGGGGCACAGCTACAAATGGAGGTATTTACCACCGGCTGACGAAATGGACGAGCATTTGCCTATCCTCGAAACCGCAATGTTTTGCTAGTGGTCATCACCGCTTCGGCGAGTCCATGAGCGTCCTATATGGCGAAAAGTGATGCCGTTTCACCAGGTATAAGCCTTATGCATCTTTGCTTGGTTGTAAGGCGGCATCTGCCACCGTACCAGGTGTAGTGCCACTGTCAACTTGGGTCACCAGACGGTTTTCCTCCTATCTTTTTGCGTACCAATAGTCAATGCTCTAAATACCGAATAACTTGATCATACTAAACAACATTTGTAGAAAACGCCGGCATCCCACTGCATTCTATAAGCAGTGGGTGACGTGGAATGCCAGCTTCATCAAAAAGGTGCTTTGCTACACTGCATCTACCCATCTATGATTCTGTCGAGAGGCATTTATTCCACACTCAACACCACCTTGATAAGTAATCAGCAACAGCTTTTTTGAAAAGTGCTGCGTGCGTTCTTTGCCAGCGGCTTTCAGAGTTTCGACTTCAAGAGAGAGGGAGCTAGGGTGCCCCTAGATTCACCTTCAAAGCATTCCCAGCATACGGAACAAACCGCGCAATGCATGTAGCGCACACGCATGCAACGTTGCGTCTTCGTCTCTGATCTAATGCTACCCTGCAATAAGTACGATATACGAATAGAGAGATCGTTCGTTCGACTCTTCGCTATTGCCTACGTAAATACATCAAGACGTGGCCGCGCAGTGGGTTGCTTGCTTTTATTGTAGTGGTTATCCTTTCTCTTGATCGCGGCTCTTGCTGAGCCCACACGCCAACAATTGTATTTCTCATATGTATTAATCGATGCTATTTTATTGTAAAATGAACCTTAAATGGTAATACATCCCATTGCTGAAATCATAGCACCTCCGAAAAACCAACACTTACTCTGGTTCTTTGGGCATCCAGAACTTTATCATCGGTCCAGATAAGCTGTCTCATGTATGGTTTGAAAGTTTTAAATGATTGTTGCTCGATTCACAGGAGCTTTATGGCACAATGGAAAATGATAGTTAGTACCTAATGGGCATCTGTCAGTAGCCTAACAGTATTTTCCCGTTCAAGCAACTTCAGCGCACCACTCTTGAACCACTAGCCTTCCTCAATACAATGCTTTTCTACAGTTCACGAAGCATAGAAGGCTCAAGTTCATGATTTTATCAAAATGGCAAAGTCCCCATGGAGGCAGCCTTATCATGCTCCTCGTCCAATGCTCTGCGCGGTCTCCTACTACCGTAGGAAATTCTACAGGGCAAGCATGTACCAGCTGGGCTGCGGATTGACTACGAAGGTAACAGGATTTTAAAGCGGACCCGCAAGCATCCTCAGTGTGAACGGAAAGCTTGGCTTAATGCATGTAAGCTTGCAGTGGTGTGAAGCAGCAAATGCTACAGAGAATGGTTTTTCAAGCCCATTGGCTAGTTTTGTTGGCTCACTTCACAACCAGCACCTTTAGCAATGCATCTTCACACGCCTCAAGTAATGCAATTTCTACTGCCAGACCGCCCCTCCACCCAGGCGCTGTAACACCAGATTCAAAGCATACTGCCTGCCTGCATGCGGCTGCTAGTCAGCCATCCAAGCATACTTGCACACATATCCTGGTTTACCAGCCAAGCAAGGGACGATCAGGGGAGGCTACCGGACTAACTGCCGCTGTACACCCGCACACCTCATGTAGAAACAAAATCTTTGATAATGTAAATGAGATGCTCATGTGATCGCTTTCATTCAAGCCAATACATTGGGAATGCACCGAACGCATCCTGTCTGGCTAACGCACAGAGACGCTGTTTTGTGCAGCCACTGCTGCAACAGCACAACTCACTAGTGCAATTTTGTATGTGGCGATTATAGCCGCGCTACTTGCGCGACCAGGCTACTCGCAAGCCGGGTATAGCTTCTCTGTAATCAGCTATACTGCTAGTTAGCCCTGCACACTCTGGATATCTCTATAGAAGTACATGGCTCGCTTTGTCGCTAGCTGCAAATGTGCAGCTGCCTAGATATGTATATGCCCTGAGAAGATTTAGTGCCTTCATTCTCGGGAAGTCCTGGTGGCCTTGAGGACTGCGTGAAAATCTTCAGTAAGGCTAGCGCCCCCAACTAGAAAGCCGTCCACATCCTCCCCGGTGAAAAGGGACTAACAGAAAGCACAAAGAAGCAGGGATTCAGCAGATATAATGCAAATAACAACCTATACGGACAGTTTTGCCAAATGTTACTGTCGGTAATTGAATGCAGCATTGTGTGACACATAAGCGTAGAGAGCGTAATACATAGGGGAAAAAGGCACACTGGCAAGAGCTAGTAACCACGGAATTCACCGAGGCAGATATAGGGATGAAGTAGCAGGTAAGTAACGAATCCGTGTTGCAAGCGGCCGAGATCTCGCGCACATATAGATGATAATTGTAGCCATCTAGGCGGACAGACACGCTGTTCGTGAACTCTTGGCCCACTAGCCGGCATGTGGGCATGTGGTGTAGCACATACGCCATTTTTAGGCTTCGGTAGTGCACGAGATGACTTTATGCTAGTGTTCTGCCTGCACGTTTAGATTTATGCCGGTTTGTTTACCTCCCCAGATAATTTCATCTCACTTTATCTACCAATGAATCTCCTTGTCTTTCCCACTACGTCACTGAGTCTGACCACAAGCGTGTGTGGCTCCCTGTCGCCTTTGTTGCAGGGGTCCCCCTGTTCCCTTGTGCGTGCTCATTTCTCTGCTCCTGTGCTTACAGCCCTACTTCCCAGGCTTCCCCTGTTACTGTGCTACTCGCTGCATGCACTTATTTTATCTGAGAGTATATTTAGTATCCTTTCTCCTGACGAACCTGAGCGTTAGATCCCTTGACCGATCCTCCGTAGATTATGCGCAAGGCCTCCGCTGTCTGCTGACCGACGTGTTGCTTCAACCACTCCCGAATACCTGCAGACAATATTGCTCAGTCCTCATCAAGCCGAAAGTCTAAACACGCAAAGCCCATCCACGCGCTGCCGGGCAGGCGGTAAGACGGAATTGCTGGTTGCAAGTCTAGGAATAGTTCTTTTGAGAAGTACATCAAGGGTCCTCAGTGGTCACACATAGCGGATTCAGGAATTAGGATTGCGTGCCTTTGTGTGTCTCCTGTGCAATCTCGGGGGTAGCCGTTTCACCGGTACCAATAGCCCAAATAGGTTCGTAGGCTAAAACCACTGAATTCCAGTCAGCGCCAGACAACGCCGAAGCGTAGGCCTGAAGCACATATGTAGTTGCTCGGATGCAGTCCATGCCGACAATAATGTAAAAGGCATGAAAAGACTTAGCAGTGCGCACTGCCAACAACGTACGAACTCGAGTTCATACACAGGCGGATTTGAAGCAAGCCACGTTGGTAGGCCTTTGCACACCTGCAAGAGGTGCCTGCATTTATGAATTCGTGCATGTTAAGGCGTCGAGACTGCTGAGTTTACCTGCAGTTGCTTCCCGAGAAATTCCATCGTTTTTCCACTCTGCCTCGTTTCCAAGCTTTCTCCTGTAGCAAACCCCTCGAACCTTATCTAATTTCTACCACCTGCAATTAAATGATAACTGTGTATGCAGAGGGACGGGGTAGGTGGGGGCGTAGGGGCAGTAGCAGGTCAAGGATTCGCTGATTAGGATTTACCGATACATGCAATTACTTGAAGCCCGTTGTCCACAGCGTTCTTAGCCTTGGCGGCTACCTCCTCGTTGGACTCCCCCTATGCCAGAGACCCCCAAATCTCGCATGTTTTAAGATATTAAGCTTTAAACTCAATAGCTGAGACATCCTCTTTGGTGTGAATGCTGGTTTACCGATTGATTTCCGAAGCCCTCGCGCCTTTCGCTGTGACCAACGATGACCGCCTTAATACCAAAATCCTGGAAAACAAACTCCCAGTCGTACATTCCAAATGCCTTAGCTTCTTACAGCCACATACGATGGCAAATTCTGAAGCCTAGGTCCGCTCATTGTGACACTCCCATGAAAACATGCAGAACTCTTTCCCTTCATATCCCAACAATAGCATTCTCCTACTGCCAAAATATGAACTATGGGCGCTCTGTACTGTGTGTTAACGCTGCAAAAGTCATCCCTTAAACTGTGAACGAGAAATTCAGTACCCCATGTAGCCCGGCGTCGTCAATGCCCCATGCATAAACCAGCTAGCACTACTGGAATTGTACATTACAATCTCCCTAGAGAGAGGGCGAACGTCCTGACTCCCTATCCCCCACATCTATGTCTTGCCTTTGCCATTTGCGGGGAAACTTCCCCCGTATACGCCCCATAGCCCTTTACTTGACTGCCGTCCTGCAATGCCACGGCGAAGGGCTTCTTGAGGCCTCTCAATAGAAAGCCTGCATGGAGAGAGGGCGGAGCCACTACCACCTGCGCATACACCCTACAACAGCCATACAAGACATTTACCACAAATTCCTAACTTTGCTTACCCATGGAAGCAAGCTCTTCCAAGCCCTCGCATATAATGGAAATGCATGCCGGAAATCACCGCAAATTGTACTGCCCAATGCGCTGTTGACTGTGACGCTCCCTGCTGGCGTCTAGAGTTTGTGGTTCAGGTTCTGAGGGTTGGAGCTGCTATCTTGCCTCGATGTCATCTACTTCATTGGGAGCTTCGTTGAGCATTTTGAGGATTTCTTCGGCGCCAGTTACAGTCCCGTTGCATTTCCAGTTACCACCTACAAAGGGTCTCCTTGCTGCTGCCACTTGTTGCTGGTTCAAATTTTGCCTGTTGCAGCGTAATGTGTATTGTAGAGGCCCTCCTACGGGCAGCCCCACGAAACCTGCCTGATGGCGAGGAACGCCTATGGCTGCGACTTGTGTAAGTACATCGAAAGGTCCTACACATGCCAGCAAGCAGCCGAATACAGCTAGTGCGCGCACCATGGTCAAAGTTTTGGGGGCTAGAGTTCACGGCTTGCCGTCTTGTATGGGGAACAGAGGGGTTCGATATCGTCTCGTGGTCGAACGTGTGTCTGCACAAGCTTTCAAGAATTCGTAGTCATAGAAATCGTTTGTACATCCATGCATAGCTCCTATGCACCTGAAAAAGAAATACCACCAACAAAAAACTATGATAAAGGGCGTGGGAGGAGGGTATACGCTTGAAATTGGCGATTGCCAGTCCGAGGAGACAGGGAGCAGGGACGGGTACTCAGCCCGCGAGGGTATGGGGAAGTTCCCAGGTGTCTTGCCTCTGAACATACGGGAATTCCATCTACTATAGAAATATTGTCAAAGTAGATTGGGAGATTCTATCGGGTGCTGCCTGTGCTTCGTTCTGACACTCATGTACACCATGAGGGAAGACTAGCAGCATCACGAATTCGTACAGTTAGTGTTCCTTCATACTTCTGGTGCCGCTGTAGCGTCAACCTGCATGACTCAGCGAATTCCGTGGAAAGCTGGCGTAAGAGATCCATTGAACAGGCGAAGGCTCCTAGAGGGCAACAAGGCCCTCTTCGTCTAACTGGTGCGGTGAAGAATACACGCTCAGTATTGCCCATGCATCAGTTGCTACTGCACAATGGTAGAGTGCTGCTGCTATCACTGCTGTTGATGGTGTATGTGTCGCCCACATGTGGGATTCATCAGCCTTGTCGGCCTAAATTACTGGATAGCCAAATATACGGCAGCAGCAATGTCAAGCCCAGCAGCAAGCTTCCATCTAGCGGCGGCAACAGTCACTCCAGCTCTGGTAGCTTCCCCCTAACGAAACGCTCTAGCACAGCTTTCCTGAGGAAGAACGCATCAGCCTACTTCCAATCCAAAGCAGCACAACTCTTTTTTCAATCTGGTAATGCAGCCACACCGCGTTCCGTTTTCCGTGGCATCCATGCCCATCACGCATGCACCGTCACCCCGCGATGCATCAGTCAGCTTGCTGCTAGTCCCTCAGATGAGGGGGGCTGGGCGTCACGGGACCTACAGCAGCAGCAGCAAGAGCGCATGCAGCAGAGTGAAGAGAACCAGCGGCTAGCTGAGCAGCAACTCGCCGAATGGGTAAACAGCGAGAATCCAACGCTGGACAGCTTGGGGACCATTGTCGCAAGATCGCAGCATCAGCAGCTTCAGCAGAGTCTGCAGCAGGAGCTACTAGGGCTGCAGCAGCCGCAGCCTCCCCAGCCAGGAAGGTCCGTCGGGCAGCCTTCAGGTTCCGTCGATCCTTTGGCATCCGCTACATCGGCGCAGCAGCAAGAGAAAGGGCAGCATGCGCACCATCAACAGCGGCAGCACCTGTTCGATCTGAGGAGCATCGATCCCAAGAGTTGCCCTCCTTCAGATTGTCGAGCTGTCCTGCTTGACAGCCTTAGCGCCAGTCTCCTTCAGATGCCTCGAGTTCCTCCTGTGTTGCCGAGACAGCAGCCAGAGCACGCAGTGGGTGCTGCAGCAGCAGGAGAGAATGAAATCCCCACAGAGGGCTACGTCGATGGGGTTTACATGTCAGAAGCGCAGCTGGACGCGGCACTAGAGCAAAAGTCGCAAGAATTGCAGCGGCAGCAGCAGCAAATACACAAGCCTCTCATGCAGCAACTGCATCAAAGTGCCCTCGCGCAAATGGAACGATGCAAGCAAGTTACTGTTGAGGATATCGAGAGGTGTGTGCTCGCTGATGCTGCCAACACGTGGCCGTGTCCAGTGTGTGTTGCATGCGTGTCTGGCTGGATTTACCTACGGCTGCAGTGTAGGCAGCTTTGTCGACTGTAGAGGCACCATGTGCCACGCCTACCGCGGTCATAATACGATAGAGTGTATCGACACCCGCTGGTGCACTAAGAGCAAGCCTGCCAGTGCGAGCCGCCTTGATGCTGCTGCTGTCTTGCAGCCTGTCTCCTACAGACTTACGAGAATGTCTGATTTATAGGGGGCTCCGCTGCGAGGGCGACCTGGAGGTTCAACGAACCCGGCAAGTTTATCAGCCTATAAGCTGAAGCCTTAGTGCAGCTGCCAGAAAGATGAGGCACCGCAGCCTTTCCTGATAATGGCGTATGCAACGTCGAGTCTTGTGTTAAACTGCGCAGTCTTCGGAGAGCCCTGATAGACGGTGTCAAGCCTCAAACGCCTGACCCGGAAGCCGCCGCACGGTTCATTGCTGCAGTGAGACACTCCCTGGCAAACTTGAATTTTAGGACGATGGATTAAGACTAACGCGCTTTTAGTGCTAAACGGTGAGCACTACGGGCTGAGTTCTCGCGAGGTTCGTACCGAAGAAACTGCAGTTTGTGTGCAGGTCGAGGAGATACAAAAACCGCTCATGAACCCCGGAGATACAGCTTCAGTCATGCGACGGTGGATGGCACGAGCTGAAGTCGCAGCAGCTGTTGCCGACCCTGTAAGCTTGAACCAGCTCACCAAGAACTGCATAGTTCTTTGGGTGTGCATCCTGGAGCATATATCTTGGGCTGGCATGTAAAGCCCTTGTGAAGCGGTGCCCCACTGGAGGCTAGGATGGAGTTGAACACGTTGCACCTTTTGCCCTTCATATGTGAGTGTAGAGTGAGAGTTACGTGTTGGCACTTTTTAGGGCGGCGTGTTCAACTTGGACGCGAATTCATCCTTGCGCCATTTGAACAAGGAAGACATCACCGAGTTGGAGCGCGAAACAAGTCGGCCAATACAGCAGGTCACTTCTGACACCCATGCACCACGGGAACCTCCAGTGGACGCGACAACAGGGCATGTAACAGAAGAAATTACTGCAGAGTCATGGAAAGCTAAAGATAGCGTAAAAGCAGCAGCAACTGTTGCAGCAGGGGCACTAGGGCAAGCTCCTGAAGAAGGTGGAATAACATCCACGCCGACAGAGGCAGCAAACGAATCAGGTACTACAGACGAAGACTCATTTTCTGTGTTCTTCCGAAAGAACTTGGAGGGCGTTGTCTGGACAGCTGAGGAATTGCAGCAATTACAGCAAATGCACCGTGAGGGGCAGGAAGAGGCTATGCTTCAGCAACGAACGCAGAAGGAACTCGAACTGGTCTACCCTAGCAAAGGTGCGACTATCCTGCTATCCTTTACTGGTCAAATCCTGCTGCATAGAGTGCTTTTGTTGCCGATCTTCCCTCTGGGAGCTGTGATGCCGCAACTTGTGCAGCTCCACGTTGTTCAAGAAAAGAACCAGCTATACTGCCACTCCTGATATTGCTGCTTGTGCATACGTTAGTACCTAGACTGCAAGTATATGTGTGATAGCACTGCAACTACTACATTCGCATCATATTTCTACGACTATACCATGTTCAGAGGACTTGTTAGGAGAATCTATTCCAAAGGTTTTGGATCTGCGGGTTGATGGCGAGACTCCCCTGGAAGAGCCGATTACCAGAGAAGATCTCTTCGCGGTAGGGCCAAAATTTTGGGGGTGACGGCTTAGGGTGGCTTCTAGCAATGGGCTGGAGTTGAGTGCATAAGATCTACAGTTAATGGCTCCGTAGTAAGCATGATATACGTATCCACGAAACCCAATGTGCAACTTCTGGGCACGATATGTTCAGACACTTGGATTGATGTTGCTTTTGCAGGATTTGACTGATGACGAAAAGAAGGAGAAATTCCTTAGAGCGCAGAAAAACGGTGTTCTTTCAGAGTCTCTCGAGGTGCTCCCACCGTACTGTTTCTGACGGTAGCAGCTTGCGTGCTGTGTTGCAACTGCGCATGCGTCTTGAAAGCTTGATGTCGGCTCCGAAATATGTTCCATTCATATGCTACTTTAGTATAACCTAAACTAAATATTTGACACTTAGGTCGAACTCTGCCCGTTATCGCTAGGCCCTTCTGCAGATGTGGTCTCTGGACTTCGATTCAAACCATGTGTCTCTTCTTTCAATGTGTATTCGTCTCTGCTTGCCTTTCAGTCTCTAGCTGCTCGGTTCGGCTTTCCCTTGGATTTTCTGGGAGACGCTCTTTGTAGAGCTGGTTGTAACACCCCCATCAACCCGCGTGCTCCTTTGGGGGACTATGTACACCCAGCTGCCGCCTGGGGGCTGGTGGAACTACTGCACGTCGCCGACCCCAACAGCACCATATTCCTGTAAACGCAATCTTATTCCCTTATGCACAATCATATATTTAATGCCTGCATCCTAAAGTCTGGCTCCTACATCCAGCGCACACCCTTGGGCATCGTGTGCGCATAACAAGCCTTCTGTTTACTCCAAACCCCCACCGGGATACAGCCCCCTCTGACCACTATGCTCTCCAGTGTGCTGTGATATTCTCTGGCACAACCCAAAGCCTGTGGCGCATGAAGCGTGTGAAGAAAAACTCTGCATCGAAGGCCTCTAGGGCTAAGCAGACACGGCAGGTGGTAAGCAAGCCTTGAACGTGCGACTGTGCTTGTTGCTGCGCATTCGCAGGTACCCCGATGAGACAGTTGGTGATTTGGGACACCAGTACAGCGTTCCATTCAAACAGATGGAAGCTATTTGCAATGAGCTGGGATTTCAGTAGGCTGCTGCTGAGTATGCAAACGTTGATTTTTTGCCACTTTTTATGCCATCGGCGCGTTTGATGTTGCCGACGGCAATTCCGGTGCTGTTGTTGCACGTGCTCTTTTGTTGGCAGTGTATGATGCTATATTTTTTGTGCTGCCTGTCTATGTCTCTGCTTGCACTCCGGCTGACGCAGGCTGCCGTTTGGCCCTGACACACGCCTAAACAAGGAATGCTACGCCTCGCTTACGCAACGGCTTGGCAAGATGCAGATGCAGGCGGCAACAAGCCACAAGCCTTCGGGCTAAACCCCAAAGCTCCGAGGCACTAGTTTTGGCAGTATACGCTAATGGCAGTGTTACTGTACGTCCAGCAAACAACCCTTGCGCTGGAGTCCCTTGAAGCCAAACTGCTCGTACAGCGCTGCGCTGACAGGAATCACACCTTTTAGACGACGAATCTATTTGATATAACCAGATCGAAGGTTCCACATGTGAAGGGGAACACCTGCTGAACCCTCAAACATACGGAACTGGCCCACAAATATGCGTCAAGTTTAGGTGTGCGCATTTATTATTTCGACGTCCTACTGTCTTTAGCTTTGAAGTTCTACCGATGAGCGTACGCTTGATCGAATGCTTGGAGCAGAGGAAAGAAAATGTCAACTCGATTACTGAGCTGTGCGTGAGCACAAAAGGCGGCGCAACAATGCAGAAGATGTGCAAATTATTTTGCGTTGTCGGCTTTCAATTCAAAAGAAAGCACATCTTGTGGGCGGGTTTCTCTGGGAAAGCTGCTCTTTTTCGTACCTCGTATGCTCATCCTACATGTGCTGATGAAAAGGTGTTATGCCACGCGCAAAGTGCAGCGGTCCACGATAATTTATTACTGAATACCACAATCGTCGAAGTTTTAATATGCTTGCCTGCGAATACGGGATTACTTTATTGTTACCTAGTGCGCTACACTCCCAACAACCGTGTTTATTGAATGCCGACTAGAGTGTTGTGCAACTGCTCACACCATCCGAGTTCAAAAGTTCTTCAAACGTGTTTAGGACAATTTCCGGGGAGTCACAACGTTGCTTTCACACATGACACCTCTGTCAAATGGCTCGTGGGATTCCCATTGGGCACTAGGAAAATGTTTCCGCTGTGAAGACAGTCTTTGCTGCCTTTATTGGGAAGCGTTGAAACCAGTAAGGTAGCTGTAGTGAAGTTTTCCCTGGTGACTGGCCACCTATTTTAGCAGTTGCAACACCCCACGTACCGGAATCATGGCCGAGGCTTGCGGCGATTATACGCATCTCACCTCAAGTTCTATTTCCATGTGTCTCTGAAGCTCAGGCGAGCCTCTTGTAGTCGGTCTGGTGTAATCCGGCGGTCTTCCTTGCTTTAAGCAATTCTGTTTTTGTACGGCATCTCGTGTGGCAGTTTGAGTGAGCAGCGATTCGGCGCTGTACATGGTGTGCCTAATGGTACAAAGATAGAGCCAAAGATGTGATGGGATCCACTGGCTAACATAGCATCTTTTATCAACTTCGAATTATTGTTAGTCATTTAAACACAGGCCAGCGGGGTAACGAAAGGTTGCATTATCCCTCTTCAAAGCTGTTTTCATGTTTGCAGCTGTGTAATGCATTGCCTGCCTCCTAGCTGACAAATTCACTGTCTATTTGCCTGTGCTTCCTTTGACAAAGTACGTCGCGACACAGTGTGCTAAGCATATGATTATCCCACATGAGAGCACAAGGGTATCAGCAAACAAACGATAACCTTGCCAGACAGCTCAGCTGACCGGACATGTGCGGCTATTCCATGACATACGTAAAATTTTGTCCCATTGCCAGCACATCTGTCAATAGGACGCCCGTCAGCTTCCTCTAGTCCCCAAGTTTCCAACAGACGGTGAGACCAAGTGTCACTGGATTTCTTCATAGCATTACCTCGCACTGCGTACAACGTGGGACAAAACTAGTCTGGGTATATACAATCCGAAAAAAACATTTTGTTCCCACCTAAAATTTTGCTCAAGAGGCGCACACGTAAGATTTGTTGGCTGACCATCTAGCACGTTATCGTGGGCTTCCGCACGACAGCGTAAGACCGTGATGTGGGTATCGTTGGAGCTCGAAGTTGTTCTATTGCAGATGCAACACCAAGCGAACCCTCCAAGTGCCTGGTATCCGCAGTCCCACGACCATACCAAACGCGCTCACCGCAAACCAGAGCAGATCCTGCGCGGATGCATCCAGATAATCAGCGAGGGGACCATTTTCCGCTCAAATGCGTTAGCATGCAGCTGCACAGTGCACAATTTTGCAGGTGTGACCTCGTTCTAGGTCATTGTAGGAAGAAATTTCCTGCGTGAAACATGCCTAGACATTGTTGATAAGATCGAACCTCTAACGTGACTGCCCTTCATGCGAGCCCCTTGTCGACTCAACTGGCTGCCCTCACAGCAGCACGTTTCCTGAGAGCTTGGCAGCGGAAACGCACTACGCAGAAAAGTAGAATTTCCCGAAGGCGGCCTAGGGGTCAGGTGTCCGTCCACTTCAAAAGCTGTGCATAACACCCAGCAACGAACCTGCTTCGTTGGTTCATTCAAATTCTGCAGTCCAACATATCGGCAGAAGGTGTCTACAGGCCTCAGCTTTCTCCCACCATGCTGCAGCATCCCGTGTTTCACGTTGCTCTTGCAGCTCAGCTCGCCCTGCCATGCCCATATTCTATATTTAAAAAGAGGGGTAGCAGCCGCCCAAGCCATGGTAGATGGTGTAGAACTGGAAAAGGTTGATCCTTGCTGCAATGTCGCGCGAACAAGAGGCCAGAAAGAGCTTTTTGTCCAGTGGAAAGACTTACGGAATGTGGCACGAAGTGAGAATCCGCTAGGAGCTCGGAGAACAATCAGAAATCGTATTCAAGGCTTTAGGGCTGTTCACACGTGGGAGGACCCGCCTGCATATCTGAAATGAAGGCAGCATGGCTGCAGCAGGCTTATCTGGTGTGTGTCAGTTGTATTATTCAGCCAAAAGGAGTGCGATGGGACATGAGTTCACTTACCGATGCCAAGCGGCGTTTAGACGCAATCAAAACGAGGTGCTCAATGACTTGCCGCACACATCCACTACCTTAGCTTTGATGCAAACTTGCAGCGGCAATTTTATACTGCGTGGACTCATTGGTGCTTTCGCTTTTGTTTGGAGTCCATTGTGTCACCACCCTGCGACAACAAGTGATGCAAAAGCGTCCATCTCTCCATTGAATGATCAGGTACTTTTGCATCAAATTCAACTGTTGGTGTCATGAAACACTTATAGCTGGTACTAACGAGCGGATGGGCTAGTCGTTCGAATCATTAATCGAGAACACCTACCCATCGTCCACAGGTGAGTAGCAAGGCTGACTACGGGAAAGCTTTTTGCTTTGCCATCGCGTCCAGCTTATCTATAAGCAAAACTTTAGCACAGGGGTTGCATGTCGACTATTTTTGCCTACGTTTCTTGCTCATGATTTCGTATTCCGTTTCGATTGTGCTCGGGGCTTCTATCGCAGCTGGTTAGAAGGTGTGCTTGTGTTTTCGTCTTTCCTGCACTGGATCTTGAGGGAAAGAATAATTCTAGCTAGCTATCATTGCATTCGCGCTCTTGGCTGTATTTTCTGCAGCTCAACTACCTCAACAATCACAAAGATCTAAAGAACCACGGGCTCTGCACCGCCACAGTCGATCGGGGCCCTAAGCCCCTAGTAAAGCCCATTACACACTGAGGACGTCTGCTAATGGTCGAAAAAAGGGTTTTTCTAGGGGATATGGCTGCGCGGAAGCATTCTTTGTATTTTTGCTATAATCCGCAGTGTAGCGCCGTTGTTAAACTTAGTACAAAGTTTGAGCTTGACTCTGGGCGGCTTTAAAAATGAGGTCGAAGAAAAACATGTTTCTAGCTTGCTGATTGTTGCTAGAAAGCATATGACGCCCACTTGCCTAAAGAGGCGTTTTTCGCTCTAGCTAATTCATTCATGGCTCGACTTTACTTGCACGCAAAAGCTCGCCTGGAGACCAATTCCGATGACAAAATAGTCTAAAGCATTGACCTTGAAAATTCGGCTGTTATCCATTAGCACTGATTCGCTTCGAGCAACAAATAACCATAGTTGTGCCAAAGTCTTAGTTGCAGGCTTTTTTTTAAACCGGCCCAGTGAGCGTGGGAACGAAGATTGATCTCCGTGGCACCTTCACGGAGCCTTTGCATACAATTTCACATTAAGGAAAGCCGATTCGTTGTAGAGATAGGCTGTGCATTGGTTGCAAGCATGTGTGAGCCACTCATTTATCGAATTTAGGATTTCGCACGCGCCATCAGCCCCCACCAGAGACCCTTGCCACCCTGTCACGCTAGAAAGTTGAGGAGAGCACTAGCGGTCATTAGTAGAGCACAATTCCAAGAAAGGGTATTTCATGAAGATAAGCACTTAGGTGATTGATGAACTAACAGGCTTAGAGCTACGGCGCCTGTTGGAGGCGCAGTGACGAAGCTAGAGGCCTTCCCAGGATCCGTAGGGCTCTCGACCCCGCCTAATCTTGCTTGTAAGGCACGGTTCTCGCATTAAGCCTCCTCTGAAACACATTGAAGACAAGAATGGTTCTACCATGCAGGTCTTGCCTAACTTACTTTGTTTCAAAGAGAACTAGTGTAGGAGTATATCGGCTTAATTGTTAATTCATCTTCCATGGGCCTCCTATCGCCCTACATTGCGTATAATTAGCCAGCACATTTTGCGTTCCGTAAAAGCGAATTCGAGCCAACTTGAAGGCATGCGGAATGATGTCAAAACGAATGAAGTTTGACCAACACAGAATCGTTGTGCAGCACGCCAGCACCCACCAAGCTCCCGAAGTGGAGACTCGGCTTTGTGATGTCATGGATCTGATCCCCCAGCCAAGGGCGAAAATCTAGAGCCAAGAGCAGGTTAAGTACCCGGAGATTGTCAGCTTTTCCACGTGTATAAGTGTTTCATAGTCAGTTGCACAGAGAGCCACGCCTATCTTCAGCCAGACCCGCATTGCAAACGTGTTCGGGCACAAGGGCAAGCTGGCGATGGGCGAAGCGTATGTAATGCCGGCAGAATTTGTCGAGGAATATTTTTTTCTCGAATATTCCACGTACAAGGCCAATTTACGAATGCGAGGACTGTTTCCTTCCCCCATTTCCGCCACAAGGAACCGCGTGGGGTCGACCAGCGCGCCTTAGGCTGCAGCCAGAGCACTACAGGCTACCCAAGATTTCACGGTATATCGGCTATTTGGACCCAGGAATTTTCTTTCGGAGTTAAAGGCGCATGGATTAACCAAAAAGTTGCAATAGGGCTAGTGGTTTGCTCTTCTGACTCCAGATATTCAGCTTCGGTTTGCCTCCCTTAAGGCCTGCAGGGTCAGGGGACTGTTGCTGTTGCTCCGGGGGAGGCTCCACTCGCTGTCTCTTTCTGCCCGTCCCTCGGGGTATTTCCTCCGCCTATGAAACTCATTTCCTTGCTACTCGGGAAACTACTACTGCTTGCATAAGCCGCTAGGCCTACGCCGCAAACGCCGATCCTTCAAACGCTCCCTGTACACTCCAATCCACGGTGACGCCGTATGGACGCCTCGCTCGAGCCCGCAGCGAGGCCCCCTACGGGCAGCCTTGCTGATTTCTTTCCTGAGAGAAGAGATCCATCGACTTCTGGTGGTGGTTTGGGCGCTTCCCCCTCCGTCTGCGACACCCCTACACCACGCGCAACGCCCCCCGGAGTAGCAGCAGCAGCAGCAGCTCAAGACACTCAAACGCATGACGAGGTGGCAACACGTACAAGCCACGGGAGCAGCAGTAATATGCCACCCTCCAGCTCAGGGGCCCCACACCGCAGCCCTTCCTCTCCTACCAGCGGAGGGGGAGTGGAGGCTGCAGCAGCACCTGCAGCAGCAGCCCCCGCTGTAGCTGCAGCAGCATCCCCCGCTGCAGCTGCGAGTACCAGTGATGATGGAGAAGCAGCAGCAGCAGCAGCCCCCTCACCAGCACCCGCAGGAATAGCAGCAGCAGAAGCAGCAGAAGCAGAAGCAGCAGAAGCAGAAGCAGCAGAAGCAGAAGCAGCAGCAGCAGAAGCAGCAGCAGCAACAATCGAAGAGGAGTCAGGGAGCGACGAGTCCGATGTCAATGAAGTTCCCATTGAAGGATCCGCGGGAGCCGTCCCCCCCCCCTCCATTGCTCGCGCAGGATCCATGCGCAGCAGCAGCAGCAGCCCTGAGCTCCAGCCGTCGGAGCAGCAGCTCGAGCAGCAGCAGACACCGCAACAGCAGCAGGAGCAGCAGCAGCAGCAGGTGAGCTGTCCAGAGTGCCGCGTCATGTTCGCGCCTCATGAGCTGGCAGATCATCTCTTTTCACATGCAATCGACGTTCTACAGCAGCGGGCTCCCCGCAGCAGCAACTTGGGTGGCGTCGCTTACAGTAATTACAACAGCAACGAAACGACGACGACGACCACTACTACCAGCAGCAGCAGCAGCAGCATTAGGCGGCCTGCACAGATACAGCGCACCCGCTCTGTTGGCGTGGGGAATGCAGCTTCCATTTCTCCGATTTCTGTCCCCTCGCGCACGGCTTCAGGGGCCCCTTCGACAGCTCTGCATACAGTGCATCACAGAACTGTCGGTGCTCATGAGGGATCCTTGCTGAGCTTCGCCGGATCTCGCGGCTCGATCGCCTCGTCGTTTGCTGCAGCAGCAGCAGCTGCTACTGCCTCGGCTTCGCCCCTCCAGCGTGTGCTCAGTCACAGCGCTCCAGCCTCGCAGCATCAGCTTCCCCGGCTGTACGAGGGGAGTGGAACTGACCTCCCTCAGTCGCAGCATCGCACACGGTACACCGCAGCAGCAGCAGCAGCGCGGCGACTGGAATCGCAGTCCCCTGCTCGCAGCGGCAGCGGCCAGTTCGGCATGCACGCTCCTGCGAGCCGCCTCTCGACGGAGTCTGCTCGGAGCGAAGCGGCGCGTGCTCGGCTCCAGCAGCAGCAGCAGCAGCTGTACATTGAGCGCAGGCAGGATAGCAGGCAAATGCGGGAGTGTCTTAGGGGCCCCGGAGCATACGACTCCGAGAGAGGGTCACCTGGGGGGCCCCCCGAGCTTCACAGAGAAAGGCGAGAGGTGCTGCGCTACCCCGAGATGGTGCGAGGAGGCTCCTTGAATTTGGGAGCTTCCAGGGGGGGAGGAGCACGAGGGGGCCTCTACGTGGAAGACTCCGAGGGGCCCCCGTCGGGGCACACCCTGCAGCGGACTTACAGTGAACAGCTGCACGATTATCCCGTGGAGGCTTCTGCGGCTTCCCAAGTGCTCACTGGCAGAGCGTCGGAGAGTTCGTTGGAAGCAGGAGGCGGTTCGAGTGGCTGGATATACGCGCGGAGCAGCAGCAGCAGCCGCATTTCCCCCGGCACAATCGCCCCCACATGGGCAGAGGCGCTCATTGAAGAGGGGCTAGTGACACCAGCAGTGCCGCGTCGAGTTCTCCCTTCAGCTGCGCAACGGGTTGCAGCTAGCTACGAGAGGCCTCCTTGGACCCCTGTCGAGCGGCCTCGATCCTTGCAAGAGATACATGTGGAGGGGAGCCTGCAGCCTCGCTATTATTACGCCGGCGCGAGGGGCGCTTCTGGACGTCACGGAGGGGGGGGCCCCATGAGTGCCTCCTACCACGGGGGCCCACTGGGGGGAGGCGCGCATGGGGGCCCCTCTGCCCGCGGACGAGTGGAGCCTTTGGCGTACCCTCACCCCCATGCCCACCTGCACCACCATCAGCAGCAACTGCAGCAGCAGCAGTATGAGGAAGAGCTGCGCGAGCGGCGCTTGGTAGATGCTTTCATTGAGTTCCTACCCACCAGCAAGTACGACTCGGAGCGGGGCAGTCGGCTGGATGCTGAACATAGGAAGTGCACGATTTGTTTCGATGAGTACGAAGGCGGAGAAACCCAAAGAAGGTTGCCCTGCACACATTCCTTCCATCAGCGCTGCATTGACTGCTGGCTGAAGAGAAGCACACTCTGTCCTATCTGCAAGCACGACCTCAGAACAGACATTGCTGCTGTCACTCAACAGGATTCGGACTGAAGACGGACGAGGTACACAGCAAGGGAAGTGTAAAAGAGAGAGGGCAGAGAGAGAGAGGTGCTGCGAAGGGGACTGCAGGGAAGAAGGAATTAAAAAGCCCAAAGGCACGCAAGGTGAGGCACCAGAGCCTAGCGAACGAATTGCGGGAAAGGCATCCCAAGCCAGCAGGATGGCGGCGCCCAGAGGCGGGAGCACGTGGTGGAGAGTAGCAGAAAAATAAGAAGGGCTCGAAAAATCGCAAGACGGGAAGGATGGGAGGGACGGAAGGAAAGCAAGAGACACTCAAATGAAGTATGTACGGGCATAAATGGATACGGGAGGCAGCTCCCCTGGCCGCGAGCTGCCGTCTCTTATAGCACCCCGCCTAGCAGCTTGGTGTGCTCCGTTTCTTGTGGAGCGTTCGTGGCCTTTGAGGCTTCCAGTAATGATATAGGGGGCCCTACAGCCTTTGGCCAGTCTCCCGAATGCTTGGGGGTCTTTCCTCCCTCCCCCGGAGCAACAGGGAGGGATCTATTTGTTCTGCAGATGCGGGTGCTGCTGAGCAGTTTTGTTTGGCCGCGCTCTTAGCGGATGTGACGACAACGCCCGTATTCACGCAGGTCGTTTCCCTGGAAAGTGTCCCCCGTCAGTGGGCCCTTAGGTGGGGGCCCCTAAGAGGGCCTTCGGCTGAGAGCCCCCGTATCGGAGCTGCAGCGCAAAGCCGCATGTGTCGCTTAGAAGCCCCCACAGGAGCAGCAGTAATAACTGCGGCTGCTGCTTTTTGTCGCCTGAGCAGCAGCCTTCTTATTTCCTGTGCCTTCCCTATTGGTGCCTCACTGCCGTCGTGCATGGGTATCCCCCCGTGGGTTTGGGGTTCTCTTGTTTTGTCGTTACCCTCGGCTCTTTGTTGACTGCCGCGGATTTCTGCAATGCAAGAATTTCCCGGACACGGGAATGCGGTTGCCCTGTACGGATTTTCCTCGCATCAGCTGCGTTCGTAAACGTACAGTTGGATGTGTGTGTAGACAACCATAGATTTATGTGCATCTGGGTGCATGATTGTGTTTATCGACATAAATACAGCCGATTCGCTCTGGTGTACACGATACATGTGTTGCTTCAGGTTGTCACGCTACTGAGTGCCCATCATCTGCATGCACATTTGAATCGAGGCACTTGTACGTGTTGCCGCGTTAGACCCGACGACGTATGCAGTGCTTTGAGGAAAAAAACGCGCACTACTCTGTCAGTCAGTTTTGTCAAAGGGAGCAGACATGTAGGAAAATTAGGCTCCACTAATCTGCTACCTCAGCATGTTTCCATTCTTTGCTTTTACTGACGTCCTTAATCGGCTGTCAACAAGAGCTTTGGCCGTTATTTTAATTCTCTGTTTGGCGCTCCATGCTAGCACATTCCATTGCTATTTACGTTTGCAAACATTGGAGGAAAGCTGCATTTTAGCTCTTGCGCTTTAATGCGTTCCGTTGGATCCGGACGCCTCGTGATCGAGGCATGATACAAAGAGACAGTAAACTTTTGCTCTGCATTAATCCTCCAAATGAACAGATCTAAGCACAAAATGGATGTTAGTAGCAGCGCGTGATTAAAAGACAAACAGTTCACCAGGGTATCGGTAGTTTCTGGTAGCCGAAGGCCGAAATTTACGCTAGGAATTGCCACGCACTGCAGGAATAGGGACTGGCGCTACGAGAGGAGGCGTTGCTTCGCGGGATGTGACTCGCTTAGGTAAGCAAAGTAAGGGAGAAAAAGAGGCAGAAGTAGGCGCAGCCTGTGAGGAACTGTGCCTGAAGCCTGAACAGCAAGCGTAGTCGCTGTCCGTAACTGCCTTGAAGTGGGTAAGCATCTCCGTTGACTGCAAAAGGGCTCAGGCACATGATGCCCATGACTAGTTGTTTTGAATTACATACAGGCGAAGCAAGCAACGAAGGTTAGAAGCCGCTTATCTTTCAATAAACTGCATTCGGGGGCTCACCGTGGAGCCGATCAGCTATGCATACACTCGAGTAAAAAGGACCCACTTTGAAATATTGTTTGTCTGCATGTTTCTATTTTTATTTGGGGATTTATTTGGTGCTGCTACGAGTCGACTGCTTGTGGCTGCCGCTAGAGTGGTGGCGTCGGCTTCACCTCGTATGGCCCCAAAGCCAAGGTTAACACTGCCCGTGTCTGAAGGCATGCATCTCACCATAGGCTGTTGTTCCCCTGGCTAGTTTCTTTACCCGCTGTCTTTGCTGCAGTAAAAGACTCAGATTCAAATGCAGGCGCTTCTTTCTGGTCGCGTGTAAGCACATAGCGGATGGGGTCGGCCAGCCGTTTCGTAGCACGCGCGCAGAGGCTGCAGCAGATGCTGTTGCTCTTCCTGCTGCTGGTCCTGCCTCTCTGGCTGTTCCTCTCGACGGCATCGTCGTTCGCTACTCTCGCTGCCCCTGGCAATCCGGAGCAGCGGCAATCCCTCCACAGTCATGATGAACGCGAACGGCTGCAAGAACCTCCGGCTGAGCACCAAGAGGAGCAGCAGTGGCTTGCGCGTAATTCAACTTATCTGTCGGCTTTGACTGCGTTGCGCGCTTCTTCGCTCTCTTCTTTGCACGCCGTTGTGGTGTCCACTTCCCGTCACTGGCAAAACTACCGGCATGCAGCCAATGCACTCTCCTTCTACTCTATTTTGAAGCAGCAGGGCCTAAGGGACTCGAACATCGTGCTCATGCTTGCCGGGGCTGACGGGCCCTGTACTGCCAGAAACCCTTTTCCTGCTGGGGTGTACAGACACCCCAGCCGAAAGCACAACCTCTTCGGAGGGCACAACATCTGCGCAGAGAAACTCAAAAGGCGCATTCAGCAACGCATCGAGAAGCAACACCAAGATCAGGAGGGGCCACAGGAGCAGCATCAGGACTTACATGCAGAGATTTTCTCTTCCCGTAGTTTTTCCAAGTGCGCTGCGGGGGCATTGGGGTGGGAGGGAGCTGAAGTCGACTACGGAGGAGATGACGTGACAGTGGCAGCCCTTTTAGGGGTTCTTACGGGGATGCAGCCTCCCCAAACCCCCAGAAAGAGGCGCCTTCACAGCGACCAGGAGAGTGGCGTGATCGTGTTTCTGTCTGGCCACGGGGGCGACCCTTTTTTGAAGTTTAGCGATTGGGAGGTGCTTCAACAGCAGCAGCTGAGTGATGCAGTCGCAATAATGGCTTCTTTGGGGCGTTTTAAGCGGATGCTGCTAATTGCTGAGACCTGCCAGGCCGCCACGCTGCTTGCAGGTGTGCAGACACCTGGCGTGCTGCGAATCTCTTCCTCCCTCAAGGGAGAAAGCAGCTATTCCTACGGGGGAGACTTCCTCATGGGGGCGTCGCTGATTGACAGGTGGACTCATTCTGTGAATAACTTTTTGTACAAACAAGCAAACGCCGACTTTGCTGCGGTAGCGGCTAGCGCTTTCTCAACTGAGAACGACGTTTGCACGAACAGCAGTGAATGTAGCGGCAACAGCAGCAGCGAGTACATCGGAAGAATGGGTGTGGGTCGTTTGTTACCGCCAGTATCCTCCCTCCTGGAGAGCTTGGAGCCGTCTTTTTTAATGTCGCATTGCGGCGTCGAGGAGGAAAGAGTTCCCGGGGTCCGCCTCCCCTCACTTACTGAGCATCCATTGGAGGATTTTTTTTCAGAAAGAAAGAAGCCATATGCATTCAATTTCAGGTACCCGCTTGCGCCTGCCGGTGGTAGCCAGGCTGCAGAAGCACAGATTGGAGCAGCAAGACCGCTTGCACTCTGGAGCTCTGACGCAATCAGATTTATGCCCCTACTCAATGCCCTAACCCGCCAGCAACAAATGCGCGAGCAGCAACCCCAACAGCTGCAGCTCTTTGGCGCTGTGAGTCTTTGGACGGCGCCAGTCGGTGTTGCTCTTGCGGGCATCGTCTGTCTTGCAACTGCCTCTCTTCTCTAATGTACAGAAGCTTTAGACTCTAGAGCGTGTGCAAACTCCATGCGCCAAACACCTAATCTTTAACGGTATACTGCAGTACATCCTTCACCTCAAGTGCCACTAATGCAAAACACGCGAATCCGCCGGCTTTGCACCTTGAGCCTTCGGCCATGATAAACTGCAGTTTTGCCGAGAGAGAAACGCTCGACGAATACGAGACCAAAGAGTACCCCCAGGCTCCGAGGCTTCTGCTGCGGAGCCCTCCAAGCTTTCGCTACATTACAGCCTTATACACCATCCTGCTGTTCACATGCTCCTCGATTGTGATACCTTTGTCTGCTCGATATAGCAACCAGTACGCAATTTGAGCTCTGGGATGCAGTTTCTGCCGCCGCTTAGACAAGCAAACCCCTACACACATATTTGTGTATATATATGCTAAAAATACATGTGTACTTTGTGATATGTATATATATATATATATATATATATATATATATATATATGTATACGGGATGCATGTGGAGGCATGTGCATGCGTATACACAGGTACGTGAATACCTGTGCCCCTACAGGAGTTCAAGTGTACGGGGATGTATATTGATGTACGCCGACATGCATATACATGTACGCACGCACAGATAGAGGTGTATTCATTGGTGTATGCATGCACACGGAGGTCATCACATATATATGCATGCATGCGTATATATGTACTTAACTTGCTACATCTGCATATCAGCATACATAAACACACTTCAGCGTATGCAAACACCAAACATAGAAACGTGCAAGCAGGTTGCACAGCACCTGGAGGCAGCGCGCCACCAAGTGTACATACATCCCGAATGCAATAGGCAGCAACACTACCAAATGAGAGCCACATAATGTTCGAGACTCTCGAAAGTTAAGACAGGTCCGTGCAGACGGATCCTCAAATTTTATACGACTCGTAGTAACACTTCACACTCGTGCTCACACACAGGCAGGAATTCACTGGTGCACCAACGCCCAGGTGCTGTACTGTCACGCCTGTCGCAGTTGCAGCAGCACCTTCAACCTTGGCGCCAGCTACCACAGTTCTTTCCTTGCTGTTACTCTACTTTCTGCAGCAGCAAGTGCTGCTGCAGAAGTTCCCACGGCTGTTGGAGCTGGAGAGGCGAAAGCTGCTGTCGATGCGCTAAGCTTCTGGCTCGCTCTCGCAGTCTTGATACACTCTACGAACACCACGCGTGGTGATTGAACACGGCGTCACCTGCACAGATACCACCAAACTTCAAAAGCTAATTCACAACCTTGAACAACAACACCAAAGGGGAAAGCTGCATGAGGGCCCCTTCCTAGTGTACATACGCCCTAGCGCACCATGAGGACCGCCTCTCTATCTCCAGCCTCAAAGAAGGCGAGATCCTTGATGTAGTCACTGATTCTCCGAATTTGGTAAGCGTCAGTCTTGCCGTTCTTCACGGCTCTGAGATAACTCGAACACTCGAGAACGACCCTAAGCTTGGTGGTACACCCACACGCCCCCCATATTAAAAGTCTGTCCCTCCCTTTTTTCCCTTCTCTAACGCCCTTCTTGCTCATTGTATCCGTGCATATAATGCAGGCTCTGCTCCTATAGGGAAAAGTGCGGCCTTGAAGGTTTGGCTCACACGAAATCCCAGATAATAACGAGGTTGTTGGTGCTTGTAACGATGTGTTGTTCCTTCGCGTCAAAGACGGCCGTCTTAAAAGCGCAGGTTTGCAGGTTGAAGCGACTGACATCCTCCAAGCTCAAGCGCAGTAGTATGGGCTTTGGCTTGAGGGCCCCCAAGGGAGAAGTAAATCCCGTCTTGGCACTCCCTTGGAGGCGTACTGGGTAGAGGAGCAAGTATCGTGCGCAAGTCGCTGCAGCGCAAATCACTAGAAGAGAAACCTAGGGATCTCGGAAGGAGGCAGCGTCAATAAAAGCGTGCAGCCTGAGGTGTTCATACAGCCTGAGGTCCAAGTTTGCGCTGATCAAGGGCTGTAATAGGGTGGATTCGAGTATACGGGCACCCATTTCGTATGCGTTCAGTGCATGCGTGCTGGCTGTACACTGCGCGTGCATGCCGTGACTAACCCATGGCGATCGCTCCCTGCAACATTTTTCGGGGTTTCATGCTCAATTTACGGGTCCGATACGCGCTGCAGCTAAGCGTTCAGGGTTCGAGAAAACTGACCTAGAATCCAAGCTCCGTCTTTAGTCACGGCGATGTGGAGAATTGGATCTCCGAAAGCGTTCAATTGTGTTTTCGCCCTTTTAAAAGAGCCCTCGCTGTTTGTTTTCCCATCGTATAGGCGCAAGACTCCCTTTCCGCTTCCCAACACCAGATGGCCTTCAGCGTTCGTTGCTGTACAGACACCCCACCCCGCGAAGCACATGGACAAACACCCATACACACACAAGCATACACATGACCATTCACACCCCTTATTGGAAAGCACGCATTTTAAACGCTTAAATTGACTCCACAGTTCATAAAAACCAAATGTTCCCAACCCGAATTCCTATTCCTTCATTAGAAGCCGTTTCTCCCTTTTGAAGTGCTCACCCCACGACGCGCCGACCTATTTCTTTATGGCTAGCAAGCGTTCACAGTGTATGCGATTTCAAGGATCGTGGTCTCTGTGAGGGTTCCTAGCATGGCGTGCTTACCACCACAAGAGAACCCTTGATTTTGGGAGTAGGTGTACGAGTGCTTCCTGGCCGACCCTCCTTTAACTCGGGTGTCGATACAGAAAAAGGCCTTTGAATTGAGACCAATAAATGTTGGGTCTGACAGACCCTTTGACTCTGAAGTCGCTGGCAAGATGTGCTCGAGCTGCACACCAGCATCACACATAGCGAAAACTTTGCAGCCACGAGGCTTCACAAGAAACAGCCGCACGCGGCAGGCAACCGCAATGCAGACACCACAACCTCAGACAACTCATGAACCCCAACAGCTCCGACAGCACACCCCTGCTGAGACAGGCTTTCCACTAGCAATAGATGCCTTAGTTCCAACTGTTGAGCGCGAAGAGGTCCTGCTGCCGCCATTAGTCTCCCTGCGTCGCTCATCAGGAGTGCCCTTTCTTACGATTCTAAAAGTGCCAGAGCGTGCTCTCATGGCACGATGTTTCTCATGGTGACTGGGAAACAGCTGCCTCACGGGGGCAAGCCACAGGCCTGAGTAGACTCTTTCCTTACTTGCGCATCCACTGAAATGCGGTCGGTGATGCGCTGTGTTTCCAAGTCGAAGAGAAGCGGATATGCAGAGGAGGAAGAGGACGAAGCCTCATCCAACAAAATCAAACGTTCTTCCTAAAATCAGAAGTGAAGGGCCCGCAAAAGAAGCACTTCCCAACAGTCGGCGGAAAATGCTTGCAGCGCACACCCTGAGTGTCAAAGAGCCGCTATTAGCGACACTGGCAAGACAAGCTCCATGGACGCATTTATATAGATAAATAGGTACATAAATACATATGCACATATATATATGCATATGTATACATGGAGAGATAGATAGATAGATTGATTGATTGAGAGAGAGACAGAGAGAGACAGAGAGAGAGATAGACAGAGAGAGGGAGAGAAAGAGATAGAGAGATAGAGAGAAGCTTATTAAGACGCCAGCGTAGCATTGCTGGGGGTACGTTGCCGGCAAGGAGGCTGGAAGCAGGAGGGCAAAGCTGATGCGAAAATTCCCAATCCAGAACGACTAGCTGCAAAGGCCAGATCCAGCAAGCCTATCGGGATGTGCGCGTGGTTGCTCACGCAAGAATGAAGCATTGCGGCGGATGGCTGGATAGGCTTCCCCTGCAGATTGAGCTAGACAACAAAGAGGCACCCACCAGCCACCAGCGCACACCGTCGAAATAAGGGCATGCGTTGAAAGGGTTACTGTGACAAGAACCCATGCGCAGCATGCAGCCAAAAGCTATTTTGCGTCAGTGCGAGCAGCGGCAAGGGAAGCAAGCAGCAGCATGCCTTGCAACGAGCACTCTCACTCACTTTGGATCCATCGATGGTAGCCACTACTGAAGGCTGGCCTTCTGCGTCGAACCTGCGTAGGAAAGGAGCCAGCAAACCGTTGGTGACTGCAGGTGTGCATGCACGAACGATGTTTGGCTGCGCTGAGGCATGCTTTTGGCAGTTGTCTTAAGCCGCTTCTGGGGTGTCGTGTAGGCTGCATGCGCGTGTGTTCACGCGTGGGGAGCTTGAAGGGTTGCGGCTTGCCAAATCTGTCCTCCTGGAGGCTGCTGCCTATGTCGATCGAGGCGTGCGAAGAAGGCTATGCTACGTCGTGCTGTTAAGTGCTTAGAACCCGAAAGCTGCGTGAGTCGGGGGTAATGTATCACCTGAGAACCTGCATGTCTCGTTTTCTCCCTTGGCTAGGACTGCTTCCAACTCGAAACACCACAGCGCGCTGAGCTCCAGCTTCTAACATTTCGTTCACCATCGAATTGGAGGTTGAGCGAAGTAGATCCCTGCAAAAGCAACAGTTCACGAAAAAGATGCCCCCACAGCCTGGGGTAGTGTCAAAAAGCAGATGTCATGATCAGGATCCATCCACTGACCAGCCTCCTTCAACAGTGGCTGCCTGATGTCAACCTCAAAACTTTCGTCCCCCTTCACTGTTCAGCTGCATGCTCCCATCAATGCACCAAAGAGAGACAGAGAGAAAGAGACACACAGAGAGAAAGAGACACACAGACAGACAGACACACAGGCAAACACAGACACATACACAGACAGACAAACACTCACACAAACACAGACAGACACACATAGACAAACACACACACACACACACACACACACACACACACACACACACACACACA